TGGGGCAGATACGTGAAGTGGCACGCTACTTCTACCACAAGGAGATGCACATTGAGCTGGTCCGTGAGGAGATTCTGTTTGATACAGTGCACGTGACCTTTCAACTGACATTCGATAATCGCGCCTTTACACTCGCCTCCCTGGCCATGACCCGTGAGGAGAAGCACTTGCCCATCAGTGCGCACGTGCTCTTTGAGATATTTCCGTTTTGCATCGTGTTTGGGTAAGCTACTGTGTGCATATATTACATAAATCTCCAAAGGGCTTTAGCTACAACTGACTCTAATCCCTGCTTGCAGAGCCGACATGGTTGTGCGCAGCATTGGTAACTCTTTGATGGTCATATTGCCCGAGCTATTAGGCAAGAAGATTACAGCCTGGTTCGATCTGGTGCGCCCGCTAATTGCATTCAAATTTCAAACCGTATGTGCTTGCCAGCTTCTCCCTTGCTCTGACTGACCCTCTAATTAACTGTACCTCATTAGATACTCAATCGCACCAACAACATATTCGAGCTGGTTACTGTGGATCCGGTTACGGAGCGTCTGGATGCGCAAAATGAGGACCTGCTGCTGCATGACGATGGCAGCGAGCCGGAGAAATCTCTACGACTGAAAGGTAACTCAGCACAGATTAAAACTTGTCAAATCTAGATACTGCAAAATATCTTGAAAATATTTCCAATAAACTAACTTTTCTATAGCAGAGCAAAAATAGCTTTAGCATGAGGGGCAAACGAGATGCACGACTACCTAAATATGATTCCATTTAACATATTTTAACTATCCTTTTCTAGCCACATTTATTTTTCCATAGGAGTCTTGCAGTTCGTAGCAAGAAATTATTTAAAATGTTCTATGAAATTAAATAATTTAGGCAATGTATTGCAGGTCAAATGGTTTATATGGAAAACTGGCGGATGATCATGTTCCTGGGCACTCCAGTAATGCCAGATCTGACGTCCTTGATCACAACCGGTCTCTATATCAACGATCTGTCCATGCATGACTTCAGCAGAGACCTCATGCTGGCGGGCACACAGCAGTCTGTGGAACTGAAATTGGCTTTGGACCAGGAACAGCAAAAGTCCAAGAAACTGGAGGAGTCGATGCGTAAGCTGGACGAGGAAATGCGACGCACCGATGAGCTTCTATATCAGATGATACCCAAGCAGGTGGCGGATCGTTTGAGACGCGGCGAGAATCCCATAGACACCTGTGAGGTGAGTCACCTGACCTTCCCTTACATCTGCAGATTGAAAGAGACAATTATGAACTTAACATGCAGATGTTCGACAGTGTGTCCATATTATTCTCGGACATAGTCACGTTTACTGAGATTTGCAGTCGTATTACGCCCATGGAAGTGGTATCGATGCTGAATGCCATGTACTCAATTTTCGATACACTCACCGAGCGCAATTCGGTCTACAAGGTGGAAACAATTGGTGATGCATATATGGTAGTGGCTGGAGCGCCCGATAAGGATGCTAATCATGCCGAGAGAGTCTGTGATATGGCGCTGGATATGGTCGATGCCATAACCGATCTGAAGGATCCTTCAACGGGGCAGCATTTGAGAATTCGTAAGACCAACTAATCCTATATAAGGCTCCATACGTTCTATATATATCCCACATTCTTCTTTATGTTCGGAGCAGGTGTGGGCGTTCACTCGGGCGCCGTTGTCGCCGGCATTGTGGGCCTTAAAATGCCGCGATATTGCTTATTTGGCGATAGCGTCAATACCGCTTCCAGAATGGAGTCCACCAGCATTGCCATGAAGGTGCACATTTCGGAGTCAACGAAGGTGCTGATTGGACCCAGCTACAAAATACTCGAGCGTGGCGAAATCGATGTCAAAGGCAAGGGCACCATGAAGACCTACTGGCTGGAGGAACGCGAGAATCGCTTGCCGCTGCAGCTCACCTCTGGACTGCAGTTGCATCCCATGTCAGCTGCACCGCCGCTAACACCCATACCTAAGGCCATTTTGCCGGCGTCCAAGCCCCAAACACCCATGGCACCGCCGCCATCTGAGCCACCGCCGGCGGCTATGTCGAATGTGGTGTTGGGAGCTAGCGGTGCTTTGGTTGCGGCCACAGCTCTGACTCATCATGCTGGAGCCACTGGAACGTCTACAGCTGATGAGCGGAGCAGTCGCATCTACTCGCCGGTTACTTTCAAGGATGTGGCCAGAAGAAGCATAGCCAATTCACCAGTGCGGAATAGCGCCTGTTATCCAGAGCAGAATAAGCGTCGCGAATCCCGTTCCAATTCCACTGGTCACGTTTTCATGCGCTCGCCCAGCGACATCTTCGGCTCACTTATACTGGACACTGAGGAGTTCCTTGAAGACTTGCAAAGCGCCCGAGGCCCATTAACCAGCAGCAGCAACAACAACTGTGAATCGCCATGCGGCTTCAGTAGTCCTACGCCACCATTTCGCATTGGCAGTGCTCCGCACAAGCCACGTCCCAGTAATCCGGACAAGTTTACACCCGAGGAGCTGGCCGCCATGGATCAATTGACGCCTCCTTCAACTGCGCCGGCACGGGAATCAGCCACATGCAGCAGTGCAAGCGTAAAGCCCTCCACATCCCACGCATCATTGGAGCGAGACAAGGCCAATAAGCTGAAGTAAGTGTGGCTATGTAATATAGAGCGACACCACCTCCACTCTAATTAGAAAAATCACATTTTCCACCGGCACCACCCTGGAAGCGATCAATCTGCCCATTGCTACGGCATCAAAGGAAGCATGTGTGGCTACAGCTGCTGCTGAAGCGGCTTCAATGCCCAAAACTTGTCCCATGCACCGCAGCAAGTCGCCGCCGACCTTGGTGGGCACAGCGCCAGCCGTGGTGCAAGCAAGCAGCAGCAACAGTCGACCTGTTAGTAAGGATTCAATATCGTCCATTTCTCTGCATTCACCACCACCACATCGTTCCAATTCCGCGCCAGCAAGGTTAGGTTCTCTTAAAAAATTAAGTTAAACTTAGTAATAAAAATAAATTTTTTTGCAGACCCCACTCCATGTCCAAGGCAGCGCGCAAAGCGTTTCTTGCAGCCAAACAAACAAAGGCCATGGAGAAGCTGGACAAGATGATTGAGGAAGCGCAGGAAGTAGAATCACAGTCGGTGGCCAAAGCGGCCAATGTACGTCTCGCCATTTTCGGGCACGACGGTGGCGGCGATGATCTGGCTGCAGGTGGTTGTCCACTATTTCTGCCACCCCCACCACCACAGGCACTGAGTCGCACTATGCCTAGCTCCATATCCGATTCGAGCATTTGTAATCATGGGTAAGATACTGATCCGTGCGCATCAACAGCTTAGATTCACGTAAATCCTTGTAGACATAGTCATGCGCCCAGCTGCCATCATTCACTGCACGATCCAAAGATGAGCAATAGCCAGAGCTTTCAGCATGCACGCAGATCTGGTCCCATTACACATCAGTGCTGCAGCGGATTCGGAGGTCATGGCAATGGAAGACACTCGCATCGCATGCACTCCAACGCCTGCAACCTACTATAGACCCGTCGAATCGGAAAATCTTTGGTTCCAAGTCATATCGTCTATATGTACGTCAATGTGCTTTTATAGAGTATAGTCAGCAATTCTGAGCTCCTGAACTGTAGTTAGCTGTTGATTCTCATATACGAGAGCAGTTTGAAATATTTCAGGCGTAACTAGACTTAGTATATTTGTTTAATCAAATATATATACTTCATACTATAACTGATATAAAACATATATTTTTTTATTCCACTTTCTAGTTCTTCAATTAAGCTATTTTTCTTCCAATCCTATATTTTCTACTATATTTTTAAGACGACTCGTATATTATAATATAATATAAATCTACAGTATATTTAATTAAAAAATTAATTATTGAAATTTCTTCTTTTGTCTGAAATAATATTTATTGAAATAACTTTACTTTACTACGAAAATCAATTTTTCATTTCATTTTCTTTTTTTCAATAATTTTTTTAGCTTTTCATTTATACGGTTGGAAATGTTTCAGACTACTTTCGTATATATATAGTTGATGTAAGTCATAAATAAAAATACATAAACATAAATAACTGTAGCTAGTTGAAAGGCTTTTATGTCCATGTCGATTAAAAATCACTGTATAAACTATTAAAATACAATAGCTAAATACATGTTTGTGAATGTACCTCAATCAATGTTAAACACAAGATTCAAATTTCTGAACCTCTCGAAAATGACAATACAAAAACCAGTAAAACAAAACAAACGAAATTCTTAAATTAAGGCTTCAAACATCCTGATACCACCTAACACATAAATGTAGACATAAATGTGCTCAAATATCTTGAATTCTACACATATATATATGTATTAAAAAGATACATTAAATTGTATTAAACTATGAATGTGCGAGTTTAAGTAAATGCTTTAGAAATATCAAGACTCAAATCTCTTGATTATTTTTCTAAAAATTCAGTTTAAAGTTTATATTTGTGTATCCAGAAATGGATACATAATTTTGTGGCTTAACATAAAAACCTCAAAAAAGCACTTTCTAGAAATCGAGCATATATAGAATTGAAAGCAAGGCCAAAAGCGACGCTAAATGTTGCTTAATTATTATTAATGGGCAGCTCTTAGCAATATATATATATATATGTTAGGTCTAAAAATTAAGAATCGGTTTACATCTGGAGTTTGTTTGCTATGAATCATACCTAGCCCGACCATCTAGAGCATAATTAAAATGAATGTCAATCGAACAATCTTAACATACTTAGGAGAAAAAATATTGTATGTACTTAAAGACACGTTCCACTGTTTGTTATCAATTTGAAATGCATACTATTTTAGAAATAGATACTCTGCTTACAATGTAATAATTATAAATATGAATTTCGAAGTTTGTTTGCGTTAAATAATTATTGAAATAATTGTATAAACCAAAGATCATAAAATGGTCACATATTACATATATATCTATATATATTAATGTGCCTACTATTTAATTTAGTGTGTACTTTGTTTTAGTTAATAGAGCTGTTCTAAATTGCACTTTAGCATATCACATCTCAAATAATTGCAAGCATTAAATATGCAAAATGCAAAATGAAAAGAAACTAAAGTTAAAAATATATAGCTATGTATGTACTTCTGTGTAAATCACCACATGTTGAGCGTAGCAATTTCTTAAAGGTGACTAGATTTTTTTGTTTCCTGCGGTGGGGTTTTTTGGCTTAAGTACTGTCGGTAGCAATCATTTCATCATTGGAGTAGATGATGGTGCCATCCAGCAGCTCGATTGTCTGTATGGTGGTCTTGCAATAGAAACACACTTTCGAATTCATCATATGTTGCATAATGCAGTCGCTGCAGGATTGATGTTTGCAGGGCGTAAAAACGGCAGTGATTGGCTTGGCACAGCAAATGGGACACAACGAGTCCTCCGAGGGCAGCGTTATATCTGAGAGCAGACTCTGTTTGATGCGCAGACTTTCGATTAGATGGCGAACATCTTCGATCTCTGCCGGGGAGACATGCGTGGGATCTAAGATAGATGATGGGGAATGATAATTAAAAGAGAAACTATGTATAAACAGTGATTACAACTAACAGTCAGAAAGCGCAAACTTAATGATCGGTGGATCAGCGCGTATGCGCTTCGAGTTATTGAGATGTGGCAAGCGTACATCATTGGTTAGCGGATCAATGTGCGGTCGCGACGAAGGATCAAAATTGCCACGTGGTATCTCTTTTTGCTCCAAGAGTGGCGTTCGTATCTCGCCCAGCGCAAACTCCAGCGTGGCAAACTGAAAACTGGGATCGGTGAGAAAGGCACGCGATATGCGAGTCACCTTCTGCGGTGTAACATCACTATCCATTTCACGGCGCAGCAATGCCATCAATATGCCCAAAGCAGCACTAATGATCGGAAAGTGGGTGACTGCATTCAGATCGGCCGAACACATGTCCACCACAAATTGAAAGCAGCCGGGTGGTACAGTGACACGTGAGAGTACCTGACTGATTAGCTGGCAAATACGATTTAATAGCAAATCACTATTTGGCCGCGACTCATCGGTCACAACGTCCGGCGCAACGGTTATAATCATTTCCAGGCAACGCATCAGCGAAACAGTAAGCTCAAAGCACATGGAACATATCTTTAATTGTTTTGGTTCAAATAGCGTATTCTCCTGACGCTGAGCAGTATTTTGTATCTAAAACAAAGAATTGTTGTACTGTTAATGTAATTAAAAAAGAAATTTATAGATGTTAAAAGTTTACCTCTTGCAAAAGCAAAATAAATTCGGAGAAAGCCCAATTTAATTGACTCAGCACAGAATTGAGGAAAGTCGTAGCAAATGGCTCGTCCTCATATAGCTTAGATCCAATTAGTCGTTGATAATGCTTGGATGGATTTGCCGGCGCCACATTGTGCAGTAGTCCAGTATGCGTTTCGTTTCTCGAACGACTCCGGCACAAACCCTGATGTAAGGGCTGTGAACCACCTTGCCAAACGCTGGGCTGGCGTGCATCTTTGAAAGCATAGCCCTCCCCTAACCAGAATCGCAGTAGCAGCCAATTACTCTGGCCCCAAGCTCGATTCTCGTATGGCCGCAAGAGAGCGCGTACTAAACACGATTGAGCGCGCTTTGAGCTACGTTCGAGAGCACGCACGCCCGCCTTGTGGCATGTGAGGGTGCCCAATGCTTGCAACAAGGAATCCTTGCAAGAAGCAAGCACAATTCGCGAATCCGCTGAATGTACTGCCAAAAATTCGGCCGCAGCATTCAAACTACATTCGGCATCCGACACGTCAAACTGTGAACGCATATCGTGATGACTAAAATCCATCACACTATCCAACAAAATGGGCAAAGTATTTATGTAAACCTCTGGCACAAATGCAAAGAGTGGACCCATGCTCGAAGCGGTCTGTAAAGTAATGAATTATAAATTATGCAGCAATACCAATTAGAAGTATAAATAAATAAAGTAAAATCTCTGTGGCCTGCCTGCCTACCGTTAATGACCGCAGGATTCGTTCCAGCAACCATATCAACAACAATCGTCGGTGATTATTCAGTGCTACGGCTCGAAGCCAAACTTGTTTCCGTGCCAGCGATATGGAGCGCGCCTGTCGATATAAACAGTAAAAATATGAATGGAACTCCAAATTTGTCGTTAAAATTGACTATCTCTCGAAAAATAGTTGTTAATAATTTAATAACCAAATGAAAGACAATTTTAACCAATGCACTCACCGCGAACACATTTTGTCGCTGACTAAATTTGGCGCGTAACTCCGACATCACATGCTGATGATTCTCATTCATACAGACATTCGTATGCTGTTCAATTGCTATGAGCCGACGCTCAATATCCTCGCGATAGTATTTTGTCTCTTTGAGAACTTCATTCAGTGTAGCTATTTCATCCCGTACAGCTGCTACCTTAATTATATATTTGTGTCCGGCAGAATAGTAGAAGAGTACGCAAATATCTAGTAGCTCACACACACTAGCTTCAGAAACCAAGTTGCCGGGGGCTGCATCCAAAGATTGAGGTGTCCGCGGATTTAGAAAGTGGGTAAATGTGGAATTATTAGCACCCTGAGTGTGTCCAATTACCGCAACATTGTTGATATTCTCGCCTAATAGATAAAGCGTAGTATCTGAAACGTTGTATATCACCAAAATGGAAAGAAAATAAACGAATCGCCATACATACCCACTTCATTAACTCTTATAGAGTTACGATCCTCATCATAAATTTGCTGAGCTCGTTCTGAGCCCAAATATGTGTCAATGTCCCCTCTATGGACTTTACGCAGATGCGACAATACGCCGCCAACTCGATCAAAGTGCATGTAATCAAATGTGCCATCCAAAAAATAATCGCAGTTTACCTCCATTGAATGAGTGGGCAGCTCATCCTTAAACAGCGTTCGCACCTGATCGATTAAGATACAGACAAAAGCTAGAGCCACCGGCGGGTCCAACGGATGCTGTATGCTGGATTGCATAAAGAAAAAGGCGTGGAATGGCTGAAAAATTGGGACAGGATGTAATTCAAGGTTTAAACTGGCTGTAAACATCGAACACTTACCCGTTGCTCCATACTTAGGTCTATGACATAGCGTCGCATTTTGCTTAAAAACAGCTTCCGACTAGAAGGCGAATCGGATCCACCATCTGAGTTGATCATCAGCGTGTTGAGCAGGTCCTTTTGAGCTGCGTACAAGCTTTCTGTAATCTTGCGTACTTTTTCTACAACATTAAAATATTTATCCTTAGGTCCATCAATTCCCTCCGTCCAAGTCATATAGTCCGGCAGAAGCTCTTCCATTATATAAAACTCCAGCGGATGTATGTACAAAAAGAACGCAAGGCTGAAATTATAATAAATTAAATTCATAATAAATAAAAATTAATTACAATTTATTGAGCTTTTTAACGTAATAAAATAACTCTAATTTATCTTTTAAACCGAAATAAAATATCAATCAATGAATTAATAAAACTTAAAAAGGAATTTAAGCTCTAAATTCAATTCAATTTAAACAGTTAAATGAATGCTAATTGAATACTTAATAAAAGAAGAAAATTAAAACAAACATTGAACGAATTATTTAACAAATTCTTTGATAAATTACCAGTGTTTCTTGAACAGTTTTCCCTCCAGCAAATATTTGCGCGATTGCTCATGCAAACAGATACAATGGAGTGTGCTTAACGTCTGCCGATGCTTCTCATAGTCCACGCCCTGCACAGTGTGTGAGTAGGTGGCCAAGAGGGCATTCACTAGCTTGCGCAGCACAAACTTAACTTCATCGGCCTCCATGAAGTTCCAGAACAAGGACAATAACCCCATTAATACACTATGTGGATTTTCCTTCTCAGCCTGCAGAGTGGTCATGTGTGTGATCCGCGACAACAAAACGTCCTCGATTATGTAGGGATCGAATACCTCGTTCGTGAAACGTTCAATAAGTAGCGTTGCAAAAATGCAATAGACTGTCTTCTTCGTTGACACCCGTACTTCGCCTGCCACGTCGTCTTTGTTGCTGGCCTGAGCGTTATAGTGCGAGAAAATGCCCGCCAAATTGAGGAGATAGTCCATAATTAAATTTGCACGACGAAGCTTGAGAATGGGTCGTGCCATCAGGGGCTGAAAGCCGGCGACTGGATAGACAAACGGGCGATTGCCAAAGTTCGCCTGTACACCTTGTGTGTACCCTAGCGAGATAGCGGGAAAGAATGTGATACCTGGTCCTCGCTGAATCTTGTCAAATGCCACACCCATGGAGCGTCCATTGCGATAGTATTCAATTACCTCCCTATCGACGTCAATGGTGACACCGATAATATCACCAATTTGCCACTTGTCGCCGTACCTATTAAACATTTATTGTTATTATCAAGAGTTCTTTTTAAGGGAGATTTTATCTTACTTTCTGGTAGAGATGTGCCAGACCTGTTGTTTGCTGCCATCGTAGCCATAGCTGTGCTTAGTGTCACCTACACCGCTATTCTCATTAAATCCACAAGTGCTGCCCGCCCAGCCCATTTGCATAACACCCTTGGTGTGTAGTTGAATCTAGGGAGGCAAATAACGCTCCAATTACAATATGTCGATAGCGCTTTTATCGATAATAACCCAAACTCCTATAACTGTTTACGACTGTTTCATGTCATTGACCGTTGGCCAAGCAACCACCACTAGCAAATCATGCCCAACTATTAGACAGTAATGGCTTAATGATTACCTCATACATCCAACGGCCGCCATAAACGCAACAATTAGCCCGCACCGTGTTGAAACTGCCTTGCGAGCGCAAGGCCAATCTGTCAGTAGACACACGCACAGTTGTCGTATAGTCTACATCGAATATAGCCAATTCGGGACCAATACGCGCTTCTGTCTCCACATAAAGTTTGCGTATTTCCTCATTGCTGTCCGTTTGAATCTGCTGGAATTTATCGTCCAGCCAGTTCCGCACAATTGTCATTTGCCTGAAAAGGATATAGCTTATAATATTGTCTGTATCGCTAAATAACTGACAACTGTGGCAACGCACTTTGTCACGGAGAGCTCTTCAAGCTTTGGCGATCGCGGGTCAGGTATAGTGGAACAATTCGCTCCTTCCAAATCATCTTCCAAGTCAGAGTTGTAGTTATCCTGATCCAATTGCTCAAATATGTCTTCATTGAAAACTTTCACGAATAATTTTGAAATCGACATCTTTGCAGGGTTAGTGTTTGTAATACATCGCTTGCTTTATGCACACATACATAGCCATTTACATATTTTTATGTCCGACAATCCGACTCGAGTTTGATTTAAATATAATAATCCTTTTGAGAGGTGTGAACGTATGCTGGCTGTTCGAAAAATACCAAAATTATAGCAATTGTGGAACAGCTGATTGCTTACAAATCAGCAAGCCGATAAATTATGGATAGCAATCAACGAGTTTGACAAAAACTATAAAAGATTGACGCGTTACAATACTACATACAACTAATTCAAAACATAATTAAAATTAACCGTCCGAAAAAATAGGCAAAATATACTAACATTATATCGGCAGAAAACAGCTGATAAATTGACTTATCGATAAACTAACGAAAGGAAAAAAATATTGTTGACGCGTCACATTTCAGATTGATCTATTTCAATAAGATTAATTGAAACAAATATAAAATAAATTATTAAAAAATGAGTAGCGACTGGGATGAGATAAAACGCTTAGCCGCCGATTTCCAAAAGGCGCAGCTAACGTCTACGCTGCAAAAGTAAGTGACTGACAAATAATAAATTGGCTTAACAGCTGTCTTATATTTTAATCTTTGGTCAGACTCTCGGAACGGAATTGTATTGAAATAGTGACCTTGCTGCTTGAAAAGCAGCTGCTGGATGTTGTTTTTACGAATGATGGAAAAGAGTATATAACACCCGACCATCTTGAACGTGAAATACAAGATGAACTTTATGCAAATGGAGGTCGTGCCAATCTTGTGGAGGTCAGCAAAACTCTTAATGTGGATCTATCGCGGATTGAAACACTGGCAGAGCGCATTGCAGCAGAGGATCCACAGATCCATCTGATGCTAGGACAGCTAATCGATGAAGACTACATCACGCACATTGCGCAGGAGATCAACGAAAAATTGGCGCAACGTGGCGAAATTTCCATATCGGACTTAACATCCCAGTTTGATTTGCCCTCGGAGTTTCTGCAGCATAATGTTATGGAGAAGCATTTGGGAAAGCTCATTAAGGGTCGCCAGGATACCACCAATCCGCGTGTATTCTTTACCCAAGCGTACATTCAACGCTGTAAAGCGAAGATACGCGGCGCACTCGCGGCAATCAGCAAGCCCACGAATGTATCTATAATACTGCAGCAGATCAATGTGCAAGAAAAGATCTTTCACTCGTTGCTTGATGAGATCCTACCCGCTGGTCAGGTGACATCAAAGCAGGCCAACGCACAATATGTGCCTCATATTTATGCAAAGACGCAGGCCGAGTGGGTCAACTCGTTCTACAAACAGAACAGCTTTCTGGAATATGAGGCTATCAACAAGTTGGGTATATCCGATGCCAAAGCCTACATTCGCAAACAGTTCCCCAACGAGCAGTTCCTATTCCTCAAACGTGTGGCACTCGGTGCACATATAATTGAGCTTACGGTTGTAGCAGCTTTAAATGAATGCAGTGCAACAAAGCAATATCTTGATTTAGCTACCATATTGCCATCGAATTTGTCGGAGGATGACATTGAGGAAGCCTTCGACGCTGTGATGGCCCAAAAGCAATGCAATCCGAGTCATTTTGTTTTCCTGGAGAGCATAGGTAAAATATTCGATTGTTAACTTAGCTAACTTAGTCTATATTGCCTTTTGTAGTCTTCTCTCAGGCATATCTTACGCAATTAATACAACCTTGTCAGGACATGGCCCACGGCCTGGCCAAAGCAGCCATCGACAACGGTGTGTATCAGCAATATATAGTGGAAAAGACGCTGGCGCAAAAAGGTAGCGCTTCGGGAGCCACCTATGATGCGGATGATGATGGCAAAGTGGATAAGCGCGATGAGCGTCGGAAAAAAGCCGCTTCTGGCAAGGCAGGTGGTGGTGCGCAAGGCAGAGAGACGAAAACAAAATCAACCAAGAAACATCAGCGTGGCCGTGCGGCTGCTCACAATCATGACAGCGAGGATGATGAGGAGACATCACAACAATCAACAGGCAGTTCGCGGAAGTCCGTTAGGGCATTAGAATTGGTCAAGAATTCAGATATCATAAATCTAATCAAGACCGCGCTAGAGGAGGAGGGACTCGAGCATCTGGCCAAGCCAATTGCAGCACTTTACGTTAAGTATGCTACGCACATTCATTTTTTTAGTTTATTATTAATGCATTTTATATATTTGCAGCCAATTGAATCAGGCGGCTTTAATTAAGGCGCAAGAGCTGTATGAGGCAACACCGCAAACGAATCGACGCCAGACACATGCTGCCATTCAAGAACGAGTAAACACGCTGCTGGTGGACATACGCCTCTATGAGAAGGGTATAAAGCTATTCCATATGGAGACGCAGTCGCAATTGGTCAAGTATTTGCTCAAATCTCTAGGGAACGAAATTTGCAATGAGCTGACCCTCTATGTGGCAGCCGAATGCAGTCTGTCGGTCAAATCGACCAATCTAAACGTCGATCAACGCATTAAACTAATACAAGAGTGTGGTAAATTAAAAAATATCTATTTATAAATAATTCAAATATATTAATATCTTTTAAAATCATTCACAAAACAGATGCACAGTACCGCAACGCTTTACTTGAACAAAACAAAGCCCTAAACAAGAACATTGAGGACTTCGAGCTCGCTACGGAGGCGGTGCTAAAAGCCTGCAGTATGATCGTAAAAAAGGCTGATAAGAAAAAGGATCGCGCTCTTATTATCAGTCACAAAGAGAAGCTCATGCAGCAGCTTTTAGAATGTCATGAACCCGCTCTTTTACTTCATCTAGCAGCTCTAATACTCTTCACCACAATCACAGGCTGCATTCTGCATGCGTCCGGCAAATTCGTTTCGACCATCCTGCAGCACATTCGAGCTACTCTAAATGAGTCACAAAACGCGCTCCTCCTGCGTTATCATGGTAAGGCTGAAGCATTTAAGCTTCCGGTTTATATTCGATCACGTAGATATCGGGCTTATTTCTTTTTATGTTCTTACTTTAATATTGATACATCATAATTTTTTTGCAGATCTTGTTCTGCAAATGCTGCAACAAGCAACGCCTGACAGTCAGGAATTCAAGTCTCTTAACGAACAATTGCAAACATTACAAGGGGAGGTTGTGGACCTCGCTCAGAACTATTCCCGAGCATCCGTATCCAAGGCTGAATAACCTTTTATTCAATAAACTAATAGACCCCGGGAATCCACTCTGGATAAATGTTCAAATTGAATTTCACTTTAATTGGTTATGGTCTTATGGAATTGTTAAGTATTGTGTATATAATTTAAAAATGGTTTTTATTATTGCTATGCACAGAAGTGTCCTAAATACAATCAAAGTAGTTTTTTAAAATAAAAAAGTTCTGCATTTTGTATCACTTTTGTATCATTCCAATCGAAACAGTATGATTTGTCCCAATTGAAACGGTCAAATTTATATATATGCTAGACAAGATTTTCTAATTGAAATTTGGTCTTAACCATTCTGTCTACCTAAAAAACTCATAAAAATTCAATTATATAATTAAACATGCTTATAAAGGTATTTACAATCTGTTCTCATATAAGTTTAAAGACCGAATCGTGTCAAGTATGAGCGACGTTTAATAGAGCAGCCAGTTATTGCGGGAGTTGTTTAATACTATGCTCTCTATTTTGTTTATCTGGACTATTTGCTTATGCTTCGACATACCAAAAGCCAATACCATACCACAAGCCATCATTGAGCTAAGTATAAATTCTGATAAATGTGTAAGTTGTATTAATTATTTTACTTTATAAGCTATGTAGTCTTTGTAATATTTGCTTGGCCTTGTCGCAGGATTGCCTAAAAATAAATTAATATATATGTATATAATGTATATATAATTAATTATAAGTTAATTATCATTTTTCATTTACTTACATAAGTAGTGGATTGGTGGCATCGCAATTGTCCAAAGTTTGTCGTATATAGCTAATGAATACCTCCAAATTCTTTAGCGTATCGCTGTTCGTCAGCAGCCAAACTGTTGGTAATGTATTCACAATAATAGAGACTTTGCTAATAGCATCATTTGGTGTGCACACCCGCATGGCCATTAGTAGATAGCGATTCAATAGAGCTCCAATTGCTAGTTCTCTTAGGGGTTTGTCTGCCAGTATTCCCTGCCAGCTAAGAAAGTTGCGAAACAGTTTAAGGCCACTGCAAAACTGACGTTGAAAGAACGAGCCTTTCGCCTCTTGCACCCTAGAATTTAGGTTTTTGCATAAATTTAAATATATTTATATCTCTATGATATAAATACGTGCTCTACATACTGTTTAGGAAAAATGGGTATGAAAACATCATTTTCGAGTGCGAGTCGCATGCGTTCCATGATTGTCTCAAAAAGCTTTTTCAATTGCTTATTGCTGCTGTTGAGCGGGAATTCGCGAGTCAGGCGGTTGATGAAGCCAACCAGACGTAGCGTTTGCGTCGTGGACAATGGATCCCAACATTCCGCGACCAGAGCTTAAATATTGAAAAAAAATACTTAATAAGTTACTATAAATTATGCTAGTGTCATAATGTCTTACAATTCACTTTAGGCAATACAATCTTTTCTATAAGCGAAGGCACAAGGTTGAGATCCGGATCCTGTTTGAGTTGTTCAACCGATTCATTCGACTGACAAGCGTAGAGCATACAGGCTTGATACCAATGCATCGTCTCAATATCTGTATATTCCTCCAGCAACGGTGACCAGAGGAGCAGCTCGTGACGTACAAGTGGTGCAAGCAACTTGGGCAGACAAAGACTGACAAACGCGTCTTGATACGAACCCATATCCGTTTTACGCCATGCATAGAACTTAATGAGTATCAGATCAATTTTACAGAAATCATCGTTAACGTCTTCAAATGCCTCCGCTGCTTGCGTCTCGATCAACGCTTTCGTTGCTAAGCACTGTTCCTGTTGTTGATCGGCTATCTCATCATCGCTGGACATGCCATCCAGATGCGTGGCTAACAAATAATTTCGCTCACGTTCGCAACGCCGACGCGTGCGTCGACCTTCCCGCTCAGCCGCTCGACGTACTTGCTCCTCGTATTCCGGTGTTCGACGTGCTGCTGCTAACACAGGTTCTGCGAATTTTAAATAAACATAAACCGAGTAAAAAAATAAAATTGTTTCAGTTCCCTTACTTGCAGCCTCCGCCATTTCCTTTGCCTGATCGCGGACATCTTGCCGCCTTCTATTAACCAAATAGCGTTGATTTTTACTATAGAGTTGCAGGGCGCGTTTCTCCAAATCATTTATTAACGATGACTTGGCCGCCAGACAATCGATCAAATCGTTCACATAACATTTGATCTCCTGATAGAATTTATATTTAGCCGCCGCCGTTGGCGCATTTTGTTTGCACTCGTTTTGTTGCAGCTTCAAAGATTTCAGCTCGGCCTCAATGCGCGCAACGGTCGCATTGTGCTCATCATTCCGCTCTCGCAGTTCTGTGAGACGCATTATAATCGTGGAACGCATCTCCTGCGGTGTACGCAGAGCTGTAGCCTTTGATTTCTCTCGCTTGGATTTGGTGAGAGTCGAACGCAGAGTGGCTGCCATTGCATTATTCTTGTCTAAGTTGGTCTTAGCATAGGCCTGCTCCAGCAACGTCGCAGTCGATGGCGGCACTAGAGCTGTATGAGGCAACACCGCAAACGAATCGACGCCAGACACATGCTGCCATTCAAGAACGAGTAAACACGCTGCTGGTGGACATACGCCTCTATGAGAAGGGTATAAAGCTATTCCATATGGAGACGCAGTCGCAATTGGTCAAGTATTTGCTCAAATCTCTAGGGAACGAAATTTGCAATGAGCTGACCCTCTATGTGGCAGCCGAATGCAGTCTGTCGGTCAAATCGACCAATCTAAACGTCGATCAACGCATTAAACTAATACAAGAGTGTGGTAAATTAAAAAATATCTATTTATAAATAATTCAAATATATTAATATCTTTTAAAATCATTCACAAAACAGATGCACAGTACCGCAACGCTTTACTTGAACAAAACAAAGCCCTAAACAAGAACATTGAGGACTTCGAGCTCGCTACGGAGGCGGTGCTAAAAGCCTGCAGTATGATCGTAAAAAAGGCTGATAAGAAAAAGGATCGCGCTCTTATTATCAGTCACAAAGAGAAGCTCATGCAGCAGCTTTTAGAATGTCATGAACCCGCTCTTTTACTTCATCTAGCAGCTCTAATACTCTTCACCACAATCACAGGCTGCATTCTGCATGCGTCCGGCAAATTCGTTTCGACCATCCTGCAGCACATTCGAGCTACTCTAAATGAGTCACAAAACGCGCTCCTCCTGCGTTATCATGGTAAGGCTGAAGCATTTAAGCTTCCGGTTTATATTCGATCACGTAGATATCGGGCTTATTTCTTTTTATGTTCTTACTTTAATATTGATACATCATAATTTTTTTGCAGATCTTGTTCTGCAAATGCTGCAACAAGCAACGCCTGACAGTCAGGAATTCAAGTCTCTTAACGAACAATTGCAAACATTACAAGGGGAGGTTGTGGACCTCGCTCAGAACTATTCCCGAGCATCCGTATCCAAGGCTGAATAACCTTTTATTCAATAAACTAATAGACCCCGGGAATCCACTCTGGATAAATGTTCAAATTGAATTTCACTTTAATTGGTTATGGTCTTATGGAATTGTTAAGTATTGTGTATATAATTTAAAAATGGTTTTTATTATTGCTATGCACAGAAGTGTCCTAAATACAATCAAAGTAGTTTTTTAAAATAAAAAAGTTCTGCATTTTGTATCACTTTTGTATCATTCCAATCGAAACAGTATGATTTGTCCCAATTGAAACGGTCAAATTTATATATATGCTAGACAAGATTTTCTAATTGAAATTTGGTCTTAACCATTCTGTCTACCTAAAAAACTCATAAAAATTCAATTATATAATTAAACATGCTTATAAAGGTATTTACAATCTGTTCTCATATAAGTTTAAAGACCGAATCGTGTCAAGTATGAGCGACGTTTAATAGAGCAGCCAGTTATTGCGGGAGTTGTTTAATACTATGCTCTCTATTTTGTTTATCTGGACTATTTGCTTATGCTTCGACATACCAAAAGCCAATACCATACCACAAGCCATCATTGAGCTAAGTATAAATTCTGATAAATGTGTAAGTTGTATTAATTATTTTACTTTATAAGCTATGTAGTCTTTGTAATATTTGCTTGGCCTTGTCGCAGGATTGCCTAAAAATAAATTAATATATATGTATATAATGTATATATAATTAATTATAAGTTAATTATCATTTTTCATTTACTTACATAAGTAGTGGATTGGTGGCATCGCAATTGTCCAAAGTTTGTCGTATATAGCTAATGAATACCTCCAAATTCTTTAGCGTATCGCTGTTCGTCAGCAGCCAAACTGTTGGTAATGTATTCACAATAATAGAGACTTTGCTAATAGCATCATTTGGTGTGCACACCCGCATGGCCATTAGTAGATAGCGATTCAATAGAGCTCCAATTGCTAGTTCTCTTAGGGGTTTGTCTGCCAGTATTCCCTGCCAGCTAAGAAAGTTGCGAAACAGTTTAAGGCCACTGCAAAACTGACGTTGAAAGAACGAGCCTTTCGCCTCTTGCACCCTAGAATTTAGGTTTTTGCATAAATTTAAATATATTTATATCTCTATGATATAAATACGTGCTCTACATACTGTTTAGGAAAAATGGGTATGAAAACATCATTTTCGAGTGCGAGTCGCATGCGTTCCATGATTGTCTCAAAAAGCTTTTTCAATTGCTTATTGCTGCTGTTGAGCGGGAATTCGCGAGTCAGGCGGTTGATGAAGCCAACCAGACGTAGCGTTTGCGTCGTGGACAATGGATCCCAACATTCCGCGACCAGAGCTTAAATATTGAAAAAAAATACTTAATAAGTTACTATAAATTATGCTAGTGTCATAATGTCTTACAATTCACTTTAGGCAATACAATCTTTTCTATAAGCGAAGGCACAAGGTTGAGATCCGGATCCTGTTTGAGTTGTTCAACCGATTCATTCGACTGACAAGCGTAGAGCATACAGGCTTGATACCAATGCATCGTCTCAATATCTGTATATTCCTCCAGCAACGGTGACCAGAGGAGCAGCTCGTGACGTACAAGTGGTGCAAGCAACTTGGGCAGACAAAGACTGACAAACGCGTCTTGATACGAACCCATATCCGTTTTACGCCATGCATAGAACTTAATGAGTATCAGATCAATTTTACAGAAATCATCGTTAACGTCTTCAAATGCCTCCGCTGCTTGCGTCTCGATCAACGCTTTCGTTGCTAAGCACTGTTCCTGTTGTTGATCGGCTATCTCATCATCGCTGGACATGCCATCCAGATGCGTGGCTAACAAATAATTTCGCTCACGTTCGCAACGCCGACGCGTGCGTCGACCTTCCCGCTCAGCCGCTCGACGTACTTGCTCCTCGTATTCCGGTGTTCGACGTGCTGCTGCTAACACAGGTTCTGCGAATTTTAAATAAACATAAACCGAGTAAAAAAATAAAATTGTTTCAGTTCCCTTACTTGCAGCCTCCGCCATTTCCTTTGCCTGATCGCGGACATCTTGCCGCCTTCTATTAACCAAATAGCGTTGATTTTTACTATAGAGTTGCAGGGCGCGTTTCTCCAAATCATTTATTAACGATGACTTGGCCGCCAGACAATCGATCAAATCGTTCACATAACATTTGATCTCCTGATAGAATTTATATTTAGCCGCCGCCGTTGGCGCATTTTGTTTGCACTCGTTTTGTTGCAGCTTCAAAGATTTCAGCTCGGCCTCAATGCGCGCAACGGTCGCATTGTGCTCATCATTCCGCTCTCGCAGTTCTGTGAGACGCATTATAATCGTGGAACGCATCTCCTGCGGTGTACGCAGAGCTGTAGCCTTTGATTTCTCTCGCTTGGATTTGGTGAGAGTCGAACGCAGAGTGGCTGCCATTGCATTATTCTTGTCTAAGTTGGTCTTAGCATAGGCCTGCTCCAGCAACGTCGCAGTCGATGGCGGCACTAGATCCAGATTCAATTCGAAAGCTCCATCATCTGATCCGCTGTTCACTGCCGGCTTGATCATGAAACGTGATAGCACAGTCTCATGCTGAGCGTGAACCAGTTGTGCACCAGTAACGCCTTTTCGTATTTGCTGATTCTCCCATTCGTGCATTTCGCGATCGGAATCTTCCTCAGTTACTAAAGTGTGAATTGAACGTATTGAAAGATTAGACAATTTATCCTGATCAATTAGTACAACATAAAAACGTCGTCAGGTCTTGCACAAAATGTACTAGCTATCTAGACTACTACATACAATCATTCTCAACGGCATAGAATTGTTCGCGACGCTCTTCACGCTCCTTGCGACCTGTTATGTCGTTCATATCCATGCGCTCTTCATCGTCCGACTGATCACCCTCTACATCCTCCCTTGGTAACCGTGTACTGAGCTTTGGCGTTTCCTTGGGCTCCTCGATGGGTATGTAGTCAACAGCTCCTGAAAAATTTATATTTTTTATTATAGTTATTAATAATAATATATATATATTACAATAAATAATATAACACTGTGGATTTACCTTGCTCCCTGGCACGCTGTCTACGTTTTCGTGCTGCGTGTATCATTGCAGCATCTGGTATGGAACCACTTTCTAGCATTTGCTTCAAGTGCTCCGGCTTTGAGAACCGGTGTCGCGTCTTATCGTGGTCTCTATCATCTAATTCATCATCATCGCTCATATCGTCGCGACCAGCACAAAGCGCAGCACGGCCATTTAATAGCACATCAGGAGTTTCCGACTTCTTGACCACAAGCTAAATTTTGGGAGCAACAATAAAGTAATATATTATTAAATGCATATAAAAGATAAAACACATTAAAACAAATATTATACACAGTCCAAGATTGCTTTTATATATACAGAGAAGATTAAACAAGGCCTCTCTCATCATCTCAAATCTAATCTCGAACTGTGTTTAATTTTAGTAAAAAAAAACATGCATTAATTAGTTACGTTGCAATGGTTTGCTAAAGTATTATAGTTAAATATGCATTCGGAATCTCTAATAAGCGTAAACTTATTTACAATATATATTATAAAACTACTGACAAGGATTTGTCTTATGGCTTTTTCTTATTTTGATATTTCCAATTTTATGATTTCATCTATACATTCAACATTAAGCCAAAGACATATCCAAGATTATATTATTTTTAATTTTTTCATGCTGGAAACTGCTCCATATTATTTTTATACATATTTGATTTTATACGTAAATCATAAATAATTGTTGCTTTTTTTGTAAAAAATTGAATAATAATAACCTTACCACAAAGTCGTCTGTGCGTATTTCGGTTTGGATCATATCATTATCACACTTTTTACTTTTACTTTGTACGCTTGCATTGTCGCTCGCTATCGATGTACATTTATATCTACTAGAGAGATTGGCTGACCCAGCAGCACCAGAACCCGAAGCCGGAGCCAAAGCCAAAGCCGAAGTGGCACTGGACGACTCTAATTGCTGCATATTACTACCATTCTCATAACCAAAATGTCCGCTGTGTCCCGTTATTTCCGCTCGCTCCTCGCGCTTCTTTTTCCGACGTTCCTTGTCCAGCATTCGCATTACTTTCTTGCTGTGCGATGATTTGCGCACTTGAAACACTTCTCCATCGTCCTCTGCATCAACAAATGAATTAATCAATATAAAATTTAAAATAAGGAATTTCACTAACCATCGTCAGCAAAGCTGAGAAGAGCCTTTGGCTTGTGTTGGACGGTGGATCCGCTGATTGCCCCACTGTCATCGGATTGTATTTTTTTTTTGTTTTTATCTTTGTCACGTTTGCCGGATGCGGAAATTATTGGCGGCGGGGGTGGGGGCGTTTCCAAATCTCCATGAATATCCACAGCCGACACATCCTCGTCCTCATCTGCATTGCTGGAAAAGACCCGTCGTTGTATTTTCTTGGGCTTGCGAAAAAGCGACATTTGCTACACTTGTGCCTATTAAGTTAATCGGAAATTGCAGTAATTAACAATAACTAAATCCAAATTTAGCTTACAAGACGTTTTCGCAAAAAAATTTCTTCTTCGCTTTTGTAGTCGATATCACCGACTCGATATATTGTAGCCTATCGAATTTAATTAAGGGTTGCAGTAGAACATATCATGAAATGTTACTCCACTCGTTAACAGTCCCTACTACTCTTTTTAATGAAAGCCATTTTATTTAAATAAATAATAACAGACGGTCGAGTTTGTTGTTAAGGAAATAATTAGCTTAAAGTTATTACTAAAAACTTCAGCTTTTACGAGTTCAAAATTATTAAATTAATAAGCTTTGGCGCCCTTTGTATGTGCAAAAAAACTAAGTTCTCTTTTAGCTTTGTCTTAACTTTTTTGATTACTTTATTTAATCGATGGCTTAAAAGATATATTATATATAAATACACCTAATAGAATAATTTATTTCAGTTATGACGTCACGATCGCGTATCGATGGCTACGAATGGCGTAATTAGTAACTCGATAAATCATGTAAATTAGACTGTAAAAATGAGAAAATAAAAACACACATCGCATTTATCGCAGACGTGATATCGATATTATATCAACAATCCTAGTACTGGGCAAAGATGGCTGCTTTATTTTTCATGGAATTTTTTGTTGCTGTAAAATTAGTACGTTCCGTGCGTTAAAATATTGTTGCTTGTGTATACGTGTTAATAATAATAATTAAACTCCAACAACTTCGCGGACACACGGCTTAAAGTAAAACAACATAGCTATTGTTTGGCAGGTAATAGGAAAAGTGTAGAAAATTCCACACAAAAAACAGCAGCAAGTTGGGCCATATATATATGTCCATATATATAAATATATCAGTGTGTGCTAACGTGTGTGTGTGTGCAAATGTTTATAAATAATTTATAATATTCAAAATCAAAATGTGCATGTGTACGATATCTGCTTGATGGTCGGCCAGCAGAAGCGGAGCAGCAGCAGCATTGAAGGCGTAGAGGAATGCTAGACAACAGCAGCAGCCGCCGCAGCTGAGCAATAGGAATCAGGTAAGGCTTAAAATGTGAACGTGAATGTAAATGTGAACGTGTATGTGTATGTCATATTTTGGTGATGTTTTGACATAAGGACATCCCAACGCCCTTTTTACGCGTCGTGCTGTCTGTCTGGCATTAATTCTGCGTGTGTGAGCCTGAGGACGTAGTGTGGGTGAAAGTGACGAAAGCTGGCGCAAAAAGGATAACACAATCAGCCAGGCTGCTGTGCCAATAAGAACTAAAGCAATTTCATGCTCTCATTTTTTTGCTATCTGCCTTCTATACGCATTCCACGCACAGGGCGCGTCTTGGCAGTCGTCTCTCTCTTTCTTGCTCTCTCTCTCTTTGTATGTGTTACATGAGCGCAGCTTTCGTGCGTATGAGTGTGTTTTTGAATAATTTTACTGTTAAACATTGCGTAAAATATTTTTGCAATGTCAAAATTGCACAAACATACACGAACATACATGTGTATGTGATTTATCACAGAAGTGATAAAACCCATAAGAAATCAAACAAAATCTATTACTAAAAATCAAATTAAATCAAAACAAGCTTTTTATGTTTGTTGTCTGAGGTCAAACTATTGTTATGTATATACATAAGATGCGAGAAATCTTCGAAATAAATATATCCACTAATATACACACAGGAACATATATGCTTGTGTGTATATATTTGTTTTTGCCGTATTTGACGCTGTCAAAAACGAAAGCAAAAAAACAACAACAAACTACGCAATTTCAACAACAAAAACAGCAACAGCAAAACAAAAACACGTTTTACAACTCTGCGCTCCAATGGCGCGCAATTTTGCTGCTGTTGCCTTTTAGGCTTATTGTGAATAGCAAGCGAGGCTTCACATTCACACGCACACTATATATATATATGCACGCATGCAAAACAAGCGGCTCCATGAATGACCAAATTCAATACAGCTACAATAACGACCACAGAGCAATAATTAACGGCAATAACCGAAGCGTAGCGCATCGTAGTTTCCGTTGTAGTATATGTGCGTAACTTTGATGCTGTTGTTGTTTTTTGTTGCTTTTGCTGGTCAGTCGGCAAAAGTGTTCGTAGCGCTGACGTCACACCTTTGAAGGCGGCATCTGCTGCTCTTGTTTTTGTTGCTACTGCACCAAAGCTTTCGTTATGTGTAGTGCAATGCGCGTGGGCGTTGTAGACACACTCCTGTCTCTATATGCGCATATGCGTATATAAATGTCATATAAATGCTGATCAAAGAGCAAGTTATCATTTGATTAATTCGCTTTCTGGCTTCCACTCAGAAAGTTTTGGTTATGTAAGACACAATTTAATTCGCTGATTTTTTAATTGAGCTAGTAAGAATTTTTTAGCAAAACATTTAACATTGCTTGCATATTTAAGCAAAAGTGCTTATCATTATATATTTTAATTATCAGTTTTATGACGCGTGGGTTTTCATGGAATTACATTGGAGTACCTGTCGTTATCGCTATCGTTGTCGTTATCGCCGCACACATTACTGTAAAAGCACGGAGCAAGTTAAAACAGCAATATTGTTGTTTATGATGTGTTTTTAATTCAATGTGTATATTCGCTGTGCTCATTTTTCTCATTTATTTGTATATTGCTCTCGCTGCATATTTGACCTGAGATTTTTGTTTTTTTTTTTTCTTTTTCGCTGTTTCCTTTGTTTACTTCGTATGCGGCGTTTGTTTGTGTTTAACGTGTATTTGCAACCAGACTTATTTTTAGCACAATTTAGCTGATGCCTATTTAATTGTGTGTATGTGTGTGTGAATTTGTGATAGTCTCAGTATTGCTAGTTAAACTTTTTTCATCGTCAAATTTGACTTGTTTAGAGTTAGATTGCGGAAAAACTGATAAGTTGAAAGTATTTATTGTTCATGTATTCAAAAAGGGCTTGAATTAGGTATATCCAAAAAAAAGTACAAGACAACTTACTATCCGTTTTTATAGAAGATACCCCACAAATTTATTGAAAACTATATAAACTAAAAATTTATATGTATCTACATGTATCTATCAATTTATATGTTTCTATACGCAGCTTTATTGCAGTTTTAAAAGTGTCAACAATGTAACAAGTGTATTTAAAAGTCAAGTATGTCGATGTTGCTCTTGCTTAAATTCCATTTCAAATTCCAATGCAAGCCAGCACGAGTGACGTCAGCACGACTATATCTCTCTCCCACTTCCAGCTCATTTTTATATGCAATTTCTCTATTCGCATTTGAGTGCTAAGCTTGTACAGTTAAAGTTGGTCGTGAGAGAGTGGAGGTAGGTGCGTGTGTGTGCATGTCCACTTGTGTTAACTGAACAAACACATAAAACGCAAAGTTGCAAAAATTGGCAAAATATCACGAACTGCAGTAACAATATCAACAAATATAACAAACAACGCATTTGTTTTTATGTTTAACTGCAATTTGTATGATTATTATATTCTCAACCAATTGAAATCAGTGTATAATGCCTTTGTGAAATTGTAAGCTACAGTCAGAAGGAGAAGTAGTAGACCTCGAAAGGTACACATGTATATTAATGATCAGGACGACAAGTTAACTTAACCAAAATTTTCACCCAGATTAAAAAAAAATTCTGCAAATACCTGAGACTTGTGATTTGGCAAATTTGGATGACATTATTGTGTTCTAAAAGTGTAGATTGTATATAGAGCAAATGTTATTCAATAATTAACTTCCTATAGTAAAGCCCAAAATTCAGCTGCAGAAAGAACCCAGTAAGGGATGAGCGTGCATAAATATTTATCTAAAGGAATTGGAGTAGCACATATTAACTATCTTGATTACACAGTTAAGCTCTCATAACGTACCGTTAGCTTTTTTGTAAATGTCATTTAACACAAGTTAAAAAAAAAACAAGCAGAAACAAAATCAAGCGACTAACTTGGTTTGTCGGCCAACAAATATGGTCAAAAAGCCCAAAAAAAGAATCTCAGAAAATTGAGCAACATTTGTTATTGTTAATTATGCTTTGGCAATTAATTTTAAAGCCAAAATTAACCAGAGCGCAGCGGTAACAATTTTAAGTAGCATGCGACACGTGTGAATTGATGAAAACACATATGTATACTGAGGTATGAATTGGAACGTCTCCCATGCGAGAAACCAATGCACACTCACGTCAGCATGCTGTGTTCAAGAGAGATGCACTTGTTACTCTCTTCATGACTAGCCCCACAGCAAGTGCTATGCTTTTGCACTGCTTATAGACTTAACATTGAAGAGTTTAGTGTAGTGTTAAACAACCTAAGCAAGGAACTTAACACGTTGTGCTCTCGTCTGCGTGCAGTGCATTTAAGACACACACGCAAAGCTATGCACAGGCCGTGTTCAAGAGAGCTACACTTGTTACGCTCTCTATGAGACGCATACGCATTTGTACAGCCAATCTAAGCTTGACTTAACAGTCGCTCACTGCGCTGTAGGCTCTCTTGCTCTTGCTACTTCCACTTGATGCCGGTTACCTCTGTTAGACTTAAGTCAGTTAGAGACTTGCAAGCAAGCCGATCGGTTGGAACAGCTCGGAACGTTTCGCCTATGCGCAACGGCTTTCGCGACGCGTCGCGTGTTCAGATTTCGTTATTGCCAATTATCGAATTGCAATTGCTTTGTCTTTTTTGCAATAACTAGCAACAATTAATTAAAGTTAACAGCAATGTGTACAAATGCCTAATAATGCAAAAAACGATTGTGTAACAAATATATTTTAAAATTTTGTAATAATTAATTAGATGCATGCAAAAATTTGTTATTTGCCCTGAAGGAAGATTAAACTCTTTCCATATGCAAATTACTAAATTGTTGAAAAAAAAAATAACAAAACTCTGACTCTGAAATGTGTTATTATTAAATATAATATATGATATGAAATTGAAGTCAAGTTTTTTGGTGGCGCAATAACCTTTTGTTTAAAAGGCTTTCGATGTGTTTTGTTTAATTTTAGTTTTCAACTCTATTGCGTATTAGCAGAAATTGTTTATATTGATTGAAAACAGGGAAATTTGTTCAATAATATCTATGATCATTATATAAATCTTACATGTGGGCCTTGGCCGCATCTAAAATATTTTTTTTTTTTTTTTTTTGCATAATAAATTGGCAAATGTGGCACTCTAAAGATGTGTTTTAATTTTGCTCAGGCTCAACCCAATTTGAATATTCTGTTATACGCCTATTTGAACGCTCATACCATATGCTTTATGGCCAACCTTCTTTAAATTTATTTTTATTTCTGTTGTTTACCTAGAAATTTAGTTATTTACCCCACACTCCATAGTTAACCTCTGCTTCAACTTATTCCAATTGCATGAATCATTAGCTTTTCGCAATTGATTTCCACGCTAATTTTGGCGACGTGCTGGCACTCGAGATCAGAGGCAAGAGAGTCTTTGACAAAAAGCTCGTGGGCTTGAGGCTCGTTGAACGTTGGCGAAAAGTCATTTTCAATTTTCCAGCGCATTAGTCACCGTCTCGCCTTAAACTGTAACTAGTTTTGCCGTCTCTATCTGTCTTGATGTCTCTCTTTTTCTCTGTCTGCCCCCTCCCCTAAAACGTCCCTCTTTGACAATTTTCATGCTGCTAATCCACGTAAAACGTCATCATCCTGAGAGAGTTGCTCTTGCCCAAGTGAAAGTGGACAAAATATCAACAACAACGATTGCAGACGCGTGAATTAATTTTTAGCGTATTGGTTACTCCAAGCAAACAGAGTCTACTGCTTTTGATGGAATTTATGTAACAGGCAGCATTCAGAGTAGACGATCCATAGTATATAATATTTTATTCAGGATCAATAGTCCATTCCGTCCATGAGTATGTGTGGACCAATAAGAGCTAGAGTTCATGTTGGTTTTTCCATGAACTCTATTTTAAACTTGACTTAGTTAACTTCAATTTTCCGGCTGTTTCACAATGCATTTAATAATGCATTTTCCACTATGTATGTATAGATACGTCTATCGAGTTTTAGAAATAGAAACATAGGGTATCTCCTAGTCGAACACGTTAAGTAGTTTTATTTTACGATTTACGTTTTGTTTCTTTTATGCACATATTTTCTGTCTAGTTAGGCAATTTGCCATTCACTGCACACGACGCCAAATAATAAAACAAAAATTAAAAAATAAATGAATAAAAAGCGATTGGAACGGAACCGATCCCCTCAAATAACCAATAGCATACGGCCATTGGCGCATTTATTTTCCAATTGCATTTCATTTTATTGTTTCACCTCTATTTTTCTCTTTTTGTAGCTTTTATTTTTCTTTTACACTCTTTTTTTTAGTGTACGTGGGGCATTTGCAATTTGTTAAACTGTTTGCTGGGTTATTCTTAAGTTTCTTTATTATTATTTATGATGTTATATATTCAATATAAATATATATATATTATATAGAGTAATATATAAAATATAAGTTTTAGTTTTACGAATATTTAAAAAACTTCGCGTCGCTCGCTCTACTAGGTTTCAAGATCAATGCGTTCATTCATACGAACAAGCAAACAGATAAACATGGCTATTCGCATTTATATTGTCGGCGTGGCTGCCTGTTACAAATATTTATTTGTGATGCGCACTTTAGGGTATTAGGACGGTGTTATACGTTTTCTACAGTTTTCACATTTTCCACACGTTTTTATTTTATGCGTACCTGCCTGGCTACAAATTAATTGTAAATTTTTCAATACTTAATTAATCTTAACTGCAACGCCCTACAAAACGTACAGTGTACCAAAAACAAAGTAAAAAACAAAAAACGCAACTTTCACTTAGGCGCATTGCAGATATATGTATATACTCTTATGTGTATAATATATGAATATCTATTTGTACATTTATTATATATATATATATATATATATATATATATGAATGTTCATGCAACAGGTAAAGCTGCAGGCTATCTAAATATAATAATAATTTGAGTGGCGCTTGAGGATATCCCCATTGTTTTTCTTTTTGCTTTATTGTGTTTTTATAGCCTTATTGTCTTATATTATTGCCCACTTTGTTTTTTACTCAAGTTCAGGTTTTTTCTTTTTCTATTTTTGTCAGTTTGCTTTTATTTTGATTTCGCTTTTCATTTTGCATTTCGTTAAGGCAACAACAAAAACTTGTTGTGTCATATTTCTGTTTTGTTGCTTTTCCGTTTTTGTTTTTTTAATTAGCTTCTTTTTATTTTGAATTCTTCTTTTGGTTGCTTCTTCTGTTTCTATGTTGTCTATTTCCTGTCCAGAAAGAATTCGAGTCTCTCGATAAGCAATCGCTTTCCACGTGCTCAATTCTGTTGGCTTTCAACTCATTTCCATAGTTAATTGTTCCCTCTCGATTGACATTTGTTCTTAAATTTCTAGAAAGAGTAAAACATATGTAAAAAGTGAAAAGATCTTTAAAGAAAAATCATGCCTTGGTAATGAACGTTAAATACAGAAGACTCTTGCAAAACTCTATTTCGCTATTATAGATTGAATTGATTTTTGAATCTGTTCGATTTTTAAACTAAAGTTTTATCTCTTATTGAAAGTACTTACTGTACTTTTTGCATATCTCTCTCTCTCTTTTTGTTAACCTACCAACTGTCTAGTTGAGAAAAAAAACAATGCAAATATGCATTAATTCACACCCAATTAACAGCTCATAGAAAAGCAACGTGAACTATGCAATTCGTATTCGTATAGAGCTTCTTTTCTTTTTTGTATAATACTTTTAGCTGCACATTGAGTGTGTCGACATTTGCACATAACTGTAAACATTTCACCTGGTTGTTATTTGCGGACTTTCCCAACGTATTTCTGACTGCCTTGATTAAGATGTCGTATGTACTATATAAACAAAAACTGTAACAATGGGCGTTGTCTGCATTCCCACGCCTAAAATACATGTGCCTACGTAAATATATATATATAAATATATATATATTTATTTATGTATTTATTCCCGCAAATTCCAATTCAATTCGTGCTGCGTGTTTTCCCATCCCATAAAAAATTAACAAATATAGAAAAATAAACTAAAGTATGAGATACTATATGCCCTGCACCCACTATGAGAAATTATTGAGTATTATTTTTGGTTCTAGATGTTTTTTAAATTTTTGGATAAAATGATATTAATGATAACCAGGAATCTACATAAGAAACTGTCAATATAAAGCTATGTGAAATCTTATTAAAACCAAGTCGAATTATCGATAATATATACACCAAGTTGAATAAGACAGAATATATATATACCATAAGATATTTGAGGATATTAACCCTATTTTTTTTCTAACAATTACTTCTTAGATATCCAAGTATACATTATTTCTTAAGTTCAATTATAGTTAAAATACCAATACGAAAAACAACTTCACAATTACTCTTACTACTGCTCTATATAAACCCCCCGCCCCTTTGATCTCGACTAGTTGACAAATATGGAGCACAATTTCTGCTGCTGCTTTTTGTTTCACTTTTTTTTACTTGTTCGCTTGGATTTTCTCCATAGATATTTTTAATTTGCGCATTTTGTTGTCTGCACTGTCTGCGTCGCGGGCATTATCATTATTTGTAGTTCCTTTATTGCCTCGGTGCTCCATTGATTTTTTAGTTCCCCTCTTTTGTAAATCGAAAAAAAGTCCAAGTTTAATTAGTATTATTACAAAGAAATACAATTTTTGCAGTGCACTTTGTTTGCCTTAGGCATTAGCCTCGATTCAACTGGGGCAGGTACACGAGCTCTTTTGGGCTTGTCTCTATAGTAGCTTCTCCATTGTTGCTAATGATTTCGATAATGATGATGATGCTGATGATAATGGTTCTGATGATGATTTTGATGAGTTCAATGGTCTGTGCTATAGCAGTTAACATAGAGTACTTAACATTTCTATTGGGTTTTCTAAACATTGCAAACGGTTAATGATATTTATATATAAATATTGTGCCTTAAATAGAAGGTATTTTATAAGATAAATCAAAGGCCAAAACTTCAAAATTGAGAAACAAAATGTATACTAAATGGTATTGTACTGTTAATAGCATTATATAAAAATTTGGCTACAAATGCTATATACGATTTAAAGTTTAAATGTGTTGGAAACAATTTAAGGTAGTCATCGATGATTCCAAAAACCGTGACATTCCAGGATAATCTACTTGAGAAGATTAAAATTTGCGCCACCAAAAAAGTAATTAATATGAGGTTTTAAACAAAAAAAAATATTTAATATACATACGTTCTTAAGTGTGTGTTTGTAAATTACTTATATTTTGTATGTGTATAAATATATGTGCCTAGTGAGTGGGTAAGGGCAAAGGAAATGCCGTGTGGAACATGGTGACAACTATAAAAATAACCTGCGATGGAGTGTTTATCCAATCCAATTCGTATCTCACGCCCACGCAAACGAACGCATCAACAGCAGCCACTGTTGCAGCTGCAGCAACAGAAGCAGCAGTTGCTACTGCTACTGGCAGCAGTTTGAGCAACGACAGCGACAACTCGCAGACAAGTAGTGGCAGTCAAACCGCAAGCGCCACCAACCAGAGCCACAACAGTCACAGTACCAAGTCCAAATCCACACGCACCAATTGCAGTCGACATCGAAGTGGAGGCGTGGCAGCCACGCAGGATACTCGCAGGCGTTACTATTATTTTGGCAGCAAGGATGTCTATTGGTGCAAACAGAGCTTGACGCGTAGCGCCAGCAGTCTGGGCCACCGGGAAGCCAACAATAGCACCACCACAATCACTACTAGTAACGGTGGCCAGCTAATTGCCAAGGCGCGTCGCCGTCCGCTGCAGCTGTGCAGCAGCCTGAGTGCCGCATATGCACCGCCAAAACGAAAGGAATTCTATTTTTGTGATAAATATGCATCCGGTGGCTCTTCCAACTCCACCACCAATAGCAATAGCTGTAGCAATGTCAAGCACACGGCAACAGCCGCAACTAACACAAGTGCGCAGCCAATCGATGTGCGTTTGCTGAACTTTCTACGTAATGCACAGCGCAGATTTCAATCAGCATCGACAACCGTAACAACAGCAGCAGCCGCAGCAGCAACAGCAGCAGCCGCATCAGCGACAACAACTAAACCAAAGTCTGAAATCAACAGCAGAAGCAACACCAAAGAACGTGCCTCAGCTAGGAACTGGGGCAACAACAATAATAACACCAGTAGCGGCAACAACAACCACAGCAGCTCTCTGCCGCTGATAATCAGTACCGATGATTGGTTTGGTTAGTATATAACAATAGATTATTCGATAGGATAACATATTAAAAATAAATATAAAGATGAATGTATGTAACCATGCTTAGTTATATTAAAAGTATATTGTTATCTCTCATATATATACATATCTACCTATATATATGACAATATACTTCTGGAATAACACAAGCTGTGTCTTAATCAATTATTAATTTCTAATAACAGAAAAATGATCAAAATTCTGTTAGCTGTTAAGTGCTTTATTTTGGCCAGACAACGGTTGGAAAAAATATACCAATTGACCAATTGACTTGAGAAGTATTTATTATTAATAGTTATTTCAGCGACCAAGACACCAGAGCCACAAGGAACATAGTTTAAATTCCTGGCTAATCTATAGTTCTGGTGTTGTCTTAGTCGATTATGATGTATTAACAGCTTACGAATAAATCATAAAAGTACAACAACAAAGCCACCTTAAATACAAAATTCTATTTTATTTGCGGTTTATGTGGTTCCTCCTCCTTGGTATTTTTTTTCTTCGCGTTGCATTTTGCCAACGAAATTTCATAAGCCGCAAAGTAACATCTATGTCTCTATAAAACATGCCAAAACAAAAACAGCCCTGTGCTCAATGTCGCAAGTGCTGTGCTGCATATAAAGATATAAAGTTACCATCGTTGCGCTTGGTAAATCATCAAACATCGAAACCAGACAACAGCTAAGGCAACAGCCCACCAACTACACATTCAGCGCCTTGTTTTGGTTGACATTGATGTCGGGTTTTGAGTTTTGGGCTTTGGATTTAACAAAACCAAAAGAGTTAGTGTCCAATTGCAAGATGTTGCCGACTCCAGGGAGCTTGCCGAGTAACCAATGAGGCTATAAACCAATATTACATTTTTTTATTTTGGGATTTTAAATTTAAAGTTGTTTTTTTTTTGTGAATATTTTGAAAGTGAATGGATCGTAGTTTATTTACACTCCTACAAGAGGTATTCCAAATTGGTCATAAAGAATGTGTTAATCTTATCTTATAAAAAAGTTATGGTTACCTTCTTTAAAAAAATATACTATAAAATCATCGTAATCTACCCTATAGTTCTATGTTATTTAATGGATAAATACAAATATATTTCCAAGAAAAATAAGCTAGCCGACTTACTAAATAACTGACTGAATGCCCCACAGGCAACTCGCAACAGCAAATGGGAGGGATGGAAATTGTATATGCTACAGCAAGTATATATATGCAGTTCAACACTTAACATATAGAGGTAAAAAGTACGTGAGAATCTTTTGTATTGCTTCCTCATTGTATTCAGAGTTAAGGAAGGAACCGAGCTGAAGCAGAGAGCATGGGCGGGAGTAAGGGAATCAAGAAAGTAATTTTGTTTAGTTTCGAGCTGGAAAGTGTAAAATAATAATGAAAAGAAAGAAAGAAGTAACTTTAGTCAGTTAGTCTGTCAGTTGAGTGAGGCATAACAAAAGGTGTGAATGGGACGAGCGGAGGAATGGAGGAATGGACCGAGCGGAGGCCACATGATGATGATAGTATGAATGGCGTGCCACAGTCACATTGAGAAGGCAGGCAGTCAGGCAGACTGGCAGACTGGGGAACGGAGTGCCTTGCTCCGCTGCCTTTTTGTCCAGCAATTTGCATACATATGTGTTGCATGCAAAGCGGGACGTTGCAAAAACCGCAAGCAGACAGCAGGAAGAAGGAAGCCAATTTACATACATATAAACAACATGCAAACTTACCTATATAGAGACACTCATGCACACATATCAGCTCCTATATAATTAATAATTACATGGGTACTACCTGTGTGTCAGGTGGGCAGACGATCAGCCTGCAAGTGGGTACCGCTGTGAATCAGTTTGAGGTTAGAGTTTGTTCAATGTGAATAAGTCCTTGAAAAGGATTTTTCTCATATCGTGTTCGACAGACATCTGCAATTATATTTATATATTTTTTTATAGATATTTTTTCTTTAGGCTTAGGCTGTCTGTTATTGACTATTTTTATCCTTTCATATAGGTGAGCTAGGAGCAGTAAATGTACTTTTATTGAATAATATAAGGGATAGGCTAACCACCATTTTGGTATTCCTTGAGTGTACTTTTTGTGACTTCATTTATCGCAATTTTTTATGTTTATTAGTGGAACTATATTTACTTTGATTATAATGATATATGTGCAGATACATATATATTTCTAACGTCAGCATGTCATGTAATATTTAGTTGTTTTCTTTTAAAATTCCTATCTATTTTTTTGTGTTAGTTGCAAGTTAATTCCTTTTGTAGAATCGCCAAGAGAAAATCGATAGTTAATATATATTTGAAAAAGCGATATAATAATTAAATTGTGTTATTTGCAGCAATTGCAATCTTCCTCATTTAACTTACGTAATTAATTTAGAATTTGTTTAGTTTTTAATTAGCTATGTGGTCGTCTGGCAATTTGCGCAACCTAATGAGAATTACCTCATCCATAGCCATAGCTAAACCGATAATATAGCCATATAAGCAAGTGCCTGTTGACTGGCCTGGCATACTGCGCATTTTACACACACCCACAGCACGCTTCCTACATTGATTGACTCAAGTATGTGTGTGACAAAATAAAATAAAATAAAAGTGCCGAATGAGAGATACCCTACACACTGTATGGAGCAGCTGTGCGATGAATTTTCACTTCTTTCAAGTACATACCCAAAAGTCCTTTTTCACGTAATCGTCAGGTATGTCGACTAGGATATACCGCAGTCCCTGGGAGTAGTTAAGCTCCTCGCTAGACATTCAATTGTGCATATAGTAAATATATGTGTGTATATCTGATAAGCTTTCTTTCAAATGTGTTACCCATTCAAATGGGTATAGGGTATGCAAATAAATAAAACAAACCATTGTCCATGAATCATTGATGTTTATGGATGCGTTCGCACTCATGTCCGGCAGATCATTAACTTTATTTTTAAAGCCCCAACCCTTTCGAAATATATGATTATTTTGTGCACTCAACAATTGCAATGCAAATACTCCTCACGATATATATAGCATTTAATTATAATAACAGCCGGCCTGACAGGCGACAATTTCAGCCAATAAATATATTTGAGATCATTTTTCATGCAATTTACTTGCACTTAATGAAGCTTTTCGAGTTTGTTGTTTGCTTTTTTCATATTCTTCCTTTGTTTTTTTATACGTATACCTAATGAACACTTTGTAAACACGCGTACAATATTTTTTATACTATTTGGTTATGCATTTGCCTTTTGTTTACTTGCTTTTTACAATCTCTTTTTGACTTGGAGTTACGGTAGATATATTTTGGTTTATGTTTACAGTTCGCGCGTGCGTGCCTTTGGCAGAGCAGCAAACTCAATGCTTCGATAAATATATATCGATAACACGCATTGGCATTTCAGCTGTTTCAGCGAAACTGACATATCAATTTGCATAAAACTCAAGTGCCAATTGGCAAATAGAAAACGTTGAATGACTAATTAAAAGCCAGAGTCCAAATGAGAACTTGTACCCATGATACATACAATGTAATGTAGGTACACCTATAATGTCATCAAGTCTAGCGGGTGTTGCCAGCTCTATGTTGACAGTTATAACACTCTTTACCCCGCCCACCCAAAACTCAGTTATCGTGCGTGTGTCATATATGTAAATGTGTAATTACATTAAGCTTCGCATCACAATGACTTGGCTTTGTTTGCTTGTCAATTTTGTAGCGTCAACATATTTATATATGTATATATATATAGCATCCATATGGCATCTGTTCGAGTATACAAATATATCCGTCTGAGTCATGCACGACAATGAAATACGCAAAATTATTAAAATTGAGATGCGCTGGGGCAGGCTCTCTCAGATCCTACAGTCGAGATGACGCTGAAGGTCAAGCATCAATTCTTTTAAGCCTTTGAGACAGTAAGATAAAAATAAACGAGTGTACTCTGGCGAGAATACCCGACTAGAATTTATCATAAATATATATCATAAGTATATATATCCTGTACATCTAGCTCTAACTGATTATTACAACATTAAACACACTCTCAAGCTAATGACCCAATTTCTTTTGAGATGTATTTGCTCGTTCATGCTCGGTGCGTCCTCTTGTACACGACGTTAACTACAGGGTATAACGCGTATAAAGTTCGTAATTTATATTATCATGGGGTTAACTGCAGTGACATTTTGAAAATGATATCAACAGCTACAAATTATAACGCACAAAGATTATTTTAGTTGAGATAATGGGACTGCACAGAGACTAATGACTTCAATGACCATCATAACACATCTGTCATATATGACTTTCTATATACATATATTAGTTTAAAAAGTAAGTCTATTGACAAGATTTATACATATATTTGTATACATATTTTTTTTTCTTCTGAGGTGTGTGCTGCTTCGTTTAACGAAAAATTTGTTCAATTCGATCATTAGAGTAATTGCAATTCGTTGTATTGTCAGATACAAGTAACTTTGTATCGATTCGCGTGACTTTCGATCGGGAAACTAATGATAACGTTGACTGATGACTGCAAACCCTATTTTCGGGAAGTCATGCACAAAATAATTTCAAAAACATCAAAAAGAAATAATAAAAGAGTGATAAATCATACACAAAAGTGTGGATAATTGCAAATGGCATGAGTCTCATGTACAACGGATGTGGTTTAAAAATGCTATTTGTATTTCGAATTGAGCAAGGTCAAAGCTGAACTTGGCTAATTTGATAGGCTTTTACCCCAGCAATTGGAGTTGCAGCACCTCCTTTCACACAATTGAAACGTAGTAAACAGCTTGAAAGACGATTCTCTCACGATAAATCGCTGTCTCGCCACACAATGAGAAGAATCGAAAATTAAATATGCTAAAAGTGTTTCCGCAATGAAATTTACATAAAATTTGAAAATTAGGCAATGCCAACAGACAACATGCCCAACCCAAACTGATTTCAGACACAATTGCGAACCAAATGAATCCAGAGAACTAACAACAGAAATACAAAAGCAAAAACGACTAAAAACAAACAAGAAAGAATGCACTCGAGTTTAACCAACTGTATAATAATTGCTTTCGGTTTAGAAATAGCTAAATAGATCAATAAATAAATTATTTTATATAATTTGTAAGTCAGCAGCAGAACTCAGCAGCAAAGAACCCATCAAAACTTTGATATTGCTTAGCCATAATACAGACAAGAGCAACATTGGTCACAGCCAATATACTCTTTTCTGACTTCCTGAACGAGTATAACTAGAAAATTTTAAGTTCTACGGCAGAAACTAAATGTAAGTTTCGTCATGCTGCGAATTTATGGCTAAATACATTTAAAAATACCTTGAGTATTTGAATGTCCCACCTGGACAACTGCTGATTCATCGCATAATTAAATGTAAAGCATTTTACGATTGCAAAAATTTACATAGTAATAACGCTCCACTGAATTTAAAAAAAAAAAACTATATATATATATATATTTTTTTTTTAAATTCATATATATATATATATTAAGTTAAATGTAAATTTAAGCTAATTAGCTTAAAGCTAAGCTAAATATGAATTGTCTCAAATTGCCTTGATGTAAAAGGTTTTATTAGCTGGCAGGTCTCAAGGCTATTAGTAACATGTCATATACCCTTTTTATATGATACACAAGGATTACAGGGTATTTGGCTACATGTGAACAGTAGCTGAAAGTTACTCACAAAATCGCACAGTAAAAGTTTCAGTTGTGCATGTCACATGCAAATGTTTTACATTTGCCAAAATCTTACCATATTTCTCGCTCGCTCTTCATTCGCTATCTCGCTCTCACTCGATCTGCTTTTTCTCTCTCTACGTGCGTGCGAGGGCGTTGCTGCTGCGCTTTATTATCGCTGGTTTAATATGCGTGTAATGTTTCCACCAACAATTTAAGTTTGCTAGTGTAAATAAATATATATATATATATATATATAAATATATATAAGTGTATTACATATATATTTGTTGTTTTTTTAGCTTTTTGCGTAACTGTTGCCGACTGTTTAGCAAAGTTATTTCACCTGCTTAAATAAACGTGCATGGGATTAGCTAAATGTGTGATACGACTTCCCAATGACACTGATAAACACTTGTATTTAAGTTATGTTTTTGATATACTTAAGATAATGACTATATCTCAGCGCGTGTCTAAATACAAGCACAATTATTTTTAAGAAATGAATTAGATAAATTAAATTATATCATATACACATTAATCAGTCACTTCAATATAATTATATATTCATATTATACAGCATTCTGTGTTTATATTTTATTCTCTTTCATTATCTGAGGAGTATTTTCTGTTATAGGCTCTTTCTGTATGAATAAAAAGTGCTTCCTCGTCCTATGGGGCTGTTTTTTTTTGTATGCTGGAATTACGATATTACGATATAAAAGCTAATTAACATATAAGATAATGTGAACAATGCTGATAAAATTAAATTAAATTAATTAAGCAAAGTAGCTAAAGAGACAAATTATAGTTTATTAACTTGTGTCAATATATATATATATATATATATATATATATATATATATATATATATATGTGTGTGTGTGTGTGTGTGTGTGTGTGTGTGTGTGTGTGTGTGTGTGTGTGTGTGTGTGTGTGTGTGTGTGTGTGTGTGTATATGGGTAAATTATTGTTGGGTGGGACTTCTTTTAGATCACTTTCGTAATGCCGTAGGTGGCCAGGGCGTTGCCTGTCATGCGTTACTCAGTTGCCAATAAAAATGTATCTGCTTCATGCCGAGCTGCACTTGAATATGAATTTGAACTTGAAATCCTATTAGCGAATTTTTTGAGTAATACTTGAATAGTTGAAAATTGAATGAGCGAATATTTGCCATTGTGGCAGTGTGTGTATGTATGTGTGTTGCGCGAGCGGGCGTGTGTGTGAGTGTGACTGAGGGTCTCTCTGTCAAAGATTAATTTATAATGGCCGCTAAGGTGTGTGCTGTGCTGTGTTGTGATTAGATTAGCAGTAAAGTGCTAAGAATTTATCCATTGACTTAATGAATTTTCACATAAATACTTTTACAGACGAAGAAGCAAGCGAATCAGCAAAGGAAACACAGGCAGGCTTAGCTAAAACAAATAACCAGGCGCTGATAACCGTTCAGATCAAGCAGGGGAAACGCCAACAAATACAACTAAAGCAAAAGAAACAACGCCAAATAGCAACAGCAGCAGCAGCAGCTGGGGCAGGCGGACAGGTGACAACGCCAACAGGTGAACCGAACGTTGGCAGCTGCAAGGTCGAGGATATGAACAGTCACGCGACCGCCACACAGAACGGACAATCAACGGTCGTTGGTCATCATCGCGGGTACTCGCAGCCATCGTCGATCGCTGCCGCTGCCGCGACAGCCGCGTCAGGCGGCACAGCCGGCGATCCATGGTATCTGCAAGCGACTGGGCATCAAATGCCGCCAACCGCTCCGCTGAGGCACAATAAACGACCTGCACCACAGCCCAATTCCATGGGCGTGGTCGGCGTTGGAGTTGGTGTTGGTGCTGCAGCAACGCTACTGCATCAGCAACAGCTGAGTCAATCCCAGCCACACATTATGCCGCCAAGCATACCACCGCACCATCATCATCATCATCGCGACAACAATGCGGTATGTCAAAAGCTAATTGCTGGATCAGCAAGCACATTCTATTTAAATTAAATTAAGTTCTTAATTCAATTATAAAGTACTCGGGGTAATCAGAAGGAGAAGAACACAATAATTGCAGGTGCATTACAGTTGAAAGTGATTGTCTGTTTTTTAAATTCAAGTGGATACAGAAATGCTCACCTAGACTAGCACTATATTAGCAGTGGGCTCAAATGGATATGGAGCGTTATAAAATTGATAATGGTTATAAATAAGATATAAACGTGCGTCATGCGGAACAATCTTATCTAACGTGCAGTTAGATATTAAATTATTCTAAGCTCATAATAGAGGTAAAGCCTAATGAATTAATTAATTCAGTTTATGGGATAAAATATAAATATTATCAATCTAATTTATAGGCAAATGAATTAAATTCACGACTAATAGATAAAAAACTCGGTTCTCATTCTGTTACAGCACCAAACAGCATCAGCAGCCGCAGCAACGGCTTTACATCTGTCATCGCATGCACTAAATAGTCATAATTTAATCAACAATCATTCGCCAAAATCGCCCAATCAAACACAACAGCAGCAGCAGCAGACGACGACAATACAACAGCAGCAACAGCAACAACAGCAACATAGCATATTGTCAACGTTTGCGCCCGCAACAGCAGCAACACCACATGTCCAGGCCGAACAGGCTGCTGCATCTGTAACGGCAGCAGCTGTTGCCGCCGTCACACAGCAACAGCAGCAGCAACATATGCAGATGCTAGCCAACTGCGCTTCCAGCAATAATCTAATGTCCTCCTCTCTAACGCTACAAGCGCCGGTTGGCGTATTGCCGCCAAAAAGCTTAGTCCTGAGCAGCAGTAGCAGCAACAGCACAACCAGCAACAGTAACAACATGCCAATAGTTGCTAACAGTGGGAGCACCACCAGCAACAGCAATACAAGCAACAACGCCACCAGCAACTGTAGCAACACCAACAGCACTGCAGGCATGTCCACATCGCTGCATAGCTTCGATATAAACGGCAGCGGCGGCAGCATGGACAAGTGGACAAGTGGATCCACAACTGCAATGAATCACGCATCGCTATCGCCTACGGGCGCACCGCAGCAGCATCACCTACGCAAATGTGAGGTTAAACTGAATGCAATGCCGTAAGTTGAGAATTGAAATTTCTTGAGAATATATACATTTACATACATTCATAAAAATAGTAGATTCCGAAATAAAAAGGGAGTGTCTGAGGTCTAGTAACTATGAAGTAGTAAAAAAGTTCATAGTCTCTATTTTACTTTCATTTAAAGCATAAATCACAGATATGATAAGTATCTGAATGCAAGTTTAAAAATAAGATTTATTCAGTTTTTAACGCCAGTTATATCTACAGCATTTGCAGAAAGAGTTTTGATCGCCTGTAGCATCCCTTTGATATACAGATATATAACATAAAATTCAGGGTATATTGCTTGCTATAAATGAAAAACAAAACATTCTGAGATAGGGTTTGCCTTTACAAAACTTAACCAAGGTCAATTTAAGGCTGTTTTTACTCTTATATCACTCTGAAATGCTTGTGTTAATCATTATCTTCCATTAGCTGGTTTCATGGCAGCATAACGCGGGATGAAGCGGAACATTTGCTGCAGCCACGCGAGGATGGGCTATTCCTAGTCCGTGAATCGACCAATTTTCCCGGCGATTACACGCTGTGCGTTTGCTTTCAGGGCAAAGTAGAGCATTATCGTGTCAAATATCTGGAGAACAAGTTAACCATCGACGATGAGGAATACTTTGAGAATTTGGGACAACTGGTTGCGGTAAGTCGAAACAGAATTTCCGAAGCCATAAGTATTAATAATCTCTGTTGACCACCCTTTAGCACTATGAGGCCGATGCGGATGGACTATGCACCCAACTGATTAAGTGTTTGCCCAAATTGGGCAAACAAGAGTTTTGCATTAACTCCAAAGAGTTTGTGGATAAGGGCTGGGTTATACCTGAATCGGAGCTCCAGCTGCGCGAAAGCATTGGCAAAGGCGAGTTCGGCGATGTCCTTCTAGGAATACTACGCAACGAGAAAGTCGCCGTCAAGATGCTCAAAGATGAGGGTGCTGTGCAAAAATTTCTCGCTGAGGCGTCGGTAATGACGTAAGTTATATATCTGTAAATATTTAGAATCTACAGAACTTGCTTAATTAACATATGATTTTCATTGATAGAACGCTGGAACACGAGAACTTAGTCAAGTTTATTGGCCTTGTTTTCACTAGCAAGCATCTGTACTTGGTGACCGAATACATGAGCAAAGGATCGCTGGTTGATTATTTGCGTTCTCGTGGACGACAGCACATAACCAAAAAGGACCAAATCAATTTCGCCTTGTAAGCCCCTAATATAATATAATGTCATAATATATATTTCTCATGCGTTATATATCTTGCACTTGGATTTGCAGCGACACGGCCTCTGGCATGGAATATCTGGAGGCCAAAAAGGTTGTGCATCGAGATTTGGCTGCCCGTAATGTTCTTATCTCGGAGGATTGTGTAGCTAAGGTATCCGATTTTGGTCTGGCACGCGAAGAATGCTATAATCTTGACGTTGGCAAACTGCCCATCAAATGGACAGCGCCCGAAGCACTAAAAAATGGCGTAAGTTTGTCTAAAGCTAAAAAATGTAGTTTAAGTCATAGTAGTGTACAAATTATAATGCTTAAAGTTTAGTCTGAATCAAATTTGACTTCGATTCAGTATTGTTTTCAAAAACATCTTACTAATTTGCTAATTATTTTTCATAATTCCTTAGCGCTTCTCCAATAAATCGGATATGTGGAGCTTTGGCATACTACTGTGGGAAATCTATTCCTTTGGACGTGTGCCTTATCCCCGAATAGTAAGAATATATGATCCATGATCTATAAGTTAAATACACTAACCGGTTTAACCTTTAGCCATTAGCGGACGTAGTGAAGCATGTAGAAGTTGGCTACAAAATGGAAGCACCGGAGGGTTGTCCAGCGGAAATATACGAGATGATGCGTCAGGCGTGGGACTTGAATCCAGTGAAACGGCCAACATTTGCGGAGCTAAAGGTGAAGTTGCAGCAGCTAAACAATGCAACAGCGTGAGAGGCGGGCGAGAGCCAAAACAACAACATTAGAGATATAAAAGAAATCAATTCAACAACTAATGGATATTTATGTTTGAAACAAACTTTGATTTGAGGGCTGGAAAATAAAAAAGAAAATCCGCCAAGACAGAACGAAAGCTTAATTTACACACTGACACTGAACGCAACAATTTTTCGTACCAATATATATAAATATATATATATATATATATATATATATATATATATATATATATATATATATATATATATATATGTAATTATTTAGACGTATATAACTAATTTACAACAATTTATTTACATATATAATTTATACGATAAGTTTTTTGTAAGCTTAAGCGAAGGAAACCCAACACAATCAAGCAATGTTAGTGAGATGCTATGCTAGCAGCTAACGGTATATATATACATATAAACACATTTAAAGCGTTGTGTAGCTTACTATTACTATTACAAAAATATATATATATATATTCGTGTTAACTGTAGGTTTGCTATTTATATAGTTTGGCCCCTCCAATTCAATTAATTATTTACATTACTATCACTCTCTTATATATATATATATAAATCTATGTTTTATGTTATAGAATACACATACATATGATTAATAAAATTGTTTATAGTTTTTGTTTTTACCTATTCAGCTTATTTGTAAATCAAAATTTTAGGTTGAGTTGTGTATACTTTCTGTTAAACATGTTCTAGAGCGATAAAAACAAAAACTTGTAATAAGTTGCTGAACTACTAAATGAAGAACCCACTACATTATCAGTATAAATAATAAAAAGTAAATAGCTCCTGCAAATTAGTTAAATTTAGTTACATTTACATTTGTATATCTAATCAAAAATGAGCAAAAATTATAAAAACAAAACTTCAAGTAAAAAATTAAATTTGGAGAAAAAAATCGATGTTTTATCAGCTTGGGCTGTGCGTCCTTAAAAGCAACAACAAGAAACAACAAACACTTGTGAAAATATGCATTACATTAATACTACACCTAAAAATCAACAAAGTTATGAAAACATTAAACTCTAAATAACATACTAAGTATATTATGTGGCATGTTTATTGTATAATAATCATAATAATAATATAAATTTAAATTATTACGCGCAAGTTTCTTCTATGTAAAACTCCCAAATGTTTTGTCTATCTATTTGTTTATAATAATAGAATCTCTTGCAAATTTATATATATATTTATATGCTGATATATCTGCTATACATAAATCCAAATCAGCAAATAAAATGCTTAAGAGAAATTGTAATTTATTAACATTAATATACAACATACTTAACCTTTTATGTTTTATCTTTAGTGTTTTTTATGTTTCTTGTTTCATAAGAAACTTGTACAATTTTGCTTTAATACTTACTTTTATTTTGCACACGCAGACACACACGTACACGTCCACTTTAATTTACAATTATTTTATATTTAAAGTTATTACTTTTTTAAAACAACAACTCTTAAGTAAAATTAATACACAACAATTTTTGTCAAACAAACTTTAAGTTAGCAAAAAAAAAACGCAAAAGTTTTACACAAAAATCGCACGAACACGTAATATTTAAAGGAATGGAGTTGCAGATTGAGATGAATATAAAAACTTTTAATAAAAGTGAAAAATTATACAAATTTTAGTTTTCTTGAACTTTATGGCGTGGGAAATTGGGTTAAACTGTATATTTTAAAAATTTAGAACTGGAACCCCAAATGTTTGACACGTGAGTTACTCTTAAAATATACAGATCGACAAACAATTAAGTATTCGCCCTCAATAGGGGCGGGAGTGTAGTGAATACCGTAAAAGCTAGAAATATCAGATCTACTGTGTTGGTTTTTGTAATGAATACGCGAATTTAGTATATTTTGGATTTTGTATTTTGGATTTTGGATAACTATCCCATTCAAACCAAATTCATTTAAATCGTATTTAAATCGACTTGTGCTTTGGTAAAAAACAGACAAATATAATTTATTAAAAATTAGCATTTAGAAGAGAAGTTCTGCATCCCATCACATAGCCTATACTGGATCCCAAGCGCAGTAGCTGTATGTGTGTATTAAAGAAGCGTCGAATGTTTGGAATATCATTTATTCGCAGGGTTCAGAGTATCTCCTAGTCGAGCAGCATCGACAAGAGCACTCTTAATAGTTTTCTTTAAAACTTTGAAATTTGAAATTCGAAAAAATTTGATAGATCTGATATTAAGACAAAAGATTGGCGTGTGATATTCAGTACATGAAATGGGTTGATTACACATTTCCGTTTTACAAACACGTCCTACTACTAAAGATTAATGTGATAATATTATACCATGCCGTTCTTAGCTATATAAAAGCTCATCGATGCAACAACGAAGTTACATTCAATCCAAAATGAAGTTTCCAATTGCACTTGTAGGCATATTGATATCATTATGTGCCAGTACGATCAGCAAGGTAAATCTATGCAATCTTCGACAATTTTTTAATTAAACAAGGTCTAAAATTATGTCCAAGGATATTTTCCTAACAGCGCAATTATGACGTCGAAATTGTGTCTATAGCTGCAAACTCTACGGATGAAAGCAAAGGAAAAATAGATCTACGTGTCGAACGAATCTCTCGTGGCGAAACTGTTCTAAATGGAACTTGGGATTGGCAATATGATATAGACGATACTACCATGGTAATGTATATGGCTTTTACTAAACTAACTTGGTAACAATTGACGAATCCATTTTTGCTTTCTTTACCTTTCTGTGTTTCAGTTGGAAACGATCATTTATAGTTCTACCAGTGGATCTGAGAATGACTATAAAGTGCTACCATATAGTATACCATCGATCACATTTAACGAATTTTTGGAGAAGCACTACAATGAAATTATATATGCGAATTTTAGAAACTGCTCAAACTTAGCACTTTTCAAAAACAGATTGGAAACCCCTTGGAAAAAAGCAACTTATACATTCAATCTATGTCGGCCGAAGGGGGATGGCTCACCGGATGTTCTTCCCGATGGCTTCTATAAAATATTTGTTCGGATTAACGGCGAAATCGAGGTCATTTTGATTGCTGTTTTCAAAGTTTTTCGGGTATTTTATTGAACAAGATCGTTCCCCTAGATTTATTTTAAGTTTTTCCTCAATATTGCAATAAAAACTAAAGAACATATTTTGTATTTGTACATAACATTCTTTATGTATGGGACCTATAATCGGCAAATTACCAATAAACTATAAAAGAGCGATTGTTTATTCGTTTACACACTTTTTTTGTGATTTTTATTTTCATTTAACATTGGCCAAATAACTTAATTGTGACTAATTATAGTTGCAGGTTATAACTAAACTTCATGCAAAGAAACTGTTGCATTACTTAAGGCTTAAATTTAATCGGTGCATAGATTGACGGTCGGATTCAGTTCTACTTTTGCAGACGGCGTGTGGCTCGTCTAATGGGGCGGTTTTCCGGTGTGCTGGGCGGCGCACATACATTCATCTGCTGGCCAGGCATGCCAGTAGCCGTTGTCGGCGTGGCAGCAGCATTAGCACCACTACCAAAACTGAACGCAGCGCCATTCGTTGGCGGCGCTGGGCTGCCAAAGACAATCGATGGGGTTGAATTACCGGCGTTGGTGCCAAAGGAGAACGGCTTATTGGCTACATTGTTACTGCTGGCCTGCGGCGATGTGATGCCACCAAAGGCAAATGGGACATTGGCATTGGTTGTGTTACTGTTGGTGGGATTGCTAGCGCTGAAGGAGAAGCCGCCAGGCTTAGCCTGTTGTTGGTTCTGTACTGCGGACACTGCGCTGCCAAACAGACTTCCACCTGGATTTGTGGCATTGCTGGCCGTCGCACTGCTGCCAAATGTAAAGAGTTTCTGATTGTTAACGTTAGAAGGCGCTGCTGCTGCTGACGGTGTCGCAAAACCACCAAAGCCGTTGCCTGGCGCGATGGCTCCCGCAGGAGCTGCCGCTGTTGCTGAAGTTGTGTTGCCTGAAAAATTAAAACCTGTTTTCAGTCCGCCAGTTCCAACGGCTAACGGCGTTTTAAATAGGTTTGTGGCCTCGCTTTTTGGAGTCACCGTTGAAAAGGAAAAGCCGCCCACTGCTGGTGTTCTCTGTTGTTGTTGCTGCTGTTCTTGCTGCTGTTGCTGTTGCTGCTGTTGCTGCTGCTGTTGCTGCTGCTGTTGCTGCTGCTGTTGCTGCTGCTGTTGCTGTTGCTGCTGCTGTTGCTGCTGCTGTTGCTGCTGCTGTTGTTGCTGCTGCTGTTGTTGCGTATTTTCCGTGCCACCAAAGGTAAATGATTTGCTTTCCGTTGTATTACCACTACCGAATAAAGGGGTCTGCTTGGGCGTGGCATTGAAATTGAATGCGTTTGTAGCTAATTCTGCTCCGAGTGCAACGGGAGCTGTTCCATTAAAGTTGAAGCTGTTGACCACCGCACCTGCTGGTGCTGCTGTTGTTGTTCCTACAATTTTGGGTCCATCGCCACCAGCGCCAAAGCTAAACAGATTGTTGCCACCGCTTTTGTTGGGCAGCGTGAAAGGCGTTGCCTTTGCAATGGGCTTGCTTGCACCGCCAAATGCAAATAAATTCGGGCTATTTTCTGATGGTGGAACAGCTGCTGGTGGTGCTGTAGTTGCAAAAGTAGGAGTTTCACTAGCAGCAACAGCTCCGGCACCACCAAAGTTAAACGCGAGCTGTCCTGTGGCACCTGCACTACTAAATAGGGGCAATGTTGCTGGTGCTGCAGGACTTTTGCCGAAACTAAATGGTGCTGGTGAAGGTGCTGCAACTGATTTAGCAGCGATGTCAAAGCTGTGCGTCGGTTCCTTGGGCTGAGATGAAATATTATTCACCGGAGGTGCAGGAGTACCTGTAGCAAGAGATGAAATATTATTCACCGGAGGTGCAGGAGTACCTGTAGCAACAGTTGCTGCTGCTGCTTCACTATTGCTGTTGGTGTTGCTGCTGCCAAATGAAATGGGTTTGATTGTTGCTGGAGCAGGTTCAATTGTTGCTGATATAGTTTGAGTTGGAGCTTTGCCTAAGCTACCCACTGGAACGCCTGCTGTTGTAGTTGGCACAGGTGTCAATATTGCAATTGGTGCAGTACTTGTTACTGCATCTACTGCAGACTTTCCAAAATTAAACGTGGGGTTTGGTGCTGGTGCTGCTTGTACTGTAGTTGCTGCTGCTTGTGCCCCTAATCCCGTTTCTGTAGCTTGTACATTTCCAAATGTTAATGTTGCTTTCGCTGGATCCGTTTTTGCTGTTGGTTCTGCTGTCGCTGTAATCAGTTTTGTATCTGTTGAAACTGCTGGCTTGCTAAAAGCAAACGCTGGCGATACAGCGAATGCTGTTGTAGCTGTAGCAGTCGACATCGAATTCATAAATGTTATAGCTGTTGATGGTGCCGTTGTTACAGGTGCCGTTGTTACAGGTGCCGTTGTTATTTGCTTGTTTGTTGCAGCGGGCAGGGTAAAACCCAGAAGAGCACCTTTTCCAGTTGATGAATCTTCGTTTAATTTTTTTGTAGCATCGTTTAATGGTAGCACAGATGTGCTATTGCAGCTAGTTGTTGGCGCAGTTATTGTAGATATTGCTGTTGTTGATGTTGATGTCGTTTGTTCTATTGTAGTTTCTGTTGTTGTTGTAGCTGTTACTCTTTGAGTTAGGGCTGTTTGTTCTGTAGTCGCCGCAAGTATAGTTGGCTTAGTCGATGTTGTGTTCGTTGTAACATTTGTAATTGTTGCTATGGCTGTATTTTTTGTTGTTGTTAGTTCAACAGATGCTGTAACTTTAGTAGCATCCAGTACATCAGTTGACGTTTCGTCTTGATAGATTTCACCCCGCAGGCTACTCAACATTAAAGCCAGTTTCGTTTTCTGTGTACGCTCCAAATGGGAGTTCTTGCTAGTGCCAATTGAGTGCTCCTGTTTGGGCTTCACAAACTGTATACCCGCATATTCGTTGGCGTCCACATCGGGACTATCTAAATCAACCTGCTGCTGCTGCAGTTCTTTTTGTTGCTGGTGTTGCTGCTGCGGCTGCTGCTGTTGCGGTTGTCGTTGTTGTGCATTAAACAGTGTCAATTTGGGTTTCGACTCGTAGTTTGTATGTACTAGGGGGTCGGAGACCGTACGTTGGGCTGGAGTCGCCGGTAGAGGAGTGATTGGCGTACTCTGCGTCCTAGTCAATTGCTCCAGTTGTAAGTCTGTTGTAGACGGCTGACTTCGCTGTATCTTGGCCCCCTGTGGTCGTGGTGAAGTCTCTGGTGAGCTGCAACTGTTGCTGCGTCTTCTGGCATTGTCGTTGTGTGTAGACGTGTTGTTTGCTGAGCGCATGTCGTATAACTTACGCTTATTGCTATGCAGCTGACTAGAACTCAAGGAGCTTGCAATGTCATTGCTGTAGCTGCAATTACGACGCTTGGCCAACTGCTCTGGTGATTGCTGTGGAGAAATGCTCGCAGGAAAATTATGTGCAGACATGTGTAAAGCCTGATGTTGTTGTTGCTGTGTCAGCGCTATGGCCGGATGATGCGAACGCAATGGAACTGTAACAGTCAATTCACGTTGTCGCTTAAAGCTCGACTGTGGCTGCAACATGGATAACTGATGCTGCTGCTGCTGTTGTTGCTGATGATACTGATGCTGATGTGAATGATGATCCACATAGTCAGTTATGCGATTACAACTTTTTTTGCTGTTGTAATCGTTAGGTTGTATTTCCTGTAAATAATTTATGTTATTTAAGCCAAAGCAAATGCCACCACACTCAACAGTGGTTAGACGCTGACTTACGCCGCTATTAATGCGCTTGCGTGAAATCTCCTTTAGCTCTTCAAGGACACTGCGCGTCGGTTCGCTTTCGTGCTGCAGTGGAGGTGGATGCATAATGGGACGATTCTCTCTCAATAACTGTTGGTCGCTTCTTTTCTCCACGCCCACTAAAGAATTCGAGCGCAACAAACTGGTCAACGTATTGCCACAGTAAAAACTTCGCTCAGGTGGCGCAATACGTGTCATGGACACCGATGGTAGACTTGGCTTATGAGAGAGTGGCGATGAAGCTATGCTGCTACGACGTGGCTGCGTAAGCGGGCTATAAACATTGTTATAAGAGATGCTGCGGTGCAGACCACGGCCATCACCGCTGCTGTCCCTCTGGTATTCAACAATGCGCGATGCTAATCCACTGCTGTTTACGTCCGCAAATGTTCTGCATATTGGAATTATTATTATTATTAATTTTACGTTTAAAACCTGTACCACTTACTTGGGATCCAGCTGACTGAGATTTAGCCGTTGTCGCGTAATTTTGGATACACTCGACGATGTTTTTGATATTGCATGCAGATTTTTTTTCTGCGGTGAACCATTTGTGTAGCTATTGCTTAAACAAATGCTGGAGTTGCTGGGCTCTTTCAAGAAAATATTCTTTTGCATTTCCTGTGTCACTAATCTCTGTGACCTAAAAACCCAATTTGAACCTTGTTAAAATGTATATTAATAAATTAATATACTTGATTTATACATACGCAGACATGCCACCAATCCATGTGGAGTCAGCCATGGGCTTAGATAAAGGTGACTTGCTCAAACTGTAACTGTGACGACGTTCCATTATTTTGTTCTTGTGGATGAATTATATTTGATTTAATCTGATCACTAAACAATTATGTTTGAAAAATTAAAAACTTACAGATGTCGGATGAAACGTTTTTACATTACTTGGTGAAACAACAAAACACACGCGAAGCAGCTCTAATGAGTTGCGCCTTTGTACTAACTATCGATAAGTAATAGAGCTTGAATACGATAACAGGAACTTGCATCACTGCCAATTTTGATAATGCATGGTAACTCTGTCAATTTCCGTCCTCCATCTTTCCGCATTGGGTTTTCACGATGGTAGGTTCGACTGCTATAGTTTTTTTTAAATTATTAGATGGTTTTTAATATGATAATGAAATTTAAGTGGTGAATATACTATAACAAGCTGCTGATAAACTGCTGTGCTATAAAAACTCTTGAATTTCACCGAGAAACTCCGAGTGCATGAAGCAAATAAATATGAGAGGCCCATAACCTCGAAAGTGAACGTTCTTTAATCATGTGTACATACCAAAATTCAAACAATTGAAGTTGAAATTATATACAAATAGTATATTATTTTTTTGTTTATTCGTAACAGCCGCCTAAGAAGGACGCAAAGTCGTCGGCCAAGCAGCCGCAAAAAACACAGAAGAAAAAGGAGGGCTCCGGTGGCGGCAAGGCCAAGAAGAAGAAGTGGTCCAAAGGCAAAGTCAGGGATAAGCTGAACAACCAAGTTCTGTTCGACAAGGCCACCTATGAGAAATTGTACAAGGAAGTGCCTGCTTACAAACTGATTACTCCCTCGGTTGTCTCTGAGCGCTTGAAGATCCGTGGTTCATTGGCCAAGCGTGCTCTGATTGAGCTGCGCGAAAAGGGTAATTGAACATAAATTGTGATTGGAGCAATGTTTTTAAGCCATGCGTTATTTTTAGGTCTCATTAAGCAGGTCGTGCAACATCATTCCCAGGTCATCTACACACGTGCCACCAAGGGTGATGAAGCGTAAATTTAGCTTTACCACACATACAGTGCCGCACGTAAATTTACAATATAACAATTGATTGTATGAAGGTACCAAGGCTCTACTGCATGTAGTAGAATGTTGAATAAACTTGCTTTTTGATGTAAGGAACATGAGTGTAACATTTTATTGTATTATCATTTAGGTTACTATTTGTTTTTGGGATTGGGCTTCTATTGTTTTTGAGCAATAAAAATCTGATTAGGCGATATAATGCATTTTAAAAAAATACGTTGAAACTACGATAATACATATATTGAGTTTGGCTGCGCGCTCGATAGTTTTGTGTGAATGCCAATTTCATTAGTTATGCAACCCTGCTGACGGCATAAATGTTTACTGGGTAACCAGACGTCTATTTTGATGACAACACAGCAGATTGGTGCGGTTTGTCTTTTCGACTGATTTAAAAAAAAAATAAAATGAATTAAATTGCAAATCCTCAGTAAAATAATAAAAAATTCAATAACAAAAGCGGTACTGCCAACACCTGTGTAAATAAACGGCTGTCCGAGCGGCACGTTAACGTAGCAGGAAACGTTGCGTGCGGCTATTTACACAAAAAGTTGCCGCCGACGCTGCAGAGAAATTCTTAAAGCGTTTAAAGCAGCAGCAGGTGAAGTGGGCCCAGGCTTAGCCCAACGATAATACCACGTATGCAAACAATTACAAACAAAATTTATGTGTGTGTGTGTGTGTGTTTGCGTGATAACAAGAGTAATAATTGTTTTTGTTGTTTAATATCTCTGGTTTTTAGCACGTTTTACACGTTTACCGCTATAATGATACCGTTAACGCACAAGGATCGCAGCAACTTTGGCTATCGCGTCAAGGAGAAACTAAACAGCTGGAAACGCTTAATATTCGCTGATCGCAATTCGCGCAATTTGTTTCTCTTTTTGCTGCTAAACCTTAGTTTTGCCTTCGTCGAACTCTTCTATGGAATCTGGACAAACAGCTTGGGTTAGCATATCACACATATATTATCCTATATATATAATTGATATTTACTATCGATTGACATATTTATAACTAGGGTTGATCTCGGACTCGTTTCATATGTTCTTCGACTGCACGGGGCTACTGGCGGGTCTGGCTGCCTCGGTCATAACGAAATGGAAAGCAAATGATAAGTTCTCCTATGGCTATGTGCGTGCCGAGGTACTAGCAGGCTTTGTGAACAGCTTGTTTCTGCTTTTCATTGCCTTCTTCATACTTTCCGAGGGCGTGGAACGTCTGATAGAGCCGCCTGAAGTAAAACATGAGCGACTTTTTGTGGTATCTGTGCTAGGTCTCCTCGTCAATCTTGTGGGCATCTACGCCTTTAATCATGGAGGACATGGCCACTCACATGGTGGCGGCGGACATGGACACTCACACGGTGGGGGCTCCAGCCATGGACACTCTCATGGACACAGCCACGATGATCACAGCAATCACAACCATCAGGCCATCTCGTTGGACAATGGTAAGGAGTTTTACTAGTCTTAGTTTAACAGCCACTGAATGATTTTTTAATACTGATCGGTTATTCGCAGCAATAACACTATCTGTCTTGTATTTACATCTACTGTTATTTTCCAGGCCACGGACACTCACATGATCATAGTATGAGCCATGGACATTCGCATGATCTTGGTAGTGGCAGCAATTCGCAAATTATGCGCGGCGTCTTTTTGCACATATTGGCCGACACGCTCGGCTCGGTGGGCGTCATTATTTCCGCAGTGCTTATGCAAATGTTTGGCTGGATGATAGCTGATCCAATTTGCTCCATATTCATAGCGTTGCTTATTGCACTAAGCGTGCTTAGCTTGATTAAGGAATCCATACTAATACTGATGCAACGGCAGCCAAACGCATTGGATCGCTCGCTGCTGCAGTGCTACCAAAAGGTAACTGGCTTGGCTGGAGTCTATTCGGTGCAGGAGCCGCACTTTTGGACGCTCTGCTCAGATGTCTATGTGGGTGCCATCAAGCTGGAGGTATCCAAGAATGTGGATCCTACGTATGTAGTAACGCATACGCGCATGATCTTTGAGGCGGTGGGTGTGAAACAGATCTACATACAGCTCGACTATGTGTGATCCGAATGGCTCCTATCCATACATATATCTATATATATATATATATATATATATATATATATGCAATATATGTATATATACATATATGTATACATATATAGATTTAGATATATATAATTACGATGTATATTGAGCAGCGCGTGTGTTGTGTGTGCGTATTTGTAGTACGATGATGATTATGTGCTTTTATTTACCCAAATTTTAGTTTCCTAGCTTGAATGCGCTATAAAATAACAAAAGCAAAAACTAAAACAGAGCTGTAAAATGTAAACTTAATTAATTGTGAAAACTTTAATTTATTTTCTATTTAAAGTTGTTAAAATGATTCATTCCAACATTATCAAAGCGAAACAAAGTGAGCGTAGTGCAACAATGCAGCAACTGCTGTCTATAGAAACTTAGCATAATTGTAATATATAAGTCCAAAACTTGTGCATTCTAAATAGTACATGGAATTTATTTAGTCTTTTTTACGATTCAAGAGAACAAACCTACAAACTATACATATTTCATGAAATTTGACTGAATAATACACATCTACCCAAATTCCATTGTTTTAATGGAAATGCGAAACAAAATTGCAATAAGCCACAGTTTTTGCTGCATCAAAATTATGAACGAAATAAAATAGAATTTGTTAATATTGTTTTTATACGCAGCATTAGTGGAACGCTACAAAATTGTTTTGGGGGTTTCCAGGTATTTTGATGTGGTTTAGTTAATAGTTTCGGCTGGCATAAAATATTGTTTTTTCTTTTTAATTTCATCGGCTGTGATGATTAATTCTCCTGCATAACTTGGAAATCCTAGCTCTAAGTTGTTGAGGACATAGCTTTTTCACGAGCACAAAAAAAATTTTGCCAACCTGGATATTTCAAAAGTAGCTTAGCTATGAAATTTAGTGATTTGTCTTGTTAAACTTTAAGGAATATGTTCACTTTTTGAAGAAGTATAATAATTGATATTAAAATATTATTTAAAATGATCAATTAACATAAAACAATTTTTTTTAAATAAATCCCTCGCATATTTGCGTAGCAGTTATCATAGGCAGTGCGCACTGTACCATCTGGCACACGCGATCTGACAGGTATACACGTGCGTCTGTGTATGTGTAAGCGTTTGCCCGTGAAAGTGTGAATGTATGAGATAAGCAGCTAGACTATATACGCTCGAATGATAGCGCACAAACACCCATATGTGCTAGTCTTTTTATATATGTATGAATGCATTCCACAGCTACTCAATCACGCAAAATATGGGACAATTTACTTACGGCGGTGCAATTTTAATGTGTATTGCGCATGACAACAATGGTACATTCGTATGTATCACTGTCAAAGGTCAATAACTTTTCGGTTGCTGAGACCTTGTCTGAGTCAATGCCGCACAAAGCGTGTGCACATAAAAAACAGTGAAAGCAGCTGCAATGACATCTCAACTGTGCGTACCTGAACCCATGGGAGAGAAATGTTTCAGATTTGGGTTTTTGGTTATGGCTTCAGTTTTATATATTGTTTTTAATACATACAAATGTTCTTAATTTTTCTGGTTATCGTTTTTATTTTTGACATTCCGTGTTGAAAACAAACGAAACAATACCAAAATTGCTTTGTTGCTATAAAAATATTAAATAACGCTGTTTCAATTACAATAGTTTTACCATAATTTAGTTATTTTTAGCTACTGTGTGAGTGTGGCTCCTGGTGAACTTGTTCTTCCTCGAGGTTCTCCTTGTTATAACTACGAATTTTGCTCATTTCATAAAATAACATTTACATTCATTGATTCTAAATAATATAACGGAATTAACTCGACAATTTGTTTTCATTTTTCTATACATAAACATAAATTGCATCGAACTGCTGCCAAAAAATTAAAAAACCGTAACTAAAAAAATCCGATTGAAATGGGTTATATGTATGCGTGAGTATGTGTGTCCGCCGTCTGCCTATTTGCTTTTGTTAGTTTGTGTATGTTCGGTGGTGGCTGGTGCTTTTGTCCTGCCTGCATTGGGCGTTGCTCGTTCTTCCCGTAAACACAATTTAGCCACTAAATCGAAACATACAGAAAGGAGATGACAGTTTAAACCTTTTCCTCTTCAAGCCCATGCTTGAAGAACATTAGAACTGGAGTACTCTGGCCATCGATATCACGGTATTCACACATGGCGACCATGCCTTCGACGTCCATGGATTCTCCTGTAAAGAATTGGAGCTCCTTGAAACGGCCCAAAATGTCCTTCATGGCTTTATTCATGTTGGTTTTGAAAACGTCGACCTGGTCGGGTGCACTCTCCTGCAACTTTCCGAGAATATTCTTCATGTAGTCCTTTAAGTAGAGAGTGTAGGATTTCTTATCTCCGAAGGCAAATGATTCAACCAGGCGGTGATTCAAAATCACATCGACACCGGTTTCAACTGCTTCATCTGTGCCCTCATCCGCTTCTTCGGCCGACGGATTGGCACCACTAAGTTGAATTTGATCACCCGAGCGAGTGACTAACTTTCCATAGACTTCGTAGATAACCTCATCAACCAGTTTTATTTTGTAGGTGTCAGCGAACATCTCATCGTTGGTAATGATATCTTTGTAGATTTTCATTTTGGCGTCGGTGTTTCAAAATATGAGTTCAAATTTCTGGCAAAATTGCAATTAACAACTGCACTGAACCGGGGCCACAACTGCCACGCGCTGAAACAGTAAAAAGAAGGAACGAGACAAAAAAAAAATGGCGTGTGCTGTTAACTTAACATTTTGCTCAGTTGTTAAAATAGTCTGTTAATGAGGGAAAACAGTGTTTAATTTACTTTTCGCAAATATTGCAACTCCCATTGATTCCTTTAACTAAATCTATGTAGTTTTCCATGGGGATTCAATATACAGGGGTCGAAACATATTTTGTAGCCTGTTAATTCAATCATTTAAGAAATTAATAATATAAGCAGTGTCAAATGAGTAATAACAAACAGTGTCAAATGAGTAATTAGGAATGCATACTGATAAGTTTTCAAAATTTGAAGATTAGTAGTTATCGATTATATTGAAATTAGTTTTGAGACTGCGATTGATTTTTTTTTGTGTTTTCATAATATGTAGTTGCACTTATAAATGTATATTTAATTAATAAGGTATCGTGTGGTACATATATACATACATAAGAGCCCGCCATACTTCAGATGAGATAACAGAACACACAGCGAAAATGTGACTCCACAACAGAAATAATATTTAACATTACTGTGTATTAACAGAAACATCGCACTGTCAAGCTAACAGACCACTTTACATAACATAGTAATGCTCAATCCGACGAACGTTCTATTGTGCGTTTACATGTCTTTTCATCAGTTTCCTTTGAAATCTCTATACTATGTATTGGTTGTGTTTTGACTTAGTTCCCCTTAATTGAATACCGTGCAATCGTAGCTAAATGACCAATTTATTTATTTTTTGTTACGATAGTCTACAAAAGAAAAATACATGTATCAAATTTGATGTCTCTAGATCCATCAGGGCTTTTATATAATATATATAAATATATTTTGTTTTTTCTTTTTTTTTTATATATATAGACCAAATAATTAAAAAAGCTTAAAAACAGTGTCTAAGTTTAACAACAGCTTTTAGGATCTTCTCTATGCAATCCCTTTCAATAAAAATAAATTTGAGTATTTAAAAGGTATTTATATCCAAAAAGAATAAATGAGCTTCACCATTATATTGCATTATATGACTTTTAGTAACAAGATGTGACGTATTTAGTAATTTTGATTGAATACATTTTAATTATTTAATTTAACGGGATAACGGCCGAATTTCTTAGAAAAATAAAAAGATAATTATTTTGACCATCGAAAGCATATCCTCATATGCATCGTACATTGAAATAATAAGAATAGTTAATTAGTCGATTAAACGTATTTCAACATTTTTTAAAGCTGTTGAAAATCATATTTTGATGAATTTGTATTGTTCTTAATTTGTTTTTCAAAAACTAAAAACTTTATTTTGAAAAATAAATCGTCGGGGTGCCCGACAAGGAGATACCATAATCCCTTTCCTAGCAGCGTTTTTTAATGTTTCTAATAGTTCGAGCTTAAAAAAAAATTACAAATAAAAACCGACATTACGACACCAAGATTCGAACCAACTTTGCCTTTGCCACGTGTTTTTGCAAATTGGCCAAACGTGTTGTTTAATAATTTCTGTGTTAATGGAAATTAATGAAATTTTCTGTGTATGATCAACATATTCTATTGAACTATTTGGCAGCTTAGCAAAAAGGTAAACCCCTTCAAATATTGTCCATAATTTCAATGAAACTTAAGAATTTGGGAAAATTTGAAGCCGATATCCAAAATATAACAAAAATCAAAATTGTAGAAAATAGACATAAAACAAAATAAAAAATGTGGAGACTAGCTCTTAAGCAGTACGAGATATATTTTTAATTTATAACAATAAAACGGGAATTTTTATCGAATATTTGAAGAAAACTTGATATGAGTTGTTGCATCTACTTAAGATAATAGACTGATCAATTAGCGTGGTAAGCTCCTTATATATGTATGTATGATACCTCGACAAGGATATTGGCTCAATTGTGACTGCGGATATTGTAGATCTCTATTATAATACCTACGAGGTGCGGCTTTGATGGCAACAACATAATTCTATACCCGGGTAAAGATGCCAATATGTCTGTGGAGGCTTGGGCTGTCAATAAAATGAACTCGATGTTGCCGATTTTACAGATAGAACCATTTTAAACCGTCTGTACCTTACGCGTAGTCACAAGGTCAAGTCTTAACCAATACCAGTCTTCTTGGGAGTGCCGGCTAGAAAATACACTGAATACTGCCTTTAGCTCAATTATTCTACGTTTGGCACCTCTTCTGTGAAATTGCATAGATTTTGTCGAACACTTTCATCAAAGAGGGTCCATATAGGGTTTTTTGCTTCACTCACGATCTTTAGACTGTTATTGCTCTTTTATTTTGAATAACGTTTAAAAGTATTTCAAAATTATTTCCAAAGTCAATTCAGAGAAGCTATGACTATGTTTGTACAAAGCTCACGGTCATAGAACATCGACTCGCCCACGATCTCAATAACTGAACGTTTTACGAAATTTTTCAACAAAACCTCGTATTATTCGCTTAAAACGTCCTACTCCCTTAATAATCGGCTAAACCACCCGCTTCTCAATTTTTGTGCGGTTTTATAGGAAATTCGATTACTTCGGCCGAACGTTCGACAAGTAATGATTGTAATATCTATGGGCTTTGCTAATGATACTGATCGAGCTAAAAGAAAAGTACTAGTATCGGGCGATTCTAAATAGTTTTTTTAGTTAATCTAAGAGTTACGGTAGCTAAAATATAGATTTATTAAACCGCCGATAATAAAATCAAACGTCTAGTTTTTAATCGAAGTCTCTAAGATTATTCCACTATACGATATTTTTGATTAATCGATAAGCGAGTATATACTCATCTTAAGATTTTAACAGTGATGTTTCACTGTTAACCAATGCAATGAAACTGGCCTCGGTCAACGGAATTAAGATTATCTTATAAATGGGTTTACCCAATACTACAACTTACTATAACTTTCTTTATCTGCGGGAACTAAAACAATTTGATTTCTTCTGATATAATATTTTATTAGTGAATTTTTATTGGGCTTTTTATTTATAGACATTAAGTCATTTAACATTGATTTATATCACCTCGGCCTCCATTTGGCAACCATTCAAAGCAGCCAAAATATTTCTGGCTGTTATGCGGGACATCTCCTTTCGAGTTTCAATGTCTGCGCTGCCTATATGGGGCAATATAACAATATTTTCTAGTTTCAGTAATGGGTCGTCTAGTGGCAATGGCTCAGGTGTGGTGACATCCAAGCCTGCAGCAAGTATACGCTTGGAAAGGAGAGCGTCATAAAGCGCATTTTGATCCACAACTCCACCGCGCGCCGTATTGATAAAAATGCAATTCGGTTTCATTTTCTTAAACGCCGACGCATTAAATATTTCCTTAGTATCAGGAGTTAGAGAACAACAAACCACAATAAAATCCGATAAGCAAAGCATCTCGTCAAAATCAACAAGCTGAGCGTTAACCTTAGCAGCCTCTGCAGGCCTCGCCGTGCGGGTCGTATAGGTTATCTGAGATGGCTTAAAGGGAAGAATGCGCGCTGCAATCTCCTGACCAATGCGTCCAAATCCATATAAACCAACACGCGAGTTCTTTAATCCTTGTCCGCACATCCACATTGGCGCCCATGATTTCCAACCCCCATTGTAAACCTGTTTGTTGGCCTCGAACAAACGCCTATTGGTGGCTAACAACAGAGCAAGTGTTAATTCGGCTGTGGCATCGGTCAGCACATCGGGTGTGTACCCAACGCGAATGCCACGTTTTTTGCACTCCTGCACATCAATGTGTTCGAAGCCCACTGAAATGGTGGCCACACATTTAAGTTGCGCCCCAGCAGCATCCAGAACATCGGCATCTATTTTATCTGTGAGAGCGCAATAAAGAGCATCCTTGCCTTTAACTTGGCGGAGTAATTCGTCTCTTGGCACTGGTATAGTCTGCGACCAGCTAGTTACATTGCAACTAATCAAAAACAACAAACATTGAAATTAAAATCAATTTATGAGCACCGGCAATAAACAACCTCTTACGTAGCAATTCCAGTCCACTATTGTCGACATCTGGACGAGTTACAAAAACACTTGGAAGGGAACTCATTGTTGCTTTGTGTAACAGTTGAACAAGGCATTTGGCCTGTTGAATATGCCGTAACTGTATTTTATGCATGTTAACTTCAGCTCAGGTCTGGATTAATGTTACCTACTTTATCTTTATTGTGTGCATTTTATTTGCCCACTGCGGTCACACTGTTTTTCCAGTTTCTTTTGAGCTTAACAGATGATTGTAAAAAACTGAAATAACTAAAAGCATTTTCCTGCCGAAATATTTAGTTATGGATTGGTACATTGGCAAGGAATGGAACGACACAGCGCGTGGTCTGCAAAAGAAGGTACTAAGTTTGGAATTCCAAAGAGTTGAGAAGCCGCTTTTGATAAGCACTGTCGAATTCACCGTAAAAAAGCCCTGCCTGAACTTGGGCACCAGACCTAGCAAATATTTGGCATCTAATGAGACACAACACACATTGGAGATGGGTACCGCTGATAGCCCCATTGATTGCTATATAGAGATATTGTTACAACAGTTCGTTCTCGGCGAAACCTCGGCTTGTAGCATCATCACCAAAACTGGTGAGCGATTGCAGTTCGAGCTAAAGCTAGATCGAATTGTTAGCAATATTCAAATTGACAAGTTAAGCGCAGGGGAAATTTATAATCTGTCATTAAAATACAAAGAGAAAGGTGTGACTATGTATAAGGCACATCCCAGGTTTGCCTGTGACTATTTCTCACGAGCAGCTAAATTATTAATTACATACAAACCATTCGACAAACTGGATGAGGAGAAAAATGGTATCGATAACCATGCGTTGGAGTTGCTGTTCGTGCAGATACAAACAAATTTGGCTGCCTGTATGCTACTAGAGAAGCGTTACGAACACGTCATATACCACACACAATTTGTGGAAACACAGGAGCAACCCAGCGAGAAGAGCATCTATCGACGCGCATTGGCATACTATTACCTGAAGGAATTCGAAAAGGCGCAAAAGTTGATCGAGCGTGTGCCCCAGTACGAAGAGAAACGTGAATTCAGTAAATTGCGAGACAATATAGCAACAAGCTGGAAGAGCAGCAATGCCAACTACAAACAGCTTGTGCAGCGAATGTTTAGCTAAATACAGATACGACGTATAGCAATAAAAAATCATTATTTATAACTTATATTTAACTTTTGCATTTGTTACTTTTCCTTAGATTTCTTTAAAGGCTTCTGGTTTACTTTTGCTTTCTTGTTTTTGTGCTTCATACCGGACGGTAATCTGGGTCGTTTCCTCGACATCTTATTGTCTAACTTAAACAGCTCTGTAAAAAGATATATATAAATGATCAATCTTATATATGTATAAGATGAGTATAGCAACACTCACCCTCGTCTGGTTCCTCGCCAACTTCATCTTTGTAATATTGAGCATCATCATCTGCATCACTAGCATTGTCTTCAGCTTCCTTGCGCTTTATTTCTTTCTTTTGCTCTTTTTTCAATTGTAAATTGCGTTCACGATTCTCGTTCTGTTGCTTTTTGCGGAGCTCTTTCAGTTTCCGTTTCTTTTCAATTAATTTGCGTAATGTTTCCTTCTCATCTTCAGTTTTGATAACATGATCGTGATAAAGCACTTCACCGGTAAGCAGTCCCTCTTCGATCTTCATGAGCTGCATTGTTAAACGTGGTCCAATTTCGTGTAGTTTTACAGAGCTTTTGTGGTTTTCCAAATTTCCTTTGCCTTTAACTGCTTGAGGCAACACCACATGCGATTGTTCATCATCCTCAGCCTCCGCTTCCGAGGTATATCCATCCCTACAAAGTTGTTATTGTAAATAAGAAGGCGTCAACAAAATTAAACCATTTGCGATATTGATCTTACTTAATTACGAAATCGACAAGCTCTTCGCATTTGTTGAGATTTGGCACATTGCCGCTGACAATTTTCTGTACTGCGCGCTTTAAGCCTACTGGAACCACCTGCACCGCATAGTGACGCATGTCCACAAGCTTTGTTTCTGGATTGTAAGAGAATAAAAGGCAGCGGCGAATGGTATCAATGTTAACCTGGGCCAAATTGATAGATGGAAACATGTTCTGAAATGTTGTGGCCATCAACTTTAAGTGTTTCCCTTCGCCACTAAAGTTATTCATGATCACAAGAGGTGGATGCTTGAAATAATCAACGTCAAACATTTGCCTCTTACTGCTAGAGATCACATCACGAGCAAGTGTAAACTGATGCACCTGTTGAGCACGCGATATATACTAAGAATTACTTTTCATGGTACATTCGAATTGATTTCAATTACCTTGAACGTTAGAGATGGTCCACGCGGCAAGCGCAACACTTTGAAGGATAACTGTGTGGATGCTTTGTTGAAAATGGCCATATGTGAGACATGAAAGAAGCTGCTTAGACTAACGAAATCTTTTATGCGATTTATTTTCTTTTCACGCAAATTGGATGCAGTAAACGGTTCCATTATTCGACGAAAATCAATTGTTAAATCCGCGATATATGGACAGGACAGGCCACGATGTATAATGAACGAGTGTGGGGCCTCAACTATTTCACTTGGTTCACTGGCTTTGAATGCTGCTGTGCGCGTTTTTGGATGCACTTTCTTCTTAGCACCTCCCATTTTCCTGTTCTCAATAAAATAGTTAAACAAATATCAACGCTACGACCACACGTGCTCCCAGTTGTATCATCAGCTGGTCAGCTCGATATATCGATAAATGTATTCAAAAATTATAAATATATCGATGGGGTTTCTATATTTTTTATTATAATTATAATATATATATATAAATATATATATTTATATAATATTTAACACAAAAGAGCACTCCGAAACAAAAGTTATATCCACCATATATTTAATTTAATTTATCGATAATTTTATTTCACAATTTGGAGTGCCCCTTCACGACTATGTTTACAGCCAAAATCAATGGCGCAAAAACTAGAGCTTAAAGTTAACAGTTGATACGCAAGCGTGTTTTATTGCATTATAAATATTCACCAACATAGCAAACGGAAATGCTGATTTTTACTTTTTCTATTTTGCTGTTTCTGTATTTAAAGTTGGACTACTTCTTTATTTTATCAGCTAGTTTTTTAAGAATTCATGTGGTCAATTTTAAATTTAATTTTCAAAATTTCTGCACTTATGTTTTTAATGTTAAAACTAATTATAATTTTGTAGGTTTAAGTTTCACTTTTATTTCATACGTAAAAAATGTATTACATTAACCAATAAAAAAGGGTTTGTAACGAAGCAAGCAGCTTTGACGCTGAAAAATCGGTTGAGGTAAGGGGAACTTGGAGTTTTAATAATAAATAGACAATAATGAATGAAAGCCAGGTCGAAAGTGTATTCATTATAAATGTATATGTTAAATATACCTAATTTTGCTGGAAAAACAATACGACAACTAATAGAATTTACATAGCAATATTGTAGTCGTCTGACTTTTTCTTTGAAAATTACAACTATGTATTTATGTTGTGAAAATTAATAATATTAATATATTTAATATTAGCATTTATGTATATTTATATAAATTATAGTTACAGCTACAGCTTAAACTGAATTTGGAGTGTTTTAGTGTTTCCCTTTTTGCTTTTGTAATTTTTTTTTCATCAGACCTCGAAGTTATCGATGCTTTATGCGATATATATTATGCGATATATATTAAAACTTCAGTTTAAACTGCTGTTAACTACAGCCGGATGTTGATGTTGCGATTGTTGATTTTGTTTTGTTGTTGGTATATTTTTTATGCATATATGACAAACTGCTTGTGGCTGTGGTTTAAAAAATAACATCTTATGCCATTGTAATAGTTGTAATTGTTGTTACTCTTGCTCTTGCTATTGCTGTTCTGGCTGTTACAGACGGCAGTTGTTGCTCCTGCCGCAGTGAATCGTTGGGGCGGTCACTGACAGCACTGCTTACGAACATCAGCTGTAACAGTGGGCTTTACATCGATGGGCTCCACATTTGAGGGACGAATAACATCACCTTCCGGAGGATCTCTAATTTGTTTTTGCGACACAATGCGATAGATCTCTGTGAATAAAATTTCGTTCAGAAATAATTTTTTTTACAAAAAGTGGAATATCGCACCTGTGAGTATATTTTGGAATGCGGTTTCAACGTTCGTCGAGTCCAAGGCCGATGTTTCTATGAAACTTAAACCGTTGCGCTCCGCAAACAGTTTCGCTTCATCCGTCGGCACGGAGCGCAAGTGCCGCAAATCAGATTTATTGCCAACCAGCATTATTACAATATTCTGATCAGCATGATCGCGTAGTTCCCGCAACCACCGCTCAACATTCTCGTATGTCAAATGCTTGGCAATATCGTAAACGAGCAGAGCCCCAACAGCACCACGATAATATGCAGAGGTGATCGCTCGGTAGCGCTCCTGTCCGGCTGTATCCCAAATTTGCGCCTTGATTGTTTTACCATCAACCTAAGAATGAAGCAAAAACATATATTTAATTTATAAAATAAAATAAGGTGTAGATAAGATTTGCCTAATTATTAATTATTAATCACACTGCCGCTTAATTTATATTTACTAATTACTCCCTTTTGCTGACACTCTCTCTTTTTGATTTCTATATCCGTTGAATAAAAAATTGTAACATTTTAAATTTGAACTTTCTTAGATTATGGTATTCACCAATAATATATATATTATATATATATATATATATATATATATATATATATATATATATATATATATATATATTATATATAGTCTATTGGGTTGGCCAAACGTGCTTTTGACAGTTACTAGCGTTTTAATAAAATCTAAAGTGGGTTTTGGATATGAAAAATATTCATAGATAAACAAATTTTCTTTGATTTACAAACTCCATTTCTATACTCTATATGGATACGAACAACTGCAAATATATATAAGTTAACACAATTGATCAGCAGAACGTAAATATTGAAGCTGACCATGCATTCTCAGCATAAATGCTTACGACACCAGCTGTCTCAAGCGGACATTGCACAACAGCGGAAGCGTCCACGCGCAACAATGTTGCTGACCAGCGACCTAGTACTGTATGCAATGCCAGCGTTTTCAGGGCTTAGGGCTAGCTTCTACTATAAGAACGATTGTCAAATAGAGTTAGTTGATTTTTGGAAATAAAGAACGTCGGTCATCGCCACGGAATTCACAAAGTCTTCTCATTTTTCGAATAAGTGTTAACGCCGATACTCCGTACGCGCTTAACATAATTTCGAAATCTTAAAATAAATAACTGGCGCCCAACGAAATCGGAAAAAAAACCCGAACTCAATTAAACAAATATTCAAAAAATAATTTGTGAAAAAAACCCGAACTCAGTTAAACAAATATTCAAGAAATAATTTGTGAAAAAAAAAAAAAAACCCGAACTCTATTAAGAAAATTTCCAACAAATAATTTGAAAAAAACCCGAACTCAATCAAACAATTATTAAAAAAAAATTTGTGAAAAAAAAAAACCCGAACTCAGTTAAACAAATATTCAACAAATAATTTGTGAAAAAAAACATTATAAATTACAACTAATACGCAACAAAAAAAGTTCACCGAGGGATTCATCAAACCATCAGCTCTACGAAAATAATATAAGAACATGTAAGTAGGGTGTTCAAAAAAAAAAAAAAGAATAATAATAAATAAAAATTGTAAAAATACAATTCCAACTGTTCAACTAAATTTTAATTGTATAAAAAACACTACACATATCTTATTTGCATGTTATGAGTGATAGTGAGATACAAGATTTAGTAAAAAAATTTCAAAGTATAGATACAGGTGAAAAAATAAAAATGTCTTTATCTAACGAACAGTTAAGAGCGATTGTAGAAGGCGCAGTTACAAGCGCATTAAGAACCCAAAAAGAAAACTTTGATCAGAAATTACGCGACATAGAACAACGTATTGGTTCTGTACAAGTTAGCACTCCTGAAGTAGAAACATTTAGAGAGGCCGAGATCAGGGCAAGCGTCATTTGCAATGAAACCCTTGACATAATGAAATCCCTTCCAGAATTTGAAGGAAAAAATGAGACTTATGTATCATGGAGGAAAGCTGCGCATACCGCATACAAAGTATATGAAAAATATGATGGTAGCTCGAAACATTATCAAGCTTTAGGAATATTAAGAAACAAAATTAAAAACGCCGCCGATATGGTACTCTCTTCGTTTGACACTCCTCTGAATTTTAGGGCCATTATAAATCGGTTAGATTTCACGTACGCAGACAAAAGACCGATATACCTAATTGAACAAGAGCTGTCAACACTCCGTCAAGGAAATCTGACACTACTACAGTACTATGACGAAGTGGAGAAGAAACTGACTTTACTCATAAATAAGACAATCATGACCTATGACGCCAACGTTGCCTCTTCGTTAAATGAGAAATACAGGGCAGACGCTCTACGAGTATTCATCTCAGGTACCAGGAAAACTTTAAGTGATGTCCTATTCTCAGCTAGACCAACTGACCTTCCGTCTGCACTGGCATTAGCCCAAGAAGTCGAGTCTAATCATGACCGGTATATGTTTGCCACGAATTTTGCACGTAGTTTAGAAGAAAAGGCTCAGAGAACAGAACAAAAACAACAAGGCAGAGATAGGAACCTAACTCAAGACCCAAAATACAACCAGCCAGGGAAAAGCCCATATTATAAGAAACAAGAATTCTCACCACGACGAGAACAAGTTGAACCAATGGACGTTGATACATCCGCTCGCTTCGGACAGACGACCCAATACCAGCAAAACACGGCTCCCTCAAAGCAAACTCAGTGGTCGACTCAACAACAAAACACAAAATATGAAAGTTACAATAATCAGGGACAAGCAAACAAGAGACCAAATAATAGTAGTGCACGACTCACAGGACCGAAGCAGCAAAGAGTTAACTATTTAGAAGCAAGAGATTCAGAATATGAACAGGACGGTAGTGAATATCGGACTATCGCAGAAAATGAGGCAGAAGACATTGAAGACGAATTCGACGAATATGACCAGGTCAATTTTTTAGACTTGGCTCCTATTGAATACAACAACACAGTTCACTCGGTAACGGACAAACGTCCAATCGACATAATCCACTCATCCTCCCCAGAACTTGAAATTGAAATAAGGAATAAAATTCAAAAGGCACAGCAGCTCCAAATAAACAGGGTAAATGAAACAAGACACGATAGACAATTCCAAGTAGGCGATACAGTTCTTGTAAATTCAAACAGACGTTTAGGGAACAAATTGACATCTCTGTACAATGAAAACAAAATTGACGCAGACTTGGGGACAACGGTCTTAATAAAAGGGAGGGTGGTCCACAAGGACAACCTAAAGGTAAACAAAACATTAAACTTCTTTTTTATTTTTTGTATCTTTAAACATTCAACTAATCCTACTCTATACTCAGCAATAGTAAAGGACACGAAGAAATTAAGACAAAACTTTCCACGATCACATATGAGACAGTTATTAGACACAGATATACAACATATAGAAGCACTAATAGCCACAGTAAATATCCATCATAGACATGCTAGGAGCATTAATATGCTAGGCTCCGTTCTTAAAGTCGTAGCTGGCACACCAGACTCCGACGACTTGGAAAATCTTAAATTTACACAGAAAGAACTTGTAGAATCAGAAAACAGGCAAGTAACTATAAACACAAAAATGCAAGAACAAATAAATAAGCTAACCGACACAGTAAACCTCATAACAAAAACAAAGCAAATAGATACAGAACATTTGTATGAGACACTGCTCTCAAGAAACAGAATAATTATTTCAGAACTAGAAACCTTGATGCTACCAGTAACACTTGCAAAGGTTGGAATTGTAAACCCCTCCATATTAGATTCTTCTGACTTAAAAAATATTGTTAATGAACACCCTATAAATATCACTATTACTGACTTAATGGAAGTATCTCAAGTTAAAGTCTTGCTAAATAATAACTTTTTACACTTTATTATAAGATACCCTAAGCCTAACATAGTATGTAAAAAATTAACAATATACCCTGTCCAACACGATGGCATTGTAATCAATTTCGCCGAAGACTACGATATAGCTGTTTGCGACAACCATGTAATATCAATAGGAAATTGTAGCACAGCCCTCACAACAACGTTCTGTAAGAAATTACCCTATACAACGTGCGCGCAACAACTGCACTCAGGTGGCACTGCACATTGCTCAACTCGACCCAGCCATCTTGAACCTCTAACCATCATCGACGATGGCGTTATCATCATCAACGACAGAGCGGCTATAGTTGACGAGAAAATGGTGAAAGGGACATTCCTCCTTACCTTTGACAACGAGATAAAGGTAAACGGCACCGTATATAAAAATCCAAAAAAATACGTGAGGAAATCCCCGAGACCAGCGGCATCCACGCTTCTAAATATAACGGATCATCAGGAAATACCGAGCCTGCCGTACCTACAGAAGCTAAGCATAAAAAACATCCGGGACATTGCTCAAATAGAAGAACAACTGGTAAAAAGACCAATAATATCTGGACTAACCGTGGTCATCATTCTACTTTCCTGCCACGCCTCAATGAAACTTTATCAAAGACATCAGAGGAGCAAACGTCAACTTGATCTTCAAGCGGTAATTAACAGTTTGAAGAACTCCGAGGACGTCATTCACCTAAGTGGGGGAGGAGTTAACACAATTGATCAGCAGAACGTAAATATTGAAGCTGACCATGCATTCTCAGCATAAATGCTTACGACACCAGCTGTCTCAAGCGGACATTGCACAACAGCGGAAGCGTCCACGCGCAACAATGTTGCTGACCAGCGACCTAGTACTGTATGCAATGCCAGCGTTTTCAGGGCTTAGGGCTAGCTTCTACTATAAGAACGATTGTCAAATAGAGTTAGTTGATTTTTGGAAATAAAGAACGTCGGTCATCGCCACGGAATTCACAAAGTCTTCTCATTTTTCGAATAAGTGTTAACGCCGATACTCCGTACGCGCTTAACATAATTTCGAAATCTTAAAATAAATAACTTATACATAAAACGTAAAATAATATTCGTCTAAAATTTGAACTGGAATTGAACAACTACTAAGTAGAATTTAATTTCCAGTTAACCACACTTGTAATCCATTTTTAGTTTTTCATCGGAAATCCACTTGTACCACTTGCAGATTAAGCACCTGATACTTACCTCTATGCTCCGTGTGGCGAACTCCACACCAATTGTTGACTTGGACTCCAAATTGAATTCATTACGCGTAAAACGTGACAGTAAATTACTTTTGCCAACGCCAGAGTCACCGATCAGCACAACTGCAAAAATTGAGATTATAGAAAACATTAACTGAAGCAAAAAATAATTAATGCATAATTAATGTTAGTTGAGAGAACACAGGGTCATGGGTCATGTTCTCGTTTCAGTTATTGGCAAAACTTGGTGCGTGACTGAAGGTCAACCAATTTCTATGCTCTCATGGGATTTTGATGATGGTGGGCTGGCTTACCCCTTTTGGAAAATTGGTGGATTCTTACATTTGCATTTGGCCACACTGTGAAAACATTGATAAAATATTCGGCATAACTGTTATTGTCAAGTTCTACTATAGACACCATGTCAGTGTTTTGTTTATCTTGTGTTATAATATTTTCTCTGTACTCATTCACTCTTTCTCTCTTTCCATCTTTTCATCACTCCCTGTGTTTCACTTTCTTTCTCAATTGATCTCTCTTTTCCTATATCTTTCCTTTCCTCTCTCCCGCTCTTTCTCTGACTCTCGCTCTCCTGTTGTAAATGTGAGTGCTCAGTCAGAAATTATCAGCATTGCTCTTGAATGCTTGGCAGTTGCTCACGAGTAACAGTGATTCATAGCTTTGTTTCTTTTTTTTATAGATCTGGGGTCTGGCTCCAAAAGCAAATGAAAATAACATATAATTTCAAGCAGAAGAGGTGATTCTAATGTGTTTTTCTTTCATATCGTAAATGCCAATAGTTAAACGTGTTTACGCAAAGTGAAAATGTATTGCAAATTTTGGATTTCTGTCATTATCTTTAGTTAGTAACTACTAATGGCTTATCTTGTTTCTTTTGCATTTTTTACTATGCGTCAGACTTAAAATATGTTAAAAAAAACTTTTTGATAATTGGACAAATTCAATCTCATTTTATTAGACACACCGCTTCCGCTTAAAACAATAGCTCAAAATGTTGTATTGAGAATAAAGAATTTTGAATTAGTAATTTATACAAAGTACTTATGCAAACGAGAGTAGGGAGAGAAACTGCTGACCCCAAAATACCGAAACAAACTGACGAACAAAGAATAAGTGAGAAGTTTGTGCCGGTTTTTCAATTGGTTGCCCGTTTTCAGTAATAATTTACTATAGGGATACAAATGCACAATGTTAATGAGATTTCTTTGAATAAATTGATCTTCTCACACAGTGCTTGCACCAAAGAGCGGCTTGGGTATCCGCTGAGCGTCTAAATGTTTACCTTCATATGAACTTTCTGTAACAGCAATAACTTGTAGTGTTCATTGAGCGAATGGCCAAAGAGAGCAAGAGAGCGCCAATAAAAGCAACGCCAACTCACAACAGATGTGAGCGAAATAAGCATATGCAAAAGAAATTGTGAAAATTCAATACAAAAGCCAACAGAAAAAAATTATTATACGCTGCTTTTTAATCACTGCCCATTGCAAAAATAGCAACAAAAAACATGTACATGCATATATTTTCTGTAGTATTAAAATAACTTAAAATCTAATCAAAGTACACACAATTGCTTTTATTATTTTACTTTTATCATGATTATTATTACGATTTATGCAACGTGTCACGCTGGCAGCCGCCAGCAGAAGCGAAGAACGAACAGCAATGGAAACGCAATGACAAACTGACAGCACTTAACTGCAAAGTAGTTACGGGTGTATTTAGACAAAGAAAGGGAACGGTGGAGAGCCACGGTAATAGTGTAAAGAGAGCGCGAGCAAGCAAAAGGGCATAGAACAACAACACAAAACAATTTTTCAAGTCGTGTAGAATTCAGCTAAACAACGATAGGGGGCGTATTGTGTGATATTGCCTTGAACATTGTCACCAAATAATGCGATCGGAAATAATAAATGAAACATACGAACTTTTAAGCATATGGGTATATACGTTAGAATACCATGTCTGCATTTGTTATGCCAATTAGTTTTAATTAGTGCCGTTGAATTACTGCGTAATAGTTGCCACAGTAAAACTGTAAACCGTGTTCCTATTAGAAATTGTCGAGTCCCACGACCAGTCAAACCAACTAACAACCGGCTAGATAATTAATCACAAGAAGCGTAACCGAAAATCCATGTTTATAATTTTTACCTTTGAAAAGATAATCATATTCGTCTTCCCTTGCACCCATTTTGTTGTGTGATTTAATGACTTATTCCTCCTGCTCCTACTGATTGGGATAACTTCGTCTAAGTTTGTGTAAATGTAAAATCCAATAATCCTTGCGCGCCGCCGTTTCTTAATGCGTTTTTCTTTATCCGTGTATTTTGCTCTCACACTTTGTACACTTTTATTTGTAGTTGTAATCGGGACAATATAAAGAAAAGAAAAATTATATCAATTCGATTTAAAATGGGCTTTATTCGATTGTTAATCTTGTTTCGACGTAAGATAACCGTTGTGCGACTATTGTTGCAATAACAATTGCCTATTTGTATGACTTATTAATGCATTTATTATTAATTTTCTTAATCGCGACACACACTCACTTAGACTTAGTCACTCCCAATATATTCAGCGACGTGAAGTAGGCTGCGGCATGTATGACAATGCAAGTGACAGCAATGAGTACTCGATACTCGATACCCCACAAGTTGTAACGCCATTTTGATGACGTCAGTGTAGACCATAATCGTTAGAATTTGATTTAATCAAGTTCACTTAAATTAAACTCACATTGCTTAGAAAAAGATATAAAAAATTGTTTATTAAAATATATAAAACAAATGCAAGAAAAACAGAAGGTTTAAGTATTTAAGGCAAGTAATACTAGTGGTTGCTAATTGTTCTGTAAATATACATATATAAATATGCACGTGAAATGTTGTTCTAATTCTACTTAAAGCAGATTGAAATACTTTTTAAATACGTGCATGTTGCAAAGCAATTGCTGGATAGACAAGTAGCAGTCCGCCGGCTATGTATGTGATCTTTGAGCCCACACACCAAAATGCTAAAAAGATTTTTAAGATTTAATATAAGTGAAATGGAATGGAAAATAAAAAATATGACTATATGACTATGCGCCTTACCTATAGATCCCACAACTGGACCCAGGGCACGAGCCAGTGCACCTAACGACCGGAATATCCCCAATACTGATCCCTTTTGATCATCGTTGCCATAGCGGGACACTAAGGTAGTTAAACAGGTAACTGCAAACGCTGTGGAGACTGCAAATAGTATCATGCCCGCATAGAGCATACGACTGTTATCTGCTAAGCCAACTAATACGAATGCAGGCACTATCAGATACAGACTGAATATGGCATAACTTTTAATCTTTGCTTCTGGTAGACGGCGAACCACAGACCCCTGAAGCAGAGTCATAACGACACCTGTGGTCAAAAACATTTTAGCCTGATCCATCGATGTGTATCCAAACTTATGATACATTAGAAACGTAACAGTGAATTCCAGTCCCGAATAGAGAAAGAGATACAGAAAGTAAATGAGACCAATGCTGCGTAGTGCTTGTATATCCTTTCTTGGCACATTTTTGATAGCTGCAAATCTGTAAAGAACAGAAAGGATATTAGGAAATAAATTTCACAATTACAATAACATACAAAATTAAAGCGTTCGAATTTCGACCTTCAATAAAATTGTTGTTTGCATTCTTTTTAATATTAGTAAGTAGCCAAATAATTTGGGTTGAAGATATTGTAATTTCAAAGTCCGTACGCCCAGTTTCTTTGAGTTGTCATTTAGAGAATAGCAATTCTAGAATATTGATTCCATTGTAAAATACAAATATGGATATCTCAAAATTCATAAGGTCTAGATTTTTAGCAAGGTTGAACATATGTGGAAAACTATAAATAAAAATAAATTGTAGATTAATAAATGCTCGTTTAGTCAGCCCATTTTATGATGCACAATGATAAGTCAAATCAAATCAATTCCGGTTGAAAACATGACCAAGTAGGGCAAAGATAGCGAAATTGGCCATCAAAGCTAAATAACCTGTTGGACTAGCAATTGGGCAAAGCAAATAAAAAGTCACACGTCTTGTGCGTCGGCCACGCTAATTAATTACAAAAATACACAATAAATTAATAATAATAATACTCACTTAAATATGGAAAAAACGTTGAGCAATTGCAGCCCATATGACAGTGCTGACGAGATTTCGTGAGCACGTTTTGCCTGGACACAGAAATAAAAACAAGAAATTGACTATACATACATATTTAAAGAACAAATAAAGTACCTCGGGTAGCGTTTCCCGCAAACAGAAAGCAAGGAGTAGCACATCAGCTAGAGCCAAGCTCAGAGCCAAGAGGGAGGGCAGAACAAACCAAGCGCCGCCGCTGGCGCTTTTATTCGAGAATATTGCAAACATGGCACCAATCATGGGACCCACAATAAAGCCAAGCGAAAAAGCCACGCCAACGAGTGCCATGCCTTTACCACGTGTCCGCAGGCTGGAGACATCTGTGATAACGCTCATAGAGAGGGAGATGTTGCCTTTGCTGATGCCGCCGACAATGCGCGCCAGCACAAATAGAGCAAAGTTGCGGGAGCAGGCCCATATAAGATAGGAGAGTGCTATTCCAGACTGAAAGTGTTAATAATAATTGGTAATCGAAATATTAAACGTTCTTTCTTAAATGGTTCCCAACATACAGCACATATGAGCAACACAGGCTTCCGTCCATAGTAGTCGGAGAGGCTGCCGACAATGGGACTTGCCAGAAATTGCAGAAAACTGAACATTGAGCCCAAGAATCCGCCAAATAGCACCGACAGATAGCGTTCCGGTGCACCGAGGAGCTGTTGGAACCAACGCACGCGCGTCGTTAACCAGTCATACAGACCGGAACTATCATTAACACGATAATATTCCAAGAGCGAGGGCAACAATGGCAAGATAATGGTAAATGCAAGTAAATCAAAGAGGAGTGATACGAATATTATATATATCATTGGATCAGTTTTCTCCTTTGCCGCAGCAGGCTTTCCATTGTTGTTATCGTTGCCTTTGCTTTCAAAAGGTTGTTCCGTTTCCGTTGTTGTTATTGTTGTTGTATTCTGGCGATTTCGAACGGTGGCCATGTTATTCTATTGTGAGTGCTGAATTGCGTGCGTGTACATAAATTTATTATGTTATTGTTCAATCTGATGACACGGCGTCGACCGCATAACTGTTTATGCATCCAACCAGTAACTTGGCAAAAACAAAAAGCAGTACGCCAAGCAACCCGCTAAGAAGCAACAGAAGTGAAAGTTGAATAGGAGTGTTGAGATACAAACAACGTTCAGACGGCATGATAAACATTGCAATTGTGCAATTTCGTGTTGGGTTTGCTATGCTGAAAATAATGTCTTAAATGATCAAAATAAAACAATTCCAAATTGGAATTTATAAAAGAAACTTGATATATATCCTATCATATTACACTGTACAATTTTTGAAAACATCAAATTAAATCAACAAGTTGTTTTAGAGCTGTAACGTCTACGTGCTCCACGAGATAGGTGTTGGAAAACGTCCGCAAACAGCTGTTCCGAGCGCATTGACCAACACCCAGGCTAGCAACTGGAATATAACAAAATATTAAAAAGTAACAATATATTGGTTGCACGGCAAGTACAAATAATGTCTAAAGTGACCGTGCAGGATATTGAGGCCGTAGATGATTATTGGGGGCCCACATTTCGATCTATACTCGAAGGTAAGTGTACATTTTCTAAGTCTCAATCCGACATTTTAACATCATCGCATGATTAACACCCACTTCCTCTCGGCCCAGGTAACAATAGTAAAGTAATCAGTGAGCAGCTGGACCAACGCGTACGCAGCCATGATAAAGAGATCGAGCGTATATGCAACTTGTATTATCAGGGCTTTATTGACTCCATACAAGAATTGCTGCAGGTGCGTACGCAGGCCAAGCAACTACATGATGAAGTGCACTCGCTGGACACATCGCTTCGCACCATAAGCGCATCACTTATTCAGCAGGGAAATGAGCTGGTGCGAGCCCGTCAAATCGAATCAAATGTGGCCAGTGCCATTGAGGCGCTGAAGGCGTGCCTACCCGCTTTGGAATGCTACATGAAATTTACGCAACAAGCCAAGAACAAACAATATTACCAGGCACTGCGAACGCTAGAGACCCTAGAATCGGAGCACCTATCGCGACTTCAGCGAAATAACTATCGCTTTGCCACACAAATGCAAACTCAGATACCCATCATTAAGGAGAACATTCGCCGCTCATCGGCGGCAGATTTTCGTGAATTTTTGGAGAACATACGCAAATTTTCACCGCGTATTGGTGAATTGGCCATCACCCACACGAAACAACTTCAAAAACGCGACATTAATGCAATTATACAGGAACACAAACAACAGAGCAATAGTGGTAGTGGTGATGATGATGGTGCCAATGTAAGCGCCCAGAATTTAATTGATTTCTCACCCATTTACCGCTGCCTGCACATCTATATGGTGCTTGGTCAGCGAGAGTACTTCGAAAAGGACTATCGCCAGCAGAGGCGCGATCAATCGAAGTTGGTTTTGCAACCGCCCCCAAATATGCATGATAATTTGGAGGCCTACAAAACATACATATGCGCAATTGTGGGCTTCTTTGTGGTTGAGGATCATGTGAAGAATACGGCAGGCGATGTGGTCACCAGCAGCTATCTCGAAGAGCTGTGGTCAACATCGCTGACCAAGTTTGTTAATGAGATTAGCATGAGCTCCTCCTCATGCACAGATCCAAATATATTGTTACGCATCAAAAATCTCATTATGCTGTCGATAAATACCTTCAAGTGTTATGGCTACACGGTACAAATTCTATGGGAGCTACTGCACGATATGCGAGATCATTACAACGAGGTAAACTTATAAAACTAGATTTTGATAGCCAGTAAAATAATACTTGCCTTGCCATACAGGTGCTGCTTCAACGATGGGTTCATGTTTTCCGTGAGATCTTGGACAAAGAGCAATTTGTGCCCATGGTTGTCGAAAATATAGAAGAGTATGAATGCATTATCGAGCGTTTTCCATTTCATTCCGAGCAGTTGGAGAATGCGCCTTTCCCAAAACAGTTTCCATTCTCACGCATGGTGCCTGAGGTTTATCACCAAGCGAAGGAGTTTATGTATGCATGCATGAAATTTGCCGAGGAGCTCACGCTGTCACCAAACGAAGTGGCCGCAATGGTGAGAAAGGCAGCCAATTTGCTGCTCACTCGCAGCTTTAGCGGTTGTCTTTCAGTGGTCTTTCGCCAGCCAAGCATTACGCTCATTCAACTAATACAAATTATAATTGACACGCAATATTTGGATAAGGCCGGCCCTTTTCTTGATGAATTTGTTTGTCATATGACAAATACGGAGCGCAGCATTTCGCAAACGCCTTCGGCCATGTTTCATGTGGCTCGGCAGGATGCCGAGAAGCAGGTGGCGGTACGTATATGTTTTAAAATCGACGAGTTCTTCGAACTGAGCGCCTATGACTGGCTGTTGGTGGATCCGCCCGGCATAGCCTCCGCGTTTATCACAGACATGATCTCCTATTTGAAGAGCACCTTTGACAACTTCTCATACAAGCTGCCACATATCGCCCAGGCTGCCTGTCGGCGCACCTGTGAACACATTGCCGAAAAAATCTATCTGATATTATTCGATGAAGAGGTCAAGCAAATATCTACGGGTGCACTCACACAAATCAATTTGGATTTGATGCAATGCGAATTTTTTGCCGCCTCGGAACCAGTGCCCGGGCTGCACGAAGGCGAATTAAGCAAATATTTTCAACGCAACCGTCAGCTCCTCGACTTACTTATATTGGAGGAATGGAGCACATATTTCCATGACTATGGCAAGCAGGAAAATCGTTACCATTTGGTCGAACCCCAGTCTATAATTACAATACTGGAGAAAATACGAGAAGCTGACAAGAAGCCAATTTTCTCGCTCGTCCGTAAAAATGATAAGAAAAAGCTACTTGAGACAGTTCTTAAACAGCTGAGACACATAGCGGAGCGACAGACATAGGATGCCCTCAAATGACACTGTTTTGGGTTTTTCTCATTTTATATTAGACTAGATCGTCATTATAAATTAGAATTTGGCTTTAATAAATATATAGCTTTTATTGTTGTACGCTATACTAAAGGGAAGCACGAAATAATCAATAAAGTATTAAACATTTTAAAACCTCCAAAACTTGAGTAATTAATCTACAAGGGTAGCTCCTTAGTGGGTGTTTCAAGACGCGCCTCTAAGCAAAACGTCGACTGTGTTGTCTCAAAATCTGACCACTAAAGTGACAGGATAGTTAATTCTTAATGTGATCCCTCCCACCCACTCAATGATTTCAATTTGTTTCCAAACAAATACTATATTATGAAGGTGTTGAAGTCTTTATACAAAAGTAAGTGATTTGACTTCTAAAGATAATAATTTAAAAAACAATAGGGCCATTTTTATTATAATCTTACTGTTTTCATTATTAGTCGCAAAATATGAAGGAAAACTGTCGCATAATAACTGAGATTGCAATTCTAAAAAATCAACTGAAACCCTCAAATTAATATGGGTTTTTAGCAAGATTTAATAGGGTTTCAATTTTTTTACATTTTTGTAGTAATTTCAAAAATAGAATACACAAAGGTATATTCAATTTATAAATTTGATTAACTATACTTTATTGTTATTTATATGAGCTTTAAATACAGTATTTAATAATTTTTCATTTGGACTTTGCGAGTTATTTCAATTTTTACAAATTAATCATTAGTATTAGTTATTTTCTTTTGCTTTATGGAAGCTTTTCTAGCTTGAATATGAATTCTATTTAAATGTTGAAAAATCGTATGTGGAATTTGGAATTTGCAATTTTATATTTATATACAGAAAATGCGTATTTAAAACTTTCAGCTCTAAAAAAGAAGAAACGAAACACTCAAACATAAAAAAAAAATAAAGCAAGAGCTAATAACAAATTGTATATATAATTTATAATGTATATGTAAGTTTACGTCTGTGTGTCTGTGTTTGGGTGTGTGTGTGTGTGAATATATACCAGCAAAAGTTTGTAAACTAATTTCTATGTTACGTATCGTATATGCATCATTCCGGACCCGGATTGCTTTTGTCAACTTTTCGTCTCCAGATGCTTTGGCGCGTCCGCATAAGTAAACTTTAAGCGAAACGCCTCAGCGAGCAGCACATTTATTTGTCGATCGGACCAATTATGCGTTGGCAGATTTTGTAGCAGCAACATCAGACCCTGAATAATAAAAAATATATTAATATGCGTGTACCATGTATGATACACAAATATATAAAAAGATAAAATAGTAATACGCTTGAGTTCCTTTGACTTAGATAGAAGCAGCTTAGTTAGAGGTAAGAGGAACGAAGCTATCTTTCGTCTATGCCAGCTATTTGATGAAAACTCTGACATTGAGCACATCTTGGATTCTAAAGAGATAGTTACCTGAAAATCATTCTGTTGCATTAACTGCTCTTTCCAGTGCAGCAAAAAGGCCGCACACACATACAGATGGAAGAGCGCAAACCCATCCGATTCGGCCAGATACGTGTCCCACAATCGGATTGTGCAGTGGAGGGGCAGCTCGCGTGTCAGTAAATTGTTCATCCAACGAAATGAGAATTGTAAATAGTCAACGCCATGAGCTTGTAGATGACGATGCAAGTTAACTGTGAAGGAAAAAAAGCCACAAAATAAATAATATTAATTTTGTTAGTCAGTTTTCACTACAATCTATATAAATCTATATAAAAAAAAATATTTTTAGAAAAAGTATAAAAAAAACATACTGAAAATTTGGTCATCATGTGTGAAAATTTTAATTTGTTTGTTTTTTTACTATGAAATTATTTATTATATATTATATTTTAAAGCAAATTGGCAGTGGGCGGCCCGTCGTTTCTCGAAATGGCTTTGAATATTGGATTGGGAATGGAATTGTAAAAATCAGCAATATAATTTAATGAAATAGTGAACCAAGTTCGCTTGATGCCTTTAATTAACTTTTTTATATATTATATTGTTTTTCAGACTCGTACATCTTCTATGTATATCATTTGTACACATTCCCAACGATATTTAGGTTGGGGCAATATGAGGCGCATTCAAAGATCTCGACACTTTGAATCTGAATCCACGACATCACGGACTTAGCAATGGGGATCGGAGTATTGTACTGAAAATGCCATCCAGTTTTTTAAATAAATAATGGATCTTTAAAAAACTCGGCTTTACACCCCATACACAAGTCGGGCAAATTAGATGTTTTTTCAGTGTGGTTCGCTTATGAAGTTTTAAGATTTTTTTATTTTTAGCGATTATTGGTCCATATAGTCGACAGTCAAAGTAAGCTTCAATCATTGCTTTTGCCCCCAGAGATAAGCGAAGTTTCGTAGAATACGAAAAAAAAGTAGAAAAACCAATGAGTCGCTAACCTGATGACGAGCATATTATGCACATTCTTAATTTTGAGTGAAGGATCAAACTAACCAAACTAAAAAAAACGTAAGAAAGGTAAAGACATTATATCAAATACGAAATTGACGGTTGGGTCTGCTTTTAACGGACAGGGTATTCGAGCTTCGGTAATATTTTTGAATAATAGAACTTACCATCGATACGTTGTATTAGATCCTTAAGTTGATTAACCTTTTCCTGTATGCCCAGCTGGGCAAATATGTAATTATCCTGTATGCAGTCAAGAAATTTGGATAGGCACCAAAAGGAATCGGATTCAATAATGTTGCGCGTCTCCTCTGGCAGTTGTGACATATCGTATTTCTCAAGATCCGTGTCCGGCGAAAGTGCCTCTTGCAGAAAGACTATGAAAAAGGGTGTGACCAGATCATTTATACCCTGCACATAGCCGGAGGCAGGGTGACGAATGGCCCATATGAAAAGAACACGTTCGAACATTTCCTGCACGAGCTGTTGCTGGAAGAGCGGTATTTGTGGATTCATCCGCGGCACATCAATATGTATCTGACGGTATGTGTCCTGTTGCGTTTCATCCTGGCTGTCTACCTTGAAATAGTTGTGTCGTAGGTCCTGATATCCCTGCCGTTTACTCTGCAGCACCGCGTTCCGCCTCTCCCCCGATGGTGGCAAATACTTGGAGAGCAAACGCCAGCTAACAGCACGCATCTGCCCGAGGAATTCAAAAAAGTATTACAATTAATAGATTTTTTTAGGTCCACTTCACGATTTTACCTTCCGCGGCACGCCAGACCAACTGAGTTTTTTAAGCGCTACCAAATCCAGCTGCGGCGAGTTAAGCAGTAATTGAAATTTCTCTATCTTTGTCTCATATTCCCCATCTTGCGAATTGGTACTGATTTTCTGCAGTTGCGGCCGACCAGGATAGTTACGCAACCGAGATCTGTAAGTATTTGAACATAAATGCAAATTAAAGTAAATAAAAATAAAACTCTACTGTATAACCATATTATTTAAAGGTTAAGATGTAGGTACAAACTATCTGGCTACTAAATTCATCGGCTAAGACAATACTAAATCTCTATACAGCACAGATATTGAACTCAGAACGATATCCGCTGTTATTTAGATGGCACGGATACAGAAGGTTTGCAAAGAAACCCGTAACATGCTTTTGAAAATTTAACGTAATATTTTTATCAATATCGTTCGGGTTGCAGTTATGATTTAAATATACGTTGTTTACACAACTGCTAAAGACTGTTGACTGTTGAATGTTGACTTATGAACGCCCACCTGTTTTCGTTGCTGTCATGCGATGATCTGCGATCCTGCTTGTTATCTTCCGCATAGCTAGCAGCGCCTGCAATGAGATCCGCATCGCTAGCCTGCACTTCCATAGATTCACTGCTGGTTGCGATGTGATTTTGATTGCTACGCGAATGCGTTTCGATGACATTAAGGGCTACAGTTTGTGACACTTGGCGCGATATACGTGTGGCATCTGAGAAAGTATACGTTCAGCAATTAATAACTCCGCTTTTGTATATTTGTTGTTTACCTCCAGCTGCTGCTGCGGCTGCTTCATTGCTACTAATTATGCAAAATTCATCGTCACCGGTGTCCCAGGCATCGCTCACCGACTGCTGATAGTCCCGAAAGGTTGACACCATTCCGCCAGCGGCGCCACGATCTGCACGCTGCACCCCTGTGCCACCTTCAGCGCCCGACTTGCTGTTGTTTGTGTTTGTCTTGTCGAGAAAATCGCGTTTTGGACTGGGCCGCCCGGGCACTGCTCGGCCGCTGTTCTTCCAGAACGATGTTGAGTTGGTTAGAATGTTTGTGGCTGACTTGGCGCCAATAGTAGCGCTATGTGACGCCGCAATTAATTCGTTTGAATTTGCTGTTGTCGTTGCAATTTTAGGTTTTTCTTCTATTTGTCCTACATTATTGTCCATAATAAATACCTAAGTCCGATGTCAGTGTCAGCGTCATTGCATTTGTAGCGGTGTGACCAGCTATGTAAGAGTATTAAAATACAGTGCTTACTCTAAATTGCCTATTATTTGTGTTATTTTTGGTGAATGGGTAGCACTGAGCATTAATCTAAAACGTTAAAAAAATTTTTTGCCATTGCAATAAAACTAGTGTATGAAAATAAAATATAAAATATATGAATTGTTATTAAATTTAATTACAAGTACGATTTTATGTAGTTGTTCCACCTTGTATCACATACTTCTTTATTGATACTCTCAATGTCTACAATGACTTGCACTAATTAACTTTCATATTTTAAAGAGCTTAACTTAGTAATAAATAATTTTTTATATTTAATGTTTTTAATAAATCAGTTTTGTTGCAATATGATAATTACTGAAGCTGTCACCGGAATTAATAGTATTAAGCGCTACTTGTCATTCGGTCACACTGCTATTGAAACGAGTATTATTGTGTGTGATAAGGAGGCAAATTTCATTATTCTTTGTAAAATTGCGTACCGAACTATGCTCTTAACGAATAAGCAGCGAAGATAATTCCAACCGAAAAATGCAAAAACAAGAGGAGATCACAACGCGCCTCAAAAAGATCTTCGATTTATTTCTGCGCGACAACTTTTCGACAACCGACAGTGTTTACTTTGAAAAGCTCATAACGCACTTGCAAGCAAAGGGTAAGTTAGTATGTGCGCGCATGTGAACGCGTGTGTGCGTGAGCGTGCGTGTGTGCAACAGGCGGCATTTCTAATTTTGTATTTTTTTCCATAGAGAATGCCTTTGTACTGCAGGTGCCCTTCGTCACGGATTGGGTGGACAAGTGTCTGACTCTAATCAGCGCTGATTTTCATCGAGTACACCCCAAGGTGATATCGTTTATGCTGAATCTTATCAGTTTCATGACATCTAATGAGTGGATGGTACTACGGCTGCGAGAGCTGGATATTATGCATAGGTAATAGCGTATGATCAGCTACAACTTGGTTGACATCAATGTAAAAACTTTTGCAGGGTTGTGTTCTTTATGCAGGCGCAGGAGCGCAACTTTAGTCCTTCGATTAAATTGAGCGGCATACGCGTGATGAAGGCCGTCACAAAATATAGCATGGGTCTGGCGTTTCTGCGTATGCAACGAACCTGGACGTTGCTCATCCATTACAGCAACAACGAGCATACGTTGTATGTGGTTCGAGAAGCTCGACAACTGCTTTACGAGATGTTGTACAAATTTTGCGACAAAATGCAAGACGAGGCTGTTACCCTAGAAATTTTAGCAGAGATTATGAAGCCCATACACGATAATGTCTACATAACTGATAATATCAGTGAAAGTGCCAGCGGGGAGGAGGAACGCATACATGTTAGTGTGGATGATAATGAGCTGTTGCACAAGATCTCGTCAACTGTGGATCTTCTATGCTATATGCTTCAGCAGACACTGATCAATGAAGAGCGCTCGAAACTTGTTTCGTTGCTACGGGAGCATCATAATATAGAGTTAAACCTCTGGAAGCTCGTTGAAATGACGCACAATACTTATTTCACAGAAAAGATGCTCAGTACACTTTGTAGCTATCATTTTGCTACGCTGGTGCATGAGAAAATATTGAATCCCGATTGTGTAGAGCCTCCGGAGCAGTTCACCGAGTTCGGACTGTCGTTTTTTAATCTCATGAAATTCTGTATACAACGCAACGATGGCATTAACTTTGTTAAAATGGCAGAATTGCATCACATACTTTGGAAGAAGCTGGGCGATCGAGTGCCCAAGGAAATCATTATACAGGATGAACGTGTTTCATTTGAGAATCAATTAATTTGTTTTCATATGATGCCGTTGCTTTTCTCGATGAAGTTTGCCATGAAAATGGCCGATGAGTCGAAAAGCGAATTATTCGATACGTATATTATGAAACTTTTGGAGATGTCTTGCGAGCAAACGTTACGATTGTGCTATTCCTTAAGAGATGCCTTCATCACGCCTGAAGGACGCACTAATTGCAACTTGTTTACGCCTGAATTGGCATGGAAATGTGTGCACAGCATTCTCTCATTGGAGCATATACTAGATCGGGAGCAGGCGGTCACTGTCTGCCAGGCTTTGCTGTATGCCTTACGTGAAGTTGTGGCACTCAATCATGCCAGTCCTCATACAGAGCCAGAGGATTGCCATAGTGCAAGTACATCGAATAACTATTCAGATATATATCCACGTGGCTCGGAAGTCATTATCAAAGATCCAAAAGTCTTACATTCCGTTATGGTTGGACTGCGCACGCTCATTGAACGCTTTAAGATCACGTGGAAAGAGTCTGTTGAGACAATTGGTCTGGTTAACTGCTTGGCATTTGTGTTAGAGAACTGTAACATGGATCCAACCGTGGGTAGATCAAGTCAATATGAAGCACATTAGGTATTAGGTCTCATTTACTTACAGTGTACCGTACAGGCTCTGAAGCTCGTGCAATTGTCTGTGGAGCATTTTCTGTCCCCCAATATGGCACTGCTTGTGGATAACCTACAGGGTTCGGCATTGGTTTGCCTGGGTCCGATTATTGTCAAACGAATGCACGATACCGCCTGGGAAGTTCGCGACTCTGCATTGGAGTTGACCACATCTATTGCCTGCATCTCTCGCATAAGTAAATGATTTTGACATTATTGAATAACCATAGGCTAATTACGATTCATATATTTACCAGAGTTTCCCGCATTCCAACAATTTCTTATTGACGGCAAAATGCCAACAATTGTTTATGAAATGGCTAAGCATGATAGTGAGCCATATGTGCGTGCCTCTGCGTACAAATGTCTGTCGAAAATGGTACCGATCAATTCGCTATGGGAGAACGGACTTAGCCAATTGGATATGGTGGTAAAAGTTGAATTTGTAAACCGAGTTACGTGCATTTAGCCATATGTAATAATCTTCTATTTGCATTGCAGGATCATTTGCTTTATGTACTTTATCGCGAAAATGAGGATATTGTGCGCTCCGAGGCCATATTAACGCTGTGCAAGATCTATGATCATCGCAAGATACCCAGCAAATATAAGAACACATTATTTTCAACGCTCAACTATTGTGTAGTCGGCGATCATCATTGGGAAGTAAAGGTGAATGCACTTTGCTTTTGGCGCATGGAATTTAATCGTCAACTAAACAATCAGGGCATGATTGATGGCGCCTTTCCCACCGTTACCTTTTCCAAGGAGCACAAAAAGATTGTTACACTGACCACACGCGAGATTAAGCTGCGTGTGGCTAAAGTTTTGGCTGAAGTACAGCAATATGGTTACTATGGCATAATACTAAAGTGTCTTCACGAGGAATATGCCAAAGAGGTGCTAAATATAATTGTGACTGGCATCAAAGCGATGAATGATAAGCTGAATGAATATGATTTTGAGATCATTTTAAATGATATTGAAACCCTAACCCAGCCAGTAAGCACTGCCAGTTCGAACGCTTCATTAACAATCGAAGAGCCGATGTCAATTGAGCCAAGTGTGGATGAGGCTGAGCTAAGTGCAAATGCTGACCAAGCAGACGATATTATCGAATCTATATTAAATGCACAGGATATGCAACTTTTGGAGAATACATTTAAAAAGCAAATGCATTTTGATAATGTGGATACCTCGAAACGTCATATCGATGAGTTCTATTATAAGCAGTTTGCAGTTTCTGTGCGCGAATGGAAACAGGAAATTAGTAAATTTGATTTGGATAAGCTAGTCAAACAACAGGAAGAGTGGTTTGACTGCACCGATAATTTGGTTTGTCTTTTGGATGACATACTGAATGCTATTAAACGTGATGATAATATGATATCTGATTGCTATTGATTCAGACAAAGTGTTCAAATGTTAATCTATTTAAGCGAAAAATTATATTTCTCAAAATAAAAACTATTTTTTAAAAATACGGGGTTTTTTAATTGGGGTCCATTTCTGAGAACAATACACATATCGATTATTGTTATAAATTGTATTTAGAATCAACGTTAGGTATTCGAAAGTTTGCTTATGTATTTCGCTTAAAGATAATTCAAATAATTAAAACTGTAAAAAATGCAGGGCATTGCTCGATGGCTTCCTTTCTGATGGTGGAATAAACTACGTAACTGCCTATTTAATTAAAATTAAACAAATAAGACATTTTCAACTTACAGTGCCAATATGAGTAGAACATTACTGGGAATTTCTTATTTCGATAAATTGATAGTCTGCCGCCACCACAAATTGAATTAAAATGCTTGCAATATAATTGCATTAATTATGTACCTCGTGATTTTTTACCCAGATTTATTTCAATGAAAAAATTGACGTTTATATGTATATGCTTAACAGATATTTATTTTTTTATTAGAATATTCTGTTTCAGTAACATAATACATTATGTGCATTCTAATGTTATAATTATATTTATTAACATTTTATGTAAGATAAAACAAAAAGCAAAAATGTAATGTACATCCTACTAATACTTAAGTCAAACCAAAATTCATTTCAATCGCAATCTTTTGCATCATTGCAATGAACGATAAATATCAAGATTCGTTATCGGTACTAAGAAGTCAATCTTAAAGTCCAGAAGATTTTTACCGCGAATTTCTTATAAATTACTCATTTGGTACTGTTATTCAATATTTATTCGTTAAATATAAAAAGCAACGAAGGCAATACCAATTTTTAAGCAAACGGACTAGGAATACCACTGAAGTATACTAAAATTTCCGATCCTTGACAGTTTGAATATGATTTATCTACAAGTAATAACTGAGCAATAACTTAAGGGTGTTATGTGGTTGAAATATTACGAAACCATTAATTGATTGTCTAAATAATATATTTCTCAGTTTCAAAATTAAAAAGCAAATAAGAATACAATTATGAGAATTTAATGTTAATTAAATAGTTTGCTCAACATGCGATATTTGAAATATCCGTAATGTGTGACACGGTTCCATCCCTGTATTTTCAACATGCCATGGTCCGGTCACACTGTTTGACAGACAGTTAGTCATGGTGGAAAATTCGAGGAGAGCGTACCTATGCGCAAGAATAAGCTAAGAAGAAAAAAGTTGAATATTGATTAAAATTTCTGCAAAAAAATATATATGTAATTATATATTGTAAATGTCTTTAATTTAAGTGATATAAATCAAATATTTGTGTAACATTTAATATTTTAATACGCGTCAAAGTACAACGAGTGAAGCTAAATGCACACAAAGAAAACAAGAAGCAAAAGCACCAATAAAATATATAAAGAAAAATTAACGCAAAAGCAAAAACATTTCTTGTGTGTGGTACAACTACAAAAGTAAGATTGCGAGTGGTCGCCGTGTACTTTGCGAAAATAATTAAAATAATTGTAAAGGATACAACGTTAAACAGAACCGAATCAGAATCAGTTAATAGTGTGATTTTTTGAACCTTTGTCTGTAAGTGAGAGGAGAAAGCTTTAAGCGGAATCCCTTTAAGCAAACATCCCGTCGCCATTTTGAAAGTGATTTTACATACATACAAATATAAATATATATATGTACACACATACACATAACCAACAGAGTAAATCAACAACAAAAACTATTCCCAATTCCCCCTATAGAATAACTATCGCAAAAGCAAAATTAATTGAACAAACAGTGAAAACAAGGCAACTCTTAAATATAAATTCAAATTCAAATAATTTGTAATAATCAGTATAACAGAAGTGGCAAAGAAAAAACCCCCCGCAGCTATAAAGCATTCAGTAACTGCGACACACATACAGTCGTCTTCTTCACTCTCACACCGCGATACCAAAATCTGTGAGTGTGCGAGCAAGCGAGACTGCAGCAAAAGCAACAACAATATTCGTGTGAAAAGGTTTACAACTCAAAGTAAGTCGCAAATGTATTAGTGTACTTCTTTTACATGTGTTGATTCATTAATACATGTTTAGACGTCGTTGCAGACGTCACATAAATGTTTTATTTCGATAGACAATCAGAAAAAACAATATACTTGTTTGCATAGCCAAATAAGTAAAAGTTTATTATTTGACATAAATGAGGTCGACACATTGTTTAAACGGTTCGAAAACCTAAAACTGTTTTTTAAGTGTCAACCATGGACGTAAATAGAACATTCATGGTACACATTTATACACATAAATACATGTATATAAAATGCGGGACGCAGTGAGCTATTATGCATTTATATGTATGTGGATAATGTGGGTTTTAATTTTAATTATGTATTCATGTGCGCCCTCGTTACGTTTTTGCTCAACCATTTTTTCCGTTTGTTTTCTTTCCATTTCTACTTACACCAACGAACAGGACCCGGGACCCCGGCTTGGATGACAGCTACAACAGAGGCAAAAAAAAGAAAAGTAAGAGAGTTTGGAAAATTAGCGCTAAGAAGGATAGCCTAACAAAAAAGAGATAAATCAACAGACTGATAAACAATATATAAAGTTAAACTATATAAAGTATATTAACTAAAGCTGTACATATATAGCGAGACACAAACCGAACGCAGCTACAAACAAATAAATAAATAAATAAAATATATATAAAAAGGGAACAACGTGAGCAGCCGTAAACCCGTTAGCCGCTACTGTCAGATAGAGCGAGAGGAGTAGGAGTGGAAGACAGCGCGCAGTAGCATCGTCAAAGTGAACCAAAGAGACGACGAAAACAACGGAGACGGGGAGATTGCAGGAAGCGACGTAGCAGCAGGTTCGCGTTTGTTATCGATAAATGAAAACAAAACATAAAATAAAAATTGATTTTAAGTGCGTGTGATATTTAACGTTAAGCATTAATTTAGCAAATAACCAAAAACAAAAAAGGCAAAAAAGCAGAAATTTTAACAATCAGAAAGATTGATCGAAGTAAGAAGAGAAAGGAGAGCGCGCTTTGGGTTAAGCTCAGTTCAAATTAAAGTAATAACAGCAGCAGTGTTGGCAGAAGCTTTTGATAGTGAAAGCAACGACAAGCAAGAAATTACTATGACATACTCGCACAATAGTGTTAGAAACAACATTAAAATGACAACAGCATCAGCAACAAAGTCCATACGCTTGAAAAAGGGCGCCACGACCCCAACACCGCCACCAACAACAACCACAACAGCAATAGAAACAGCGACACCCACGGTAAATGCACATTCCAACAGTATTGCCAGCAGTACAAACTACAACAACCAGCACTTCCAGCAGCAAGTTTTAAGCACATCGCCCATCCACTGCGCCCCCATTACGCCAAACAATCGCATGCAACAGCAGCAACAACAACAACAACAACGTCTGCAAAGCCAATCCGCAGGCGCCAATCAACGCAGTCGCCAACAGCGACAATCGCCTCAGCAAATGGGCGGCGGTGGTTTCTTCTTTGCGAACAATAATCGACGTAATGGAGGCGGTGGCCGATCGCCACAGTCCGCAGCAGTAACAACCGGCAGCAGCAACTGCTATGTGCGTCAATCACCGGCTACCATTTTGGGTGGTGGCTTCTCGCCGGCTGCATTTGGTTCCGCGCGTAAGCAGCGGCGCAGTCCAACAACAACGCCAACGAACAGCTTTGGTGTAGGCGGGAAAATATCCCCACAGCATCCCCTGATACCCACCGCCTTGACGCATTTTGCTGGCAGCAAATGCTTTGATGCACCAGCACCAACAGCATTGCCCAAGCCGCCGCAGCACTGGACAACATTGTCCAAGTCCGAGGAGAAACTGGTGGCCAGCAGTGCTGGCACCGCCTTGCAAAGTTTATTGCGCGGTGGCGACAGATGCAGTGCGTCGAAATTGCAGCTAGGTCATGGTGGCATTGGCGGATACATGGTGAAGTCATCCAAGCGCAATCTACTCGATGACTTTGATACGCACAATCTGAAACTGTTGCTGAATGTGCAGTCGTAACACAGGAAGAACAATTACTACTACTACAATAAACTGAACATGGAGGACCCAACAACGCGAACCCGTCAGACTTGGAAATGAGAAAGAAAAGGATACGAAAAAAATAAAAGAATGAAAAAATCAAAAAATATAAAAATTGTAAAAACTACACTACAAGAAAAAACCAAAAAAAAAAAAAACAAAACAAAACTACAAATCATTTAACTGAAAATTTGAACTTTTTTAAACAAAAAAAAAAAAAAAACAAAAAAAAAATACAAAAAAACACAATAATTTAAAAAACGATGAGTAATGTTTGTGATCTCAAATGTATCATAAAACAGCAACAAAATTGGGAAACTAAAAATAAAAAACGAAAAAAAAGGAAAAATTTCAAATGGAAAGTAAACAAATGAAAAACAACAACGACAAAAAGTACACAACAAAAAAGATGCAAAATTCCCCGTTGACAACAACAATACACTGCAACAAAATTCAGCTCTAAACTTCAATATGTAAACTTTGGAAAGCCAATCGACGATTTAAAAAATGAAAACCTTAACCTAAAAAAGATGCAAACAAAATAAACGAAAAGAAACCCAAATTAAATTTAATATATGGACGCTTGGCTAGTTGGAATTTTTGATAGAAGAGAATGGCTCTATATGTATGTATAACGGATACAACAACAGCAACACACAACTGAACATTGTTTTTAAACGTGATACGCAAATAGACTTGAAAAATGTAAATGTAATTAATAAGTAAAATTATAAATTATATAAAATATGTACGAATGTATTTATGAGTAATTAAACAATTGACGCTAGAAGCGCATTCGCATAAGTACAGCTTATGTTTACATATATATAGATTCCCCAAGCGGACAACATGTGCAACGTACCTTAAAAAAGAAAGAGTAACTGTTGAGAGATGAGCACACACACAAACATAGAGAACAGCGAAGAGGAGTATGGATAAAAAGTAAATTCAAAATCTTAAAAATAAAAGGAAAACATTTATAACGATAATAATAAAATGATAATAATACCACCCACCAAATCACAAAAGACTAATTCAACAAAAAAGAAAAAGAAAATGAAAAAGAAGAGAAGAGAAAGAGAAAGTAAAGAAAAGAGACGACAAACTCAGCGCTGCAGCACCAGCGGCGCAAAATGCATTCAACTTGCCTAATATAAACACGTACACACACACTCACACACAAACAGAAAACTCAACGGCCTCTCTACCTTAAGATATCATATAATACAATCACCACACACTAGCGCCAGCCTCACTGGGTATATCCAAGTGCATATATATAAATAAATATATATATATGTGTTCACACACACATATATATACACTCAACCGCCAGCCTCACATACAAACATATATATTTATATATGTTTATAGCATAAATACTTCCATTAATTTTAGTTTTAAAAACGAAAACATTGTAAAATGATTTAAACAAAAACAAATGGCTTTAAAATTATAATTTAAACATTCTTGAATTGTAAATAATGTAATTGTAAAAAAACCAAAATATATTTTAAACGAAATTGCCTATGTTTAAATACAATTTATATTTTATGAGCCATTTTTTAGCGCAGGCGCAAACATTTTATTTCAATTGAACAAATAAATTGTTTTTGCGCCCCAGCTAAAAATAATTATAAATTAACAATTTCGAAAAGTTGAAACTTTGTTGCAATTCTCCACCCCCCGAAAAAATACGCTTTATGTAAGATTAAAGATATGCTTAGAGTTAGAGAGGAGGGTGATAAAACAAACATAAAAACAATACTACTTTCTGTGTAAAACTATGCTCATATATTGAAAATAACTAAAAATAACGAGAGACAGAGAGAAAAATTACGAAAAAGAAAGAAGATGAAAGATGATAAAAAAACACTTGAACCCAGTACCTTATTTTCATTATTAGCATTTAATATTAATTGTTAATAATTAATATGTATGTAAATTATTTAAGCATAAAGTGCCCAACCTAACCTATGTCTATGTATACCCCACCCATACCCCGCTCCACAAATATCCCAAAGTTAATTGTATTTTGCGTAAATGAAGTTGAAGAGACAACAGCAAAAGAAAATGTCTAAAGCAGCGTGAGTTTTGTTGTTCAAATATTTTCTTTTCTTTTTTTTTCGTTTGTGTTGGCTTTTTGGGTGATAAGCCAAAAGAAAGAAAAACCCCGCACAATTTGAATTTTTTTAAACATATAAATAGTTTATTTTACTTTTCGCTACAGCTAAATTTTTGAGAAGAGAAGAGAAAATATGATGTTAGTTTTTAGTGTTGAAAAGAAAAGCCAAAAAAGTCATGCACTATTGATTAGGTTTACTTGAGAGCAAGTTGTCATATTGGTAGCTTTAAAGCTTGTATTCTTCAAGTTACTATACATACAAACACACACATACATACACCAACACACACATAACTCAGACATGTATCATTCGAACACTTGTAAGTTTAAGGCTTGTATTCTTCAAGTTACTATACACACATACATACACACACATATATATGCATGTACCATACATACCCATATTTACATTGTACTACTAAGAGTATTTTATGAAGCAACAACGTTTGAGCAGCGCTCAACGCTAGCCAATAAACTGAAAACTAAACAAAAGCACACACATACACATACACTCACTCGCATGCATATATATATACATATATATATATATATATATATATATATATATATATATATATATGTATATATGTATATGTATATATACATATACATCTACATCTACACATACGTACAGTTTGAGGTAGTAGGAACAGAGACGAACTCAAGAACTTGTCGCGCAGAATTTTGCATTTTTTTAAGAGTGTAAGCTATTAAAAAATAGAAGAAGAAAAATAAAATCATTTGTTACTGGACGTCAATTTAACAAAACGTACATTTGATAAATACGATAAAAAGAAAAAAACCAAAAGCAAACTGAAACAACCTATAATAAAAAAAAAAAACAAATTCTATAAAGAGAAACTGTACCCGAACCAAAATGGCGCACATTTAGAGTGTGCATTTTTTTTACTTACCTTCGAGTCGTACGAGCGCCAAACTTTGATAACTTTTTAAATACAAAAAAACACCAATCAGTACAAATTAATTTCCATTTTAAAGTTTGGGAGCCTTTAAGAGCCAGGCACCCAGTGCATAGTCTGTCGCCCCACGATTCGAAGCTAAATAAAAAAAGAAAAAAATGAAAAAGTTTTAAGAAAATCGTTGTTTTTTTATTTTTTTACTTAATGACGTTTTGAAATGTAAAATCAGCAATAAAAATATTTGTATTGGAGTTCGAATATTAATTTTACCATTTTAAGCAGAGATTTGTCGGTCTTACCTATATATATATTTTAATTTCTTCATTGATCTAATTTACAATTTAATTTGCAATTTTTTGTGATACTTTGCTATATAATTTTAAACACAATTTATATATATGTATATATATATATATATATATATATATATATATATATATATATATATATATATTGTAATTAAAAAATGATAAAAATAAACCTCACCCACATACACAATTACCGTAAATGGACCACTGTACCAACTGAAGAAAAGCTTTGTAAAGAAACGATTGAAAAAACATTTGTAAAAGCAATACTTGGAATTGTGTTAAAATCAAATCAAAAGAAAAAAGAAACGAAATGAGAGAGAGAACAACCCAACCAACAAAAAACAATAGAAAAAAAAAAAAACAAAAAAATAAACAATTGTACATTGCTTTCGTAAAGAAATTTATTAAAGCTTTGTATAATTAACAAAAAAAAACTGTATATTTGTGTTTTTATTTGATTAATTTGTAGCAACCCTCGCTCCTCACTGCTCCCTGCAAAACAGTATATATAGTGGTACATTTCCCACATTCTGCAATGGGACGACGCATAGCTTCCACGTGCGTTATACACGTTCACTTGTTCGACGCTCTGCTGGGGAACGCAAATTCTCTTTTTTAGCATATTCATATATGTACATACATATCTGTATATGTATGTGAATATGAAGACGACGGATATGGTATTGTAATGCAGAAGAGTATAGCTTTATTTTTGGGAGGGAAGAACAATAAAATACCCTTCAACAAATAATCAACATTGCGTATTTTAAACTATTCGTGGATATAAAGCGAAAAGGCTGCTAACGGAACAATTTCCTTCCTTCCTCTTATCCGTACAAGAAAAGTATGAACCAAATAAGTAATAATCTCTTCTAACTGCTCGCCTTAAATCTACGATCATTGCGATCTTCAATTTCGTTATCGGTAAATATAAATAAATATCCCAACAAATTATGCAAGGGTGTAATTGTAAACGTAATTAAAGCTAACCAGCCTACGCACAGGCATATCAACTATATTTAAGCCATTCCCAAAACCCAATCCCCTCCAAAACAGTGATACAAAGACTGAAATTTTTCAATACTCCTCAAGACGACAACTTTACGGATGTGATGTGATTTGACTCGATGGAGGTTATGCAAACATCATTGAATTTTGACTTAATGGTAAGTGGGTAATACCCCTTAAAAGCCCAATGTCAAATTAAAACAAAAATACAAAAAAATAGAAAAACTAGTCTACTACGCTCCAAATATTAACATGAATTCATACATATATAAGTATTTACGTACATAAATATAAATGTTTGAATATGACTCATTTCACACGGTTTCTTTGAACTAGTATTAGCTGGCTTGCATACAAATGTATGTACGCACATTCATACATACATATGCATGCATATATATGTGCACACATTTGCGAATTTGCATCGGTGCTTGTGAAAACCATTGGTGGTTGCTTGTCGTCTATTTGAACAAAGACACATATTCATATACATATACATTCATATGTATCAAAAGAAAAACAAACAAACAGTAAACGTGCCAAGCAGCAGCTTCGCCTCGGCGACATGGTTAAAGAAATAAGCGCAGCCTACTGTAAAGAAGAGGAAGAATTGATCGCTTCGAAGAGTTGTTTATTAAACGTTGTCGCAAAATAAAAACTGGATTTACAGCGTAGATGTATGCGTGTTTGTATATACGCATGTATGCTCATATATATATATATAAATATATATATATATATATATATATATATATATATATATATATATATATATGTGTGTATGAGCAGGCAGACATGTCGACATACACACACGTATATATTCACGAGCATATGTATGTCCCATTAGTTTCAACATGCGAAATCACTCCATGCTACAAAAACAGAAACATCAAAAAATATTGCTGAACAACAAACGAATTTCATGCCCTGTGGAAATATACACAGACACGCTTATGTATGTGTTTATGCGTAAAATCTATTTCAATATGTATATATATGTATTTATGTACGTAAGTACGCGTATACTTAGCCAAACTCCTTAAGCCCGATTGTTTATCCTGTAACTAAAACATATGGTAACTAGAAAGCTGTTAGTAGAGCTTTCACTGTACATATATTTTTATGCTTAATACTCTATACGTATATTATGTATGTACATGCTAACGAATATGTAAACGCACTTACATTTAATGCATAAGTAAGCATACGTATATACATGTATGCATATGCAAATACATATATACCGAGCTCATATGTAAGTTGTTTTGAAGAAAACACGTAAACAACATACATATGTTTTGTTGGTTTTTTCTTTTATGGGTTCTGCTTGCGATAATTACAATCAAACAGCAACCGTGCAGATAAATACAGTGGAACGAATAGCCGCGACACACACATACATATACAGTCTGTCAAGAAACACTTTACACAGTGGAAAAAATCTCAATTTTTTGACTTTATGTAAAAAAATAAAGAGTTTTTGTTTAATTTAACTAATTTTTTTTAATGGTTAACTGTTTAATAGGTATTTTTAAATCAAATTATAGAAAACAGAAACAAAAACAATAATGGTGAAACTTAAAAAACAACAAAAACTTAGATTACTCATATTTTACACTGTCAAGAAACTCTTTACACATTTTGTTCTCTTCATCTGTTTTGCTCTGATTCTAAGAAATAACGGGGCTTTACCGTTAACTATGCCTTTAGAATCTGTCTATGCATCTCTATTTTTGTGTTTATTTTTCACTTTGTGCGAAATTTGGCTGAGTACACATATAAAAGCAATACAAATTTTGATTAATAATGCCCGGAAAGAGATTAAGCTTCGATGTTGTCCAATTGATCTTCTACAATCGGCAGTTGGGCAAATCAGTTCCAGAATTAGTGGAAATGTTTTCTGTGTCAAGAAAAACCATATACAACGTTCTCAGTCGCGCGGAAAATGAGGGAAGACTTGAGGCAAAGGGTGTGGGTGGCCGAAAAAAAAAGATATCTGATCGGGCAAGCCGCCTTATGATGCGAAAGATCAAATCAAATCCCCAAATCTCGACCAGAACTCTTGCCAAGGAGCTCAAAGAAGAGTGTGGTGTGGATGTGTCCCACGAAACGATCCGTCAGGCTATTCTACGGCATGGGTATTCTTCGAAAGTGGCACGTAAGAAACCCTTGCTGTCGTCGACAAATGTGGAAAAGCGCTTCTGTTTTGCTCTTACTATGCTTAGGCACCCAGAGGAGTATTGGAAGGACGTTATATTTTGCGACGAGACCAAAATAATGTTGTATTACAACGAAGGTCCGCCCAAAGTATGGCGAAAGGTCTCTAAAGCTTACGACAAAGCGAATATCATTCCAACAGTCAAATTTGGAAAGCTGTCGGTTATGGTTTGGGCCTGCATTTCCAGCCAAGGAGTCGGTGATTTGGTATTCATTGAAAACACAATGAATGCCGAGCAATATTTTCAAATTTTGAAGACAAATTTACACCAAAGCGCAACCAAATTTGGCTTTATTAGTGAAAATCGGCCAACTTTTAAATTTTACCAAGACAACGATCCAAAACATAAGGAGTATAATGTACGTAATTGGTTGCTTTACAACTGCGGAAAGGTCTTGGATACACCACCCCAAAGCCCAGATCTCAACCCAATCGAACATGCGTGGTCTTATTTAAAGAAAAAGGTTGGAAAAAGGAATCCAACCAACCGTGGACAGCTAAAAGCTTTCGTACTGGAAGAGTGGCAGAAGATACCCCTAGAGTATATTCAAAACTTGGTCAACTCAATGAAAAGAAGACTCCAACATGTACAGAATGCTAAGGGGGGCCATACTAAATATTAAGTATTTCAAAATTAGTTATAATTAGTTTTACATTTTAAATTTAGAACAATATATAAGAAGTGTGTAAAGAGTTTCTTGACAGTGTAAAATATGAGTAATCTAAGTTTTTGTTGTTTTTTAAGTTTCACCATTATTGTTTTTGTTTCTGTTTTCTATAATTTGATTTAAAAATACCTATTAAACAGTTAACCATTAAAAAAAATTAGTTAAATTAAACAAAAACTCTTTATTTTTTTACATAAAGTCAAAAAATTGAGATTTTTTCCACTGTGTAAAGTGTTTCTTGACAGACTGTATGTACACAAATATATGAAGGCATGTGTATTAAGAAATAGCGCGACGTTGACGTTAACTCGCAAATGTTTACGTCTACGGAGCGCCTTCCTCCAAACTACCACGAATTCCACCTCCCGCCCCATTGTCCATAGTTGTAGCGATGATAGCGAATACGAGTTCATGTAAAAAAACCTAGAAAAAACTTTAACTCAAAACAACATGACGGGAGCAAAACGGTGGTCCGTAGTTTTGTCTACGCAGTTTGTATCTGTGAGATAAATAAAGGCATACGCACATACCAAAATATACCCATATCTTTATATGTGTATATATTTATTTATATACAATCGTATTTTTGTAAGTGTGTCTGTATGTAACCATTAATATGCCCTCACACGCGCACGCACACACATTTACGCACGCAGTCGAACGTCGTTCATTATTACAAGCTTTCTGCGTTGGTCTCTGACGCTCCGGCAATACAATCAAACTTAGTATGACATATGTGTGCAAGTGTATACATAGGTGTGACATATGTACATACATACATAATACGTAAGCATTGAAAAATATAAAAATAATTTTTGGAACACAAATACTCGTATACTCGTATACGTATACGTATACATATGTGTATACGTATGTATTTTGTTTATGCGTATGTAGGCATGTACGTTTGCTTGCAGACGCGTTTGCCAACGGCTTTTCAAGCTATGGAATTATTTTATTTTACTGCGCAATTTCTACTATTGATTTGCCCGCTGGTTTTTTTGTTTTGTTTTGTTTTGTTTTTTTTTTTTGTTTTGCTGTTTGCTTAAAGTTGCGAGCGCAGCGCTGTTGGCATTGCAGCCAACGTCTCTGTCTGATGCAAATGCGTGTAAGTGTGTATGTAGTTGCTTAAAGCACTGTATGAACAAATGTTTGAACTTACATATATATGTACATACATGTATGTAGTTTACATATTGTGAATCTATGTACATTATATGTGATTACATACGTATGCATGCATGTTATATATAACTATGTACGTATTTATGTACAGTTGTGTTTCGTCTACAAGAGACACTCAAGCTAAGTAAATCAAATTGCAAATGAAATACACCGACAAAATAAGAAACATAATTTAAAAATATAGGTGGTCTAATTAAATGCAAACTAACAGGAAATTATATTAACCATTTCCATTTACGTTTTGTGTATGTATGTTTTGTATATATAGGGTCATATTTAAATTTCGGTTTCTAAATGTATATTAAAAACAGCGACTTCAGATGGCCTACGTGACTTGCGGCAAGACAAAGCAAAACCACCATAATCGTATTTAAAACAATCAAATACTCACAATATATGTACACATGTATGTAAAATATTTATTTATACTCATGCATATGTACATAAAAAAATATGTATTTACTTTTGTTTCGATGGTTAAATTGGTCCAAGTCATGCGGCTTATCCTATTTATTGCATTTCATATTTGTGAGCCCACAGACTGGCGCTTGCATAAGTGTACGCACTCATACATACTTAAGCACAGTTATAAAAAGCTTTTACGGTATTCATTTATGTACGGCTTTGAGTGAATTCTATATTCAAAACAAACTTTAAGCGCACACATACACACATATATTTATATATATGAATAGATATATACATATGTACATACGTAAATAAGTACACTTCGGGATATTTAAATAATGTTGGTCGACAGCGTGACTCAGATATAAATACCTTAACTCGAAATTATGCAGATATTGAATTCATTGATAAGAAATAATCTGGTTTGAAATATTATTCGATGAAGAATATAAAATAAAATTTAATATGTAGACTAATTTATATTATTTGAGGCTTAGATTCGTCTCTGTTCGGCTTAATTCACAAATAAGACATTTCCGACTCGAACTGGCTCTGCTCAAAATCAATATGTTGAGTTTTAAGGTCAAGAACTTGCAGTTTTCACAGCAGAATTTTGAATTTGGAATACGAATGTAATCCACGTGACTTGGCGATCGGCTCCGACAGAGAGGTCAGCGAGATTTGAACCTGTGGGTTGACTGCTGCCTGCCATTCATTGAGTAGTAAAAATTGTTATCAGTTCACTGGAACTCGCTGTGTTTGGGGCGATAAGCGGAGGGTTCAATAATAAATGGTGTGATCAGTCGCTCATCGAAACTGAGATTCCAGTTGAACTGTTTCCAGCTACGTTGCAAGATGTCTCCCACTTGGTTAATACTGTGCATCGGTGCCATACATCTAAGCCAGGCAAGAGAATTAACTAATCGAACTATTATATATTGGAGAAATTCGAAATGCTTATAATTTATTTTGCATCTTAGGCAAATGTTATATTTCACTTTTCGCTGGATTTCAATGTAAAACAGCCGGAAAACTCAACTGAACCTATAGATAAAACCATTTTGGTGGATCGCAATCAGGTTTTCATACAGGATAGTAAAGTAAACTCATCGTGGCTGGAGCAGGATCGATATACTGAGGAAGCGTTCAGCCTATTGATCGATACTAAGCGCGTGGTGCAAGAACTTAATGCCGAGCTCTCGCCCCTAGTGGGGCGAAGCAATGAACTGGCTGCTCGCCTCAAACAAACCATGCGCTATGTAAACGATGTGGATGCCTGTCTAGAGAATGGCCATTTCGGCCAGCAGGTGGAGCAGCTGCGCAAGTATCTGACACTTGTTGATACCCTAAAATTGCCAAACAACACGGGCGGGGTGCGCACATTGGAGTTTGTGCTGCTCAAGCTGGCCCTGGACAAGTATCAATTGCCAGCAAAGCATCAGCAGGTCGCCGAGTATCTGCAGCGGGCGGACGCCGCGTGGACCACATATAAAAATACACAGATCGTTCTAGCAGAAAGCTAAAAGTAGCATCGCCACAGTTAAGAAACCCTTCACAAATAGATTTCTAGATTGCTCCATTTTCCTTTGGGATTTTGCTCCTAAATTGCCTTAACGCGAATAGCCAAGGGAATTCCATCTAGCATCAGAGAGTGGAATCTACTATAGCTAAACAATCTTAAGATGTATATATAAATTATAAATATATGATGGACAATGCGTAAGCTAAGTTTATGTTTAAGAACACAAAATATCAGAGACAATCAATTTGAACTCGATTGAAATATATGTAGTTATATGGCATCGATGCAAGTAACTTTTATTGGGCTCTAGAAACCTACTTGCCTAGCAAGCGGATCAAGAATACATAGGTGGTATTGGCTTAACAGTATTAATGAAAATACTCTCTGCTAGGGTTTTTAAAAAATTAAATTCAGCTTAATAGCCGAATACATAGCCATACTCATATATTCCAAGGAACGGGCCGAACAAAGCCGAATTCTATTAAGTGAAACAATAAGTAAAGGTGGCATTCAGAAAAAAGGACTTCCTGTCGTTGCATTTTGGTGTTCCACTTCAGTGCTCGGCATTGCTACAGGTAGAAGACGTTGCCATACAGAGAGCGAGAGAGGGAGAGAGCGTCGTTCATCTGACCTAAATCTCCCCAGGGTTGGTCCCTTGGAAAATACGTTACGCACGCTGGGAATACGTTATAAGTGGAGGACCTCAGGTAGTCGCAGACAAAGACAGCCACACATAAAGTGCGCCGAGCAGCTGCCAGAGCCGTTGCTAATGGGCATGAAGAGAACAGACTGTGCAATAGGGGTTTCTCACCATTCCTCAGTTTTGATATTCCCGAAACCTGAAACCAACCACCACATACGTTCGTATGTATTGTGAATATCAGAGCAGCTCACTCAATATGCTACGTTAAGCAGTTAACTGCAGAGGGAAGAAAGAATAGAAACAGTGAGTTAATAATATAAAAAGGCTAAAAATCCCGCTGTTTGCGCAATTAAAATGCCATTTTTAGCGGGAGCGTCAAATTAGCTTGACAACACTGCTGCATATGTATGTAATTATGCGGGTACGTACTTAAATATGTATAGTGGAACTCTTATCTCAAATATGTGATACTCAATCACTTACAACATTTGGTGTACTTGTCTGCTTGCAGTTTCCCTTAACGCTTCAATATGTCAATTCAATATGTCAATAAGGACAATTGTATTTTGTGAATTTGTATTTCGTTGTATACATATAAAAGATCTGCTGAGCATTGGCGAAATCATAAATTGGTACATTTGTAAATGTATATAAATAACTCGACTGGCCAAAGTTGTATCTAAATACAGGTTTAAGCCAAAACTGATCGAACCACTTTAAGCAACATATGCGAGGGTTGCCTTATATATTTGGTAGAACCAGCTCAGTTAAATTCTTAAAAAATATCTGATCTGGGTATGATGATAGAACGGAACGTTTCAGAAAAATATTTAATCTCCTGCTTGGAATATCATTAAACACTATTAAACTGTTCATAAATTAGAATTCAGATCAGGGTCATAACAGAACAATTCGCCGTTAACATTAACAGCATAAGACGATATATAGGGATCTGTCGTTGACAGCACCAAATCGTGCTGCACAACAACGGTGCCACAACTTGTGGACTAATCAGTGTTTTTTTTTTTTAAATTTGTTATTATTGGTTTGATTTTGATATGATAATTATTTACCACTACGATCATATGGCGATAGTCAGGCCTGGCCCGTATGTATCGATAGTTGTAATATATCGATGTAAAGCTTCATTTTGCTGTTGCAATTTTTTTCCTTTTAATATTTAAAAAAATAACATGGATAGGCCAAAGAATGACTGGCTTCAATAAATACAGTGAAACTCTTTTAGGAATGCTTATAACTAATCTTAAAGTTATAGTTGGTACTTAAGCTTATTAATTTGGTTTAAAATGTCGAAGAATTTTCAGCACGTGGATTTGAAAGTCTAATTTTTGATCGCTGCTCATGCGCTGCATATGCGGCTTTATACTATCGAAAAATGCCTGATCTGGATCAGGGTCAGCAGCGATTGCCGGTGCAGGAATCGCAGATGAATTATTGAGTTCCGCAGTGTAGGAACTACTCGTTTCGGTTCCTTTAGCGGCAGGCAGGGGTGAGTTGGTATCTGTTGTGTAATTCAAGTGATCCAGCACCGAGTGTTGACCATCCTCCGCTAATGTCGCTTTATTATCTTGCTCTAGGACAGGATTCTCGGATGCACGACGGCGCTTAACTGGGGTGCGCGATATGCGAAATTGTTTTCGTTTCTTCGGTTCTTCTTTTAGCGTATCTGTCTCCTCCTCTGGTTTAACATCAAGTAGAAAGCTTAGTTCCTTTTCGTAAATGTAAGAGGCGCGGCAGATCTCTTCGCCGCTTTGTCGCAGCCGATTTACGCGCAAATAGCTGTCGCGCGTGTTTTTCCAACGTTTGAGCAAAGTTTTTGCTAGAAAAATTGTATTAAACAAATTTACGATGATTCTATTTTTGACCAATTATAGCATAATTTACCGATTTCCTGCTTCTCCGCACTGCTCGCCACTTCGAAATTCTTGCACAGCTGTTGGCCAATCTGCTGCCAGGCCAGATCGCGCAGTTCGCGGTTGTGGAAATTTTCATGCTCTCGATCCCAAATGATGTGATGTTTCTTCACAGCTTCAATAAAATCGTACATGGAGTATCTCAGATTGATTCCAGCCGTTTTTAACACCTTGTGATTGCCCATCGCTATAAAAATGCTCTTGTTTATGCGGCAAATGGCTGTGTTTGTATGTGTGATTGTGGGTAAAACGCGCGCGTATAGAACGTGCTGGCTACAAAAACAGCTAAGAACTGATGCGAGACGCGTATGAAAACGCTAGCAAAGCGCACGACAATCGCCAATGGTGTTGCCAGATAGTTGAAAAAAGATAGTCAACTTTTAAATAGTTTTATTTCTCTACTTTATTACAGAAGCCTAATAATAAAGAAATCAGGTTGATTTTAGATTAAGCAATAATTTAGATTTGTATTTGTGTTATGAAAAATAATGTTTTATTTTTGTTTATTAGACATAGGTCAGCTATTACATAGATTGTTCAATAAGTGCAACAAAGAAAGCCTGCGTTTTATGACAACTAATACATGTGATAGAGTGTTAAGTTAGGCGAGCGGTGCAAGTGAATGTTTGAAACGCATTGATTGAGTGTTGTGGTTGATGATTAGCTTTGTGTTGATTTCAACTGTTTTTCCTTTTTAAATTGTATTTTTTGTTTTACATGGGCCTGCCCATTCCACGACCCATACCCATGCCCCCACCAGCCATAGGTGGCTCACCGGCTTTGGGACTTTTTATTGTCTCATCCACGGACAGTATCATGCACGCGGCTTCTGCAGCAGCGGTGAGGGCATTTATCTTAATAATTGATGGTTCCCACACACACTGCTCGAAGTTATCGGAAATGTCTTCCTTGGTTATATCAACGCCGAACCATTGGCCACCTTAAAATAAAAAAGGAAATAAAATGAATAAATAAATTATTTTAAAAATCAACTCACAAATATATCGAACAATTCAATTACTCGTGCTGATTCGCTCTTGACTCGCTCATCTTTAAACTTTCCCTAACGAAGCAACTAGAATTTAGAGCAAGTTGGCATCGCCGCTGTAAAAACGACCGCGCGCAAGACAGAGCAGCAAATATGCAGATGGTGGCAATTGGTGCGAAAGAGCACACAATGGCTAGCAATTGGAGCGAAAGAGCACACACTATATACAAGAAATGCCGAACGAAAGAGCTGCCAAGACAGACACGCGCTTATTTCGAGCAGAAAATTCTATATTATAATTTACAAACAAATAGACGCAAATAAAATAAAATGTCAACATCGGGGCGCAAACGTAAACAGCAACTAAAGCCGCGCGAGGACGTGCACCGCTCGCCGGTTAAGCGTCAGAGTTTGGATGTTAAAACGGAACCTCTGCTAACCAGCAGCTATCCCCTGGCCGACTACGACTGTGTGGACATAAAACCCGATCTGACAGAACTCCAGCTACAGCTCGCAGTGGCAAGTCATAATGAAGTGACAACACCAACAGAAACAGTTGTGCCATCTGTAATTGAGGATGAAAAACCGGAGTTGGATCAGCAAAGCGATTCAGACGAGGATGGTTATTCGGAAATTAACTTTGGTGCAGCGCACGATGTTTTTTGTGATGGTAACAATTTTACAACAATAGAAAAACAATACTCGGGGGCTTTACAGCTATTAAATATGGTCAAAAGAGCAATTCGTATTTGAGTTTGTCAAATGGCGTTATGATAATTATATATAAATAATATATAAATGTACTATATATTTATTTATATAATATATGTATGATATAGGCCGTTATTGATAAGATAAGTGAGGTTATAATGAACAGTTAAGTTAATTTGAAAATTTAGTTTGTGTCTAGGTGATATTTACGAGGGTAATTAAAAACATTTACGATGGAATACATATCAAAATCGTCACTCTAAATTGAAATAAAGGTGTAATGTTAATGAACTATTCCTCCAAAACCATTAAAGTTCAGAAGTTTGTCAGATTACGCTCCTAATCATTTAGTAATTTACTAAACACACTATATACTGCTTCTATAATTCCCACTTCTAATCGATCTCACTTGCTTTAGATGAAGTGGATGACTACGACCCGGAGTGGACAGCACAGCAAACAACGCCACGATTGATATTCAAGTTCTACGCGTCTCCTGGACAAACGGGATTCAGGGCACTGAGGAAATTGACTTGTCCTTTGTATTACTTTAACCAGCTGCTGGGCAATCGCGTTGAGTTCTTTGGCCAGCTAGCAGGTGGTTGCAATGGCCGCAATGCCACACTGAAGGCCAGCGCTGAGGAGCTGGAAACATTTATGGGCCTGAGCTTGCTGATATGTGACATGAAATTACCGCAACTGAGCGACTATTGGAGCGAGCAGACATTTCAAGGATTCGCGGGATTCACGTCAAAAATGGGGCAACAGCGCTATCTAGATCTGCTGCAGTCGATCAGCTTTGCCAAGCTACAAGGAGCGGGCACAAACGAAAGTAAAGCTGCTGGAGATGCGGGCAAATTGCTGAACTTCTACAATGCGCGTATGTCGGAGTTATATGCTAGCGGACAGCAGCTGGTGCTCAATGAGCCCATTGTCCACTGGAAGGGAAAATTTAACTACCACAACGAGCTGCCCTTGAAGCATCGCAGCAATGCACTAATGTTGCACCTGCTTAGCGAGCAGAGTGGATTGATTATACGTATGCTGCCGGAACGAGTGGAGCCGCCGCCACAGTTGGCGCGTAATTCTCGGCAACTGGTGGCACATCGTTGCGAGCTGGCGCTACAGTTGCTCCAGTCGCATGGGCAGCGCGGGCACAGCGTCTATGTGTGTAAATATTATGGCAGCTATGGACTGGCTCATGAGCTGGCCAAGATGGGCACCTATTGCAGCGGACTGCTGGACAGAAATCGATATGGGAATAGCAAGGCACTCATCTATCAGCAGCTATCGCCAAATAGCATAGCTACTAGATATGCCACGCCCCTAATGATGGCCAAGTGGCGGCGACGCCGAGAAAAATGCGTCTATTTCTACAGCTCCGATTGCCTGGCTATCTACGCTAAGGAGATGTCCATGCAGAAGATAAATGCACGACCAAAGCTCATACAAGAGCTGGACTTTCAGCTGCGACCCACCGCTCAGTCTACACGACAGCAGCTGATCAGCTGCCAGCCGAGCTGTGCGGGTTTGCGGCAGCAGCAGCAGTTGGCAATCTTTCTGCTTAATCTGCTGGTCTTTAATGCACATGTGCTCTACGTGACCAATGCGCAGCCGACGCGCGGCTTCGATGCCACCAAGTTGAAGACATACGCTGAGTTTCGGGTAAGCATCATTAAATCTCTGCTCAAGGAGGATCAGGCGTCGCCAGCTGCTGCTGCACCGCCAACATCACCAACAACGCCTCATGCGAACAGCAAGCGACAGGAGCAACAACATTCGAAGAGAGCCCATCAGCGAGGAACGACAGCAGCAAGCGCACAGCCTGAAGCCGAAGCCAAACACGAATTGATACTTATTCAGCGAAATGGGAAACCAACGCGCAAGAACTGCAGGCATTGCCACAAAGGTGGAATGTTACAGTTCACTAAGTACATGTGCAAACTCTGCCCGGATATGCCGGGTCTCTGTCTAAATCCGTGCTTTCGCCTGTGGCACGAGTTACTGCAGCAGCAACAGAAAAGTCCGACTATTTCACATTCAATTTAAGACGAATAAAAACATAATGAACCGTTTTGACGTATACAAATTTTAGCCGAAAACTAGTTTCAATCTTATCAAGACAAGACATGGATAAATTTTTGAATCATATGCCTATTACCAGATTCTTGACTTCAGGTTTGTTAAAAAACTAAACTAAACACTGGTTATTATTGTTATTTCCAAAAATTAAAATGTATATTATATATATACCTGTGCATATATGTATACCGGTTCATTGAAAATATTTAAAGTCAACAATATTTTTATATAATAGTATTTCTCCGTTGAAATATTTAAATTCTCAAAGTCCAAGCTAGATGTAAGGTTTCTGTAACAAGTTCTATAAGCATTAAAATTGGTGTCTATCGAAACGTGATTCAAATATTCGATTTATGGCAAGAAATAAATTGCAAATTTGCATTTCAGCCTATTTCGTTTGAAATTGCGAACATATAGGAATGAGCCATATGGATTTCATTTTAAACTCCTTTTTGCGAAAAACATCTATGGATGGGTTCAATAGTAAAAGCAAAATAATAGAGTAATCAATCTGATAAGAATATATCTAATATTAATATAAATAATTATAATAAAATATGTAATTATTTAGCACTTGTTCTTCAACAACATAAATTAGTTTAAGATATATTTAACTTTGGCATGATTATTATTGAAATAGTTAGCAAAATAAAGCTGCAAATAACTATCAGATTTTTATAGGAATTTCACTTACCTTGGGCATGTTTCTGGCGCAGCTTGTTGAGAATGTTTGTGGCATCGAAGCCAGCATTGTCACACAGCTGTCGTGGAATCACTTCCAAGCCCTTGGCAATGGCGGCAATCAGCAATTGCTCCTTGCCCGCAATGGTGCGTGAATAGTCACGCAGAACCTTGGACAATTCCATTTCTATGGCACCGCCGCCAGCAACAACCGAATCGTGTTTAATGGTACGCCGCACAATCATAATGGCATCATGTAAAGAGCGCTCCGTCTCCTCGAGGAACTGCTCGGCTCCGCCACGTAGGATCAGTGTGCTGGTCTTAGCATTGGGACAGCCTGCAAATGATATATGATTAGATCTGCATCATAAGTAATAATAACTGATGCGTACCTTGGAATAAGTTAAAACGTTCGCCGCCCACTTGTCGCTCCTCGAAACGGTCACACAAACCAAGTACATTAGATTTAATGTCATTGGCCGTAGTCATAACGGCGCCGCCGCAGGCTTTCATTGTACGCTTGAGATCCTCCTCAGGGACGCGGCCAGCGCAGAAAATGTTGCGATCGGCAAAATACTGTGTGGCCACATCGCCAATAGGCAGCTTGGAGAGCACCACATTTGCGCCAGATTCGTGGATTTTGGCCAATTTATTGTACAATATTTGCCATTCGGCATCTACGATTTTCTGATACTCTTTGACATTGTCCACACGAATCTCAGCATTATCACGTTCGGCCTTCAGTTCCAGTTCGATGTTGAGCAAAGCTATCTTGCACTGCTCATAGGATTTGGGTGCCATCTCGAAGCCAGCATAGGAAAATGTCTTCTTAAAGGCAACACCGGAGACCAGCTGCGATTCCTCTAGCGAGCCGCCTGCAACCTTCTTGATTCCAATCATATTCAGTGGCAACAGCTCATCCAACGACAGGACTGCGTCCACAACGATTTTCGAAAAAAAATCCTTTTGCTGATGTATAAGCTTTGAAGACATCGCCGTTGCAGCGCATTTCTCCAGTAGAGCACGCTGCTCCTCCTTCGATTGCTTCTCAATGCGAACCGCCATCTCGTTGATTTTCTCCATGCAGAGCTGCAGTGCTTTGCGTATGGCTTTGATCACAATACGTGGATGGACGCCTTCCTCAACAAAGGGTTTTACTTGCTTGAGGAACTCCCCAGCCAGCAGTACAACCGAGGTGGTGCCATCGCCCACCTGTTGATTGATTTTTAAGTCACGTGACTAACAAATTGTTTGACTTCAATCTTACCTCGGCGTCCTGTGACTTGGCAATGTCTACCAATGTTTTAGCGGCGGGGTGCACAATATCCAAAAGTTTCATGATGGTGGCGCCATCATTCGAGATTGTTGCCTTGCCCTGTGAATTCACAATCAACTTATCCATGCCGCGCGGCCCCAACGTAGTGCGGACGGCATCCACAATCGATTGACAGGCATTGATATTTGATATCAACTGCGGCTTGCCTTGCGACGTGTCGGTGCCTTCCTTCAGGAGCACAATTTGTGGTTGCTGTAGAACGAAATAAAATGTAACAGTAAGTTAGTCAGCCGTTCCGTCATTCCACACAGCTTGCAGCAAGAGCGAAAGAGAAGGCACTGCAGGGGTTGTCGGTTTACGAGAAGCTTCTTTGAAGGTTATGTTTTGTGTGCCGCATGATAGACAGCTGCATTTGAATGCAGTTTAATAAGTACTTTTAGTATATTACATTATTAGTTTATTAGACTTATTCGAAAATTATAAAAATTAACTGGAGTCACGCGGCGCACATGGTGTTTTAACAATTAATGTTTGTCATTTCTTTGAAATAAATTAATCAATTTGCTGCATTTGCATTTTACATATTAATTTACATGTTAACTAACCATATTTGAGTGATGGAATTTGCCGTTATACGTTTATACTAGCTAAAACAATCAATTTTGGTAGCAGACAGGCGGCAATACGATTTTCTTTCACGTTTTCCGCAATGAGTAAGCGGCAGACCAGCGTGCTATCGATAGCAGTAACGATATTCAAGTAGAGCTGCTAACTCATTTAAAATGACGACTAGTCAAAAAGGAGTATTTTTTGGATGTATCGAACAAAAATACTATGCGTTATATTTATCGTTAATAATTGTACATCGAGTGTAGAACTGTGAAGTATGTACTGACCAGCACGATAATTTAAATGGGACCGTTACAAGAGCATTTAAAATTTCAAATAACTACGATATGCCTATGTTTGTAATTAGAAGGAAATGATTAAAGGGAATATTTTATATATCCTTTTATAGATAAATTGTGCAGCTCTGCTATTGTATCTGTCCCCTTTTGCACAAACTTCAAATATAGCTGCGTTATTTCTAGCTATTTTTATAATATTGCGATCTTCCACACAACATATTCCATTTTAGAATGTGTTGCGACTTTTTAGTTTGTTCCGACCGCTCAACTTGAGTGAGTTGTTCGTTTCGAGCAGAGGAGCTGATAAAAAAAGAAATAAATAAAGAAAAAGAAAAACTAAAGCCAATTGATGTATAAACGATGTTCAAATAGTTTTCACCTAAGTCTAATTCGGTAAAATGGAATTGGAATTTTAGTTGCTTAACGTTAACTAAATCGAATAAAGAACGAAATATGTCAAGTGAATTTGCAAATTAAACTGATTACGACACCGAACTTGGATAACGAAATGTAATTGCATTCAAGAAGTAAGTATTTCTAGATATATAATAATACTCGATTGCATAGGATTTTGGCTAAGAGTTCTATTTATGTAAAATCTGGCTGTCCTAATTGTGTCCATCATTCAACATGTCGTTAAGTCGTTGTCAAAAATTTATGTGTCATTTGTAAAGCTCCAGCTGCTGTTGCCGGCATCAAATAGTTTTCATGGCGTGTATACCCATTAAAAACTGTCAGAAATGGGGTCTAATAAAGATGTTAAGAAAGCGTGTGACCTGCCCAAAAATTCTGTGTTCATTGAGCTGAAATTACACTATTTATACACGCAACTTAAAAGCAATATCTTTTAAATTCAAATATCTATAAATATATACTTATCTTATGCGTAATTGCTCCAATTCGCAAAATTGATTAGTGCTTCTGAGCTATTGTGGAATATTATCGATAAATATTTACGACCTTAGCTGGCATTAAATATCGATTATGTCCAGCTGCTCCAGTGATTTACACGCCTGAATGATGTTCTATTTGAAAGATATTGGGAGAAAGGCGGAACTTATAGACTATCATCTCTTCGGCACTCTAGGTTTGTTTTGGTTTTTTCGAATGCAACCAACAAAAAAAAAATTGCAGGGTATCAGTTCGTCGAGTAGTCCGGTCTGTGTTGTTGTCTGTCTTGATGTTTTTTGTTATGAATGCAGTCAAAACAAAAACTTAAGATTTAAACAATTTGGTGTTTCCGGCAGCGCCTGGTTCCTGCTGAGCACTTACGTTGGTTTGGCCCAAGAGCTTTACACCCCTCCAGACGGCGATTGACCCCAGTCCCCATACACTCACACACAGAGAGATATACAAATGCCAAAGCTTTCTTTAATTAAATGGAACAAAATGTGAAAAGCTACAGAAAAGCTTTCTGTCGAGTTAGTCAATCGGTGTCCGACCGAAACGAAAGATCTCCGCAACCGCTAAGCAAAACGAAACTAGAATAGAACGTTTTAAGTAATTAAGGAACTCAATTGATTAAAACATAGAATAATACTCATTAGATACTCGACAGCAGCTAAAATATTTTTGAACTTGTTACGAACTCCCAGAAGAAGGGAAATGAACGCGCAACGAATTGTGTGAAAAGTGCGAAAATATATTCGAAGGATGATTTATTGAAACAATTACAATTTCAATTTCAGTATATGTATATTTTCTTTGGCTAGTACGCGGCGCGTTCTATACTAAAATAAACTTTAGTATAGATATTGACGTCATTGCGAAATACACTGCGAGAAACAGAAGAGACCGACAAGTAAATAAACATTTTCGTGTGTGTTTTTTTGTTACGAAACTTTCGTGGAGTGAGAGCAACAATTTCTTTTATGTTAATTACGAGATGCCAGCAAAAGCAGCGCCAAAACCAAAAACGAACTGTTTGTTCTAGTTAATAGATATCCAAGGTTTTCAACACTAATGGTGCGTATATATATATGTGTATGATCTTGAATGAATCAGCATTGGAATTATCTATAGATATATTGTAGAAGTATTTTAACGACTCATCATTTCGAAATCTTCAGCTCATTTTGAACTGAAAAGTTGTTTCGAAATTAAACAAAAATTTGCAATCATTTTTGTTCATTTCGAAAATACCCTGTAAATGGCTAAAGCTGGCTATATGACTTATGTTAAACTTACAATAAATATTGTCATTCGCTTATCATTCTTATACTACTCTTCATTCTATTGGGAGAGATACTTTATTTGATCGTACATCCATTATTATCGAATATGTAAGTTGTAGAGACATAGTTTTAATTTCATATCATACTCTGTTTCACGTTGTTAAATACCATTTTGAAGAAAATTTCCTAAGTCATAGTAAGTGCTTGCTGGGTATATTTTAGTCGTGCACATCCAAAGCAGGGAAATTTTACGTGTCCGTGGTTGTCGGCTGTTGTAGGCGGCCTGACTTGCCGCTTGATGTTGATGTCACCATGTCGTGTGTTTCAACCCGAATAACACTTCATTCATTTCGTCTCACTTTTTTAATTAAATTAAAAATTTAATTAAATTTACTTTGTTTTTCAACTAGAAGTTACTTAAGCAGAATTTATAGAGACTCAGCCTTATCGACTATATATACTCAAAGCACACGAGAGTGCATGTATACTACTACTATATACTAGTATCAATGCAAATATGTATAAGTATGTAGTATGTGAAGCATATGTAGATCGGTGGCCTTGATAAAGATGATCGTTTAAAATTTTGCTCGAGAGCGTGTGCCTTATGAACCGCTCTCAATCTGCTATATATACTATATAGTCTATATATATATATATATTTCAGTATTGTTAGCATTAAGCGGATGCATGAACAATGTAAAGAATTTTGTGTGGTGTTCCATTTGCCCATCATAAAATACAATTTTCATGTGCGTGGTACAGCAACGCCCCAGCGGGTGGTTCCACATATATCATGTTATAAGGCGTGCCGCTTGACGTCATTTTAGATGTAGTAAGAACTTACTTAGTAACGCTAACTAGTAGGTTTATCTATGCACTTGCATGTGTGCCACATGCCACATGCCACACAATAGCAATGGCACTTGCCACATCGCTTGCTGTATAAATCAATAAAAGGGGTCTAAACTTGTTGATAAATATAACAAAAAACAAGTACAAAAGAGAACGAATGCAACCGACTGCTTAATACTCGTTCACTTTTGAAATACAGTTAGCTTTAATTATTATATTTTTGTTTTCCGATTTATCATAATTAATCTGTCTGAGAAATCATCAGTAACTTTTTAAATGTTTAGAGTTCTAGTTGGAGAGTTTTTCTATATTGTTTATGGTATAGGGGCGAGTGGGTTACTGTTGACTCAATTTTGAGCTGGCTATAGAAGGATATAATCCTGATATGGGAGTATAAATATATGTATAAATACACATCAAGGTGGAACCAATATATTCCTCTTATATATATTTGAGGAACGAGTAGGAAAATGAGCAAAGAGCACAAGGCGCTTAGCTGTGAGCAAATGTTAAGGAAGCCTCTCAAATACTTTTCCAATTTTCTTGCAGATAAATCCTAAATGGTACTCAGCGGGTGCAGACTTGAGCAATATATATGTATTAGCATATGTATATACATATATGACATGAATCGCGTAAAGTCTGTGGAGACTTTCCTGTAGGTCGGACCACACCGTATATGCAGCATATATATTAAAAATATATAAAAATATATTTAAAGAAAAAAAAACAAACGACAGCTATATTTTTTATAGAGTTTATACGTAAATACACCAGATAAAATGGCTGAAAATCAAATGATAACGACCTCTAGCAAAGGGTTAAATGAGAGAAACGCACACATCCTGTTGCCCCATAATGGGGCAGTGCGTAAACTGGAGCACGAAAGGAAATCCAGTGAGAAACAGAGCTTCCATGAAGATATGGGCAAAAATAAACTGAAGAGAAAGAAGAAGCTGAGCGCATCGCTCACCTCCGTTGGGGATGCCGTCAACCAGGAGAAACGCACACGCATCGAAGGCATCAATTTGAATATTAAACCCCGTTACAAGGACCATAACGGCACAGACGACTTAAGTGGCGCTAAGCCGGCAGCAGCCAGGCCGCCCAGCAAGGTGGAGCGGCCCGTTATCATCGGCGGCATCAACGTGCTCTCCGCTGCGCCGCAGCGCTTCAAGCGCAAACTTCAAGAGAATCTGGACACAATACAAAAGCTAAACGCACTCGCCGAGCAGCTGCGTTTGGAAGTGAATGAGGTACGTACATAATATATAGCAAATAATTAGTTGCGCTACTTAGTTTCATTTATTTATTTATTTTCTATTTTCAGCTAAAGTCCAGCCTGATAACAGAACGTGGTGCTGTGCGCGCTTTGAGGTATGCACCGTTCAATACTGGGATGACACTTGCTACTTTCTTTGTTTCTACACAAATATTTCATGTATCACTAAGTAAAGAGAGAGAGAGACAGGGAAAGAAAGAGAGAGGGAGAGAGAGAAAATGAGAGAAAGAGAGAGAGAGAGAGAGAGACAGAGAAATAGAGAGAAAGAGAAAGAGAGAGCGCGAGCGAATGAGAAAGTGAAAGCGATAGAGAGAGAAAGAATGAGACAAAGAGAGAGAGATATAGAAATAAAGAGAAAGAGGAAGAAAATGACATAGAGAGATAGAAAGAGAGAGTGAAATTTAGAGAGACAGAAAGAGATATATATATATATATATAGATAGAGAGAGAAAGAGGTAAAAAGCGGCAGAGAGAGAGGGAGAGAGAGAGAGAGAGAGAGAGAGAGAGAGAGAGAGAGAGAGAGAGAGAGAGAGAGGGAGAGATAGAAAGAGAGAAAAAGAGAGGGAGAGACAGAGACACAGAGAGAGAGAGAGAGAAAGAGAGAGAGAGAGAGAGAGAGAAAGAGAGAGAGAGAGAGAGAACGAAAGAGAGAGAGAGAGAGAGAGAGAGAGAGAGAGAGAGAGAGAGAGAGAGAAAGAGAGAGAGAGAGAGAGAGAGAGAGAGAGAGAGAGAGAGATAGAGACAAAAAGAGTAAAAGAGGTAGAAAACGACAGAGAGTAAAAGAGGTAGAAAGAGACAGAGAGAGAGAGAGAGAGAGAAAAATACAGAGAAATAAAGAAAGAAATATAGATAGAAAAATAGAGATGGATAGAGAGAGGTAGGCCAGTTGAGAGTAACCAAATATATGTTATGCTGTGAGGCCGATTAATATGAAGTGGCCATCTCTCAATTGCCTCGATCATGCACTAGACTAATCAGATTGCACTGAAGCTGAGATGGGGGTGTCAATTGCTTAGCTTATTCTAGATGTTCTGCTTAAGTGTGCTGAATCATGCGAAATGACACTTAATGGGACTGTGTGCATTGTTATAGTATGACGAAATATACTCTAATAAGCAATCATTTTATTTGTACAACAAAATTTCTTAGTAAGTAAAAGGTGTCTAGCGAATCAAAATTAGGCTTCATTTAGCATTACAAAGTTCATAGAGTATGGAACGTGCCATTCCAGCAGAATGACTCAAACTGAACGATATTTTGATTTGCTTGCAGGGCACAGAATGATGCTGACAGCCGAAAGTGGCGAACCGAAGTGAAGAAGCTGCAGCAGACTCTGGAGACAACCAGAAAATCAAATGGAACAAAGAAACCCAACGAGCTGGCCTCCGCAGAGGCAGGCAGCGGCCATGTGGCCGCCGATGGCCTAATCAACTATGAAATCCAAAGACTGACTAATGAAATTGCCATGCTAAAGGAAGCAAACAAAACCAAAGAGGAGAAAACCCAGGTATATATCTACTGCCTATATATGTATATGTTGTCTATAAATATGTATAAAGCTTGCATGCATGCTGCTGTCTAGCGATTGCGCTTTGTTTTGGCCCAGTTATGTTGCAGCAACTCCCATAAGTATATCAAGAACGCCAGAGCCAGGCCAATGGCCCATAGAAAGAATACGGCGTGAAAGTGTTCCAGTTTGAGTACGACCGGATCGTCGCTGTTGTTGTGCCGTCGATTGTTTTGCACCTTAGTACCAGACTTAATAAACGCCGTGTTCATAATGCGATCCCAATAGCGCTCGAAGCCAAATTCATGGGCTCCACGAATTAGCTGATTGATAAAGCCCAAATAGGGCGAGCCATAGGGCACCGTGTAGACGGCATGGAAGGGCACCAGACAGCTGTCCATGAGGTGAAATAACGGCCGACCCAGATGCATGTGCTGCCTGGCATTCACCTGAAACGAGCCAATGTGATGTTTCTCCAAATAAGCATACGACTGATCGTTCTGATTGAAATAGTCGGTGAGCTCCGTGTCGGGCACCTCCCGCATATGTTGCTTAATCCTCGCCTCATTCTCATGGCCAATGCTCAAGAACTGGCGTATGTGCTTCTTATGACGCCGTCGCATGAGTATCTTGTACGACGAAGCAGCTAGCTCGCTCAGATCATTGATGTCCGGCAGTGGCTTCCGATAGACGATGATGCTCGTCAAATTGCCACGAAATGCGGTGCTAATCAGCATGCCAAAATACAGCCACAAGATGAGGAACACGCAGACAGAACTGTTACGGGGCACGTGCGCCATGGGCTGCGCCAAGGTGCAGGAGTACAGCTCAAAAGCTGCTCCCTGACCAAGCCGATGTCTGACTAGAAGTTGGTAGGATGTAGAAGAGAGGATTAATGTTCAGTCTAAGCAGCAGGGAAAGGGAATCGTTGAAAGGGAAATTGAATTGTGGACGAGGCAGTAGTTGAAAGGAATTTGTGATCTGGAAAGAGGGCAGTGAAGCCAATGGACGAGAAGAGAAAAGAAAAAAGATAAAAAGGAGAAGATAGAACACTCACGTCGTCCGTGTACGGGCAGCGATGAGGTGCAGGAGAGGAGCAGCCGGCAGAAAAAATAGGACAGCACCATGGAGCTGCCTATGGCAAGCCAAACCCAGCCTCCAAATGAACGAAATATGTTCCAAAACAATAGTTCCGCCTTGGCTTTGGGAACGATCACGCACAGATCATCGCGATTGTGCGCGATGGTCGCTTCGATGCGCTTCTTGAACGTGTCCGGTGCAAGGAAACGTATATTCATGGCCAAGTCATCAAACTCATTGGCTATCTCCTTGTAGCATATATCCGTGCTTTGGTTGTAGAACAACGGGCGTGTGATTATCCTGGTCGCATTCATACGCTGCGCTATGTAGCTGGCGAGCAGTCCATCTGTGCCCATGAGCTTGCCGTTTGGACCATAAATCGCACGCACTTCGTCCATGTAGAGGCATATGCGCAACGGCTTGCGATGCATATTCGGGACATTCTTTGGGAACAGCTGCTGTAGGGTTGGCAACTCATGCGGCGCCACGTCCACAGGCAGCAGAAAGTTATCCGTGAATGGGTTATAGCGATAGATGTGGAGGCGGCCATCCCGATGGAAGATTATAACTATGTTCAACAACCAAATGCTCCAGAACTGACGAAAGCTCGCACGCATCCAGTTCACTGAAAGATTCTCTGCATTTCGCACTAGCAGCAGAACATGGGACAGATGCTTGGCCGCCGACTTCTTGTTGATCAAAGATAACTTTAGCGGCTGCGATATGTCCTTGATTATCATAACCATGTACATCAATATGCCATCATCTTTGACTGCCTCGAGCGGAAGAAATTTATTTCTGTTAAGAAAATACAACTTTAACTAAAGGATGTATAAGAAAAGGGTATACAAATATATAAAATAATTTTAAATTCATATAAAATATACATTGAAGTTGTTATATTCCAATGATTAGCAAAGCACAAAAATTATAATAATTTTGCGATTGTGAATAAATAAATTGAGACTCGCAAAAATTAGAGGCAAAGCAAACTGTAGAATAGCAAAGTCTTCTATTATTTGTTTTGACTTTGAACCACACGAGAAGCGGATTTAATCTTGAATTTAAACTAGCAACGAATACTGAATGATTGAGAGGTTAAGACATTTGCTTTATGGGTTCACTGAATAACGCTTTATAGCATACCGAATTGATATATAGGATGTGTCGCATTTGGTAACCTCACGCAATATTTCGCCGGAATGATCATGTGTCGATTGATTTTCAAAGTACACGAAGAGCACTTTGATTCGGGCGCGACATAGAATTTTGCCCACCTCCACCATAAGATCCGAGTCCTCTTCATCCCAGGGCAATAGCATAGGATTAGCAGCTGCGCTTAGCTGGAGTATGCCCTTCAGGAAGAAGAGCAGCACAAACAAACACAACAAGTTGAGCGTAGCTGCCATTGTGAACTAGTGCGAATATTTGGGACACATATCCTGCCTTTTATAGCCGCCAGGTGCACTTTAATTAATGCTTCTCCTATCTGACAGCGGACAAATATTATTTTTTGCTTGTTTGGATTACATTGTTTGTTATATGTCACGTTTTGCTAATGGAAATTGCGACTAAGTGCAACTAACAGCATGCCAAATGAGCTTTTTGTTTTAGTTCTTTCGATGCCTGATAAGCTGGCTCCACATTCGCAAAGATATAACAGAGATACATCGTATACGTGACGATTTCTTGCAGATCATTGGGCAAGCTGATAGACGAAAGGCAGCTGATATGCGCCAATTGAAAACTGCATATGAAAACCGATTGACTCAGTTACAAAAGTCAGCCAAAATTGAAATAACACGTTTGGTAAGTTACGCACAGACGACGGCGAGAAATTTGGAACCCAAACGCAATTCGTCGATGCCGTCGAAGCGGATGGGCAACTTTTTATACCCTACACCCATTGAAAGTGACCGAGCGGGGTATATGCTATTTGCTTAAGATGAATGCAGCTGGCAGAAAGAGTAATGAATAATGAATATAAATGCCCCCGCCTTGAATCACTATGCTGACTCAACTTAGCTTTGTCTGTCTATTTGCTAATCTTTTCATCTGTTTAATTGATGCAATTCCGAAAGCTGCAAGCGCTAAAGCCATGAAAGCAGGGAGTAAAAGTAAAAATATTATCGATGAGAGTTTACTTGTTCTCTCCAGCATTACTTGCATACCATTTAAGCCAATTGAATCCTCGCTCATTTCCGTAAAGAAACAAAGTTTTGGTACATAGGCTGAGCATTTTTTAAAGTTCAGAGTTCAGGGTATCTGCCAGTCGGGCACTTTCGACTAGAGCAGTCTTTCTTGTTTATCACATATTTTTTATAGCCATACTTTATACATATCTAGTATATATATACCTCATTGAACTGGGTCTCGATGTTAACTTAACTTGTGCCTCCCTGTGTGTTATTGCAGCTAGAGGAAATCAAAACCAAAGAACGTAATATAGGACAACTGCAGAAGGATTTGCAGACACTGCAAAATGGCAAGAAACATTGTGAAGCCAGAACGAAACCCAAAACGAACGAATCAAGCCAAAAGCTTAAGAAGCCAACTACGAAAACAGCAACAGCTACAACAACCACAATAACAATAGCAACAACTGCTAAAAACGAAACAGACATCAAAGATACTCTACCACCAAATCCCCTACACCTGGCTCAAGTTACAACTGAGGTGAGTTGGTAACAAATATTCCACATTGCAGGGTTGTCAACCTGACTGTCTGCGTAACTCGCCACACACATTTGAATGCATACATATACAAATATTCATGTACATCGTTTTTTGTAAAATTATATATACTTCTGTCAACTGGGGAAGGTGTTGGGTTCTCCAAAGTTTCAATCGGTTCGTGATGTTGTTAGGGATATTTGTCAGCACTGCTTCAAGATTAACAGTAATATTTAGAAACGGCTAAGAGCTACTTCTATATGCTGCCTATATCCAGATTATATCCTGACAACTAGCTTAACATTTATATCTCCTCCTATAACAGATCTTTTTATTAGCTGTGACGGCTTTAAGCAAGCTTAATTATATTGGCTTGAGAAATTGGATTGAACTGAAAGCTAGACTGGCCCCCACAACTGGATATATCAGTCCCTTTTAACAACGTTTTTATTGTATAAACTGCAAGTGTAATTGCTACTTTAGCTGAGTGCCATTTGAACTCTTGTGGCTAAGTCCAGGTACTTGAACTTGGTACGAAATAAAAACACTTTCAGTGAAACATCGCGGGTTAAATGTTAAGATCTACCTGCAGATAGCTTCATAAAGGCATATGCATTTGTATGTGTCTCATTTTTTCTGCTCTCGGTTATGCGCGATTGGCATGATCTATGATATAATTTTGCGTTAGTTATGAGAACGGCCGAAGACAACAATCGCCGTCTCGCGATGAAAACCTGCTACGCGGCTGAAACGTGAGACCGATAAAAAAATCAAGAGTACTCTGCTGAGTGAGTGCTCGGCGAGGAGATACCCTGAGATCCATGTCGAGCATCAGCTGCAGGCATACTTACACACCTAGAGGGATTAGTCTTATTGCACGCTACGCGGCTATTGATGCTGATACAGAATAAACATATGTGTATCATATAAAGTTTCTGTCTGTCTATAACATTGACTTGGGCTCAACCATCATACCCTGTGCACACATTTCCATTAGGTTCAGGGCATGGAAAGGAAAAAAAACGCACGACAAACACGCTGCAGGCAACTGCATTGCAGCGCAAGTGTTGCAAGTCGATCGAACAAGAGAGTGAGCTGCAGAGAGCGCGGGAGGCGCACCAAAAGAGAGCGCCATACAAAAGCCGGTTTTGCATTCACGCACACACATACAGAGAGAGAGAGAGAGAGAGAGAAAGAAAAATAAGCATAAACCACGAAACCAACAACAACAACAACAACAGCTGCAGTCGCACTCACTCACACTCACTTTCTCTTACCTGAGAGCGAGTGATGAGAGTGTTAACGCTTCGCCGCTGCTCGCCCAAGTCTAAGCCGCAAGCAAGCGGCTTCAGCTTCAGCTTCAGTTCAGTTCAGTTTCGTTTTGGTACGCAGGCAACGCAGGTGCGCATGGCCCGTTTTCCAGTGCGTCGCTGTCGTCCGTCGCCTTTCGCGCTGCAGCCAAGTGTCAAGTGTACTGAGTATTTATTTATGTTTTGGAGACGAAGTTGGAGTCATCTAAAAATAAGACAGCCCATGCAAAGTAAATGAAATCAAAAATAAAATTATTCTACTGTCAACTGTGGGCCCAACGCGTGTGCTTCTTTGCCATTGTTAATAATTAGGTGAAATTTGTTTGGCCTTTTCAAAAGTGCCGCAAAATGTGAAAGAGTAAATCAAGTGCATTGTGTGTGGTTGTGTTTGCGCGCCGAAATCAAATACACTTACATATCTATCACATACACATAAAACACCTTTTGTACATCATTCAATACACACAACAATCGCTGGAACTGTGCTGTTGCTGTTGCTGTTGCTGTTGCTTTGAACCTTTGAATCGCTCAACAAAACATTGTACATATTTACAGTTTGTCTTTCACTTTTTCCCATTGTTTTGCAAACTGTTAAGTTTAACGCACTATGGGCCATGTGGGCGAAGGGGGACGAGGCAAGGGGAGTGTGAAAGGAGGCAGGGGATAGGGGGTAGGGGAGGGAGCACTCATAATTTCACCAAATTTGCAGCACAGTTAAGCTAAAGCTGAAAACAAAACATTGGGAAAAATTAATTGTCTATGCAGCGTTCCGTTTCGTTTCGTTCCACTGATTGAATTCAATTTTACAGTTCATTAATCGCGCCCGCCTGTTACTGTTTGTGTTATTGATGCCTTCTTTTGCTCGATTCGCGTTATCGAAGCATGGCGAAGCTTGCGATTTACATTTTATTAACTGCTTAACAGTTCTTTGGGCAGTTGTTAGGCGGGCTTTCCGCTAGCTGGATCAATCAATTTGCATAGACTAAGTGCAGCCACAACAGCAAAAACAACTGCAGCAAAGATGTCAACTAGCAACAGCATCAATATAAAAATGTGTGTCTGAGTATGTGTGTGTGTGCGAGTGGGGAGTGTGTGTACCTCCAATTGGGGTCAGTGAAAATCTTTTTAAATGTTAACGCTATTTTAAATATGATACACACACACACACACTGCAAAAAATTGCTGTAGCCATCTTCAGCATCATCGTCGAACGACAGTAAAAGCGTAGCCCCCTCCGAAAAGTGAAGCTGTAATGCTAACGATCAAGACGATGATGATGATGATGATGCTGATGATGTTGCTAAAAAATACAAAAAACAAGCTGGCATCCAAGTTTCCAATATGCAAAGTAACTACAACATATATTAGAAAATAAACGGGGTGTGTGAAATGTGAACCATATGCAAATCGCTGTGAATTGCCTTTTTTCTTTTCTGAACAAAATTTTTTTTTCTACTTTTGGCAAAAGTGTTTTCGTCCATAATTTAACGTGTTTTTATTGTAGTGCAAATAACGGTGGTGAAAACAATGTTGTAAAACGCATCAAATACGTAATTTTCTTGAGATGAATAACCAAATCAATCGAACAATGGATTACTTTTACGAGTGTCGAGACGTGAAGGTAAAATAAAATCAAATAAAATATCATTCAAATTTATTCTTGAAAGTGTTAAACTTTGTCTATGGAGAATAAACCCTAACTATCCGACTACCGCCCCATTGTTCGGCATTACTCATGCATTCATTCATACCCATTCATGCTCATTACGCATACAATAGCTGGGGATATGCTGAATTTTAAAAGAGGCTTCGCTATCTGTGTGTGCACAAGCTCTTACTACTGAATAGATGAGAAATCTGTATTTGCGTTTCCTCACTTGGCTATAGAGCCATTTGGTTACCCAATTTGTTAGATCATTTTCGTCACATTCTTTGCCTATTTCTATAAATTCATATTCACATAGATATGGATGCGTTCTGAATGCCAATTAACATTATTTGCAAAATTATTTTGGCAACACTTGTTTAATTTTTTATCTTTAATATTTATAATTAAAAGAGAGTATATTGGCTTATTGCAATGCTCGCTCAGCTAGCGTACGTCTGTCAGTCTCTATGAGCAAAAAGCATTTTCTTGCTGTTGAAGGAGACCTGAAATTTTGAAGTTTTTAATCACAAAGTCCCTAAATAATCTTTATTCATTCATTGATATGAGTCTTCGGTACAAAGCGATGTTTCACCATGAACGATTGCTCCTGTTAGACCTAAGGTTACCTCTCGTTGCATGTATGTAATCATATGTGTTCCATGACCTCGTTTACCTTTAATTTCATATATTAAGAAGCACTATTATTAATATCTATATATTAGATGGATTTGTTGACTTTGCATTCATCACATTTTTCTTTCGGATTAAACGCTAACAATCCGAAAACTTGACGTGTGATT